CGTTGTAGTTGTGAGAATGACTGGTGCATCCAGCAATGGTGCAGTAGCATCCCATCTTCAAGCAAAAACTTCAAAAAGAGACAGGCGCAGTAGTTACAAAATGTCAGAGGTGGGCAGTAGCGCGCTACATGTAGCGGCCGGTACGTTTTCAATAGTAGTAGTGGTAGCGGCACTACTTTCAAGCAATTGTAGCTGTAGCGGTTGTGCCTGCTACATATTTAAGTAGCGATACGAGGTTTTGCCGCTACAGCGCTACCGCTACATTTATAGATAAAGCCTTTACATTTTACTTTATAGTATTAAATATTATTTTAAAACCAGCATGATACATACTAATGATACTACAAGAACATACTGTTACATAAATAATACAAATTACAGAATAAAACTGTACGAAAGATTTTGGTGTACGTGTAATGTTGTCAAACTCAGCCTGTTAGCTGTTACTTAGACTCCTGCGTCTCGAAATAATTTTCTCGAAATGAACCGGGACAGACGAAACGAGACGAGAAAATTCCGGGAAAAAAATAACGGGACAGAGGGCAAATTTTGTCCCGGAATAAACGTATGAACCGAGACAAGACTTCTGTCCCGGACTTTAAAACTTGTGTCCCGGTAAATAATGAACAGGACGAGACAGACAGATTTGAAACGAGACATAGCGAGACGAGACGAGATTTGTCTTAATTGTTTAAGATAAAACAAGTTTCTCGATAACGATATGAATCATTTCGAAAACATGGGTTGAAGAATGACCAGTTAGCCCTTTATTGCTAATAGGGCCATAGACAGTTACCAGTTAAATTGAGTTAATTGCAGATTTAGCAAAATTTGTCTGACTAACTGACATGGCAGTTAATTAGTGGTCCGACAAACACCGCAAACCTGTCGATGTATGCATGGCTGAGTATTGAGTAAAAATGTTACTCTTAAGTCTTAACAAAGGCTTTGATGGCACTTATGGGAACCATACGAGTACGAGTCGAGTTCATTACGCGTTAGAAACAAGTTCAGGCGCCATGGAGCGCATAGGGAGTCCAGAGTAGAGACTCAGTGTCTAGATTCGTCGGCCAATTAGTAGACAGTGGAGTGGAGTCCTGGTAAGATATTCCTAATAATACTGAAGCTAGTATTAGATTATCTCTGCCTTTAGTAAAATTTTGCGCTACACATCCGGGAAATCTTCACAATTGCGCAGATTCCTGAATTGTTTTCAAACACTTGGGCTTGTTTAATGTTATTTAGAAAGGCTACACATGGATATTTCGAGTTTTTTTTGAAGATCAAACTATTATATTTTCCAACTTAAATTTTGTTGTATTTTAAAATGTTGTTATTTTTTTTAAACTTTTTGTTGAAGGAGATTGCTTAAGGCAAGATCAATGAATCTGATTCTGTGATTGAGCTGGAGGCAAATCAAAGTCTGTCCAGTCAGCCGATGTCACCAGCTACAGCTAGTATGGCCTCCTCCAAACCATCATAGAACAGAATTAAAAAAAAGTGTTATTCCATTTTTATTTGCCTCTCAATATTCAGTACCATATTAAACCACAACATGTATTCGTAGCAAAAATCATTTCAATTGCTAAGCTCCAATCAGAATAGTAAAAGGATACGTCTCAAGTTATTAAATAAATGCAGAGGTGGGCAGTAGTGCGCTACAAGTAGCGGCCGCTACATTTTCAGTAGCGGTAGCGGCGCTACATTTAAGCAATTATAGCGGTAGCGGTAGCGCCCGCTACATATTTAAGTAGCGATACTAGGTTTTGCCGCTACAGCGTTACTGCTACGTTTATAGATAAAGCCTTTAAATTTTACTTGATAGTATCAAATATTATTTAAAAACCAGCATGATACATACATAATATAAATTACAGAATAAAACTGTATGAAAGATTTTCGGTGTAATGTTGTCAACCTCAGCCTGTTATAAGTGTCAACATGTATGTTGTTACCAGAGGTGGGCAGTAGCGCACTACATTTTCAGTAGCGGTAGCAGCGCTACATTTAAGCAATTGTAGCGGTAGTGGTAGCGCCCGCTACATTTAGCGCATGTAGCAATAGCGGCCACTACATTTCAAAGTAGCGCTGCCCAGATCTGTATAAATGTATGATGGTAAGCCAAAGTTTACACCACATCAATAATTGATTCGTCTCGTTATGTCACATTAAAATGGCTATAAATTATGGGAAATTTTAAGGTACCTATTTTAACCGGGATGTCTCGTCTCGTCTTGGTATCGTCCCGGAATTCCTACGGAGGGCTGAAAATTGTCCCGGTTTTTATTGCAAACCGGGACAGAGCCTGTTGTCTCGTCTCGTCTCGGATAAAAAAACTACCAAACGCAGGAGTCTACTGTTACTAGTGTCAATGACAACATGTTAGTTGTTACTTGTTGTTACAAGTTTCCACTTGTTGTTACAAGTTTCCAGCCACTTGTTGGCTGAGAGCGCTTGTAGGGTGTGTTTGTCTTGCCGTTCATGTACATTTTCCGGTTTGTTAGGATTAGGAACTTAGGGGGTAGCAACTAACTGCCAGGCGCCAGCTTATACCACTAAATTTCAGGATTTGAGAACGGTTTCTAGCCTTCTAGACTAGATGCTCATCTGTGTATGCCAAATAAAATAATTGATATTTTTGTATGCACTTAAAATGGATAAATATATTAATATTACGAAGGCCGACAATGATCCTTGTGCGTCCAGGGATAAAGATGATGCAGAATTGCAACTGTCAGAGGAGGAAAAGCCATCACTATCAGTGACAGTGTCTATGCCAGTCGGCTCACCTACTAAGGCTAGTACAAGTACTTGTACCTTGCGTTCACCATTGCCATGAACATCATCTGTTCACTAACATCTAATCCTTGGCCCTTTCTTGAAAAATATTACAAATTCACTGGTGTTAAGGGAAATAATGTTGAGTATAAATGTTTAATTTGTGCTCCAAAGATAAGTTATATCTGCAAATAGAAGATCAATGCACAATCTGAAACTTCACATGACCCGTGTGCATCCAAATTTAGCAAAAAAGTTAAACAACCTCATTGAAACTGCTACAAAAGAACGCAAGAGAAGTCATAGTGGTATGGATAAAGAAACTAACACTCAATCTTGTGCAAAACAGCAGAAGATTGAACAGTCCATGGCTTTCGCCAGTCGAGCAGTCTGTCAGTCTAACGTTGACCAAAAACTAATCACTTTTTTGTGGATAATATGCTACCTCTGGAGGTAAGTAATTTAATGACAGAACTTTGATTATTTTACTACATTAGTATTTCTCCTCAACTTCTCCCTTGTGTTTTTGACCAATTACTGTACAACACTCCAATCCCTTCTAGTGCTGCGGTGGAGAGGATGTTTTCCTTGGGAAAGGATATCCTAAAGCCGAAGCGTTCAAGCTTGTCGGATATTCACTTTGAAATGCTGGTATTTTCAAAGGATAAAATTTTTGTGTGAATAAAGGATAAAGGAATTTCCGTGTAATAAAATTGAAGTGATTGAGACTTTGTTCAAATGGCGATGAATTTTTTGCCCATCTAATTGTGGGTTATCACGTATACGACTGAGTTTGGCTTGGTAAAAGATCATATATCTGTGCTATAATAAACAGAATGTGCATCACGATTTAGTCAAGATTACCCATTAATTTATCTCAGTGATGTGGTATCAACATAAGCATGTCGGCAGCAATTGTTCTCAATATGAACTTGATTTTATAGCTCTGATGCTTATTTGAGTTATTTCATTGGTAATATGTAACCTGTTTGTATTCAGTAACTTAATAAGTTTAGCATGTGAATATAATCCTCTGTAACTGGCAGCTTATATCAAGTTTAATATATGGATAGAAGTGACCGAGTAGCGAGTATTGCAAATAAAACTAACCTAACTTAGCTAAAACTGATATTAATTAATTTGATAATGAACATTTCAGTTGTTCATTTTGAAATGCTGGTATTTTTAAAGGATAAAATTTCTGTGTAAAATATATGATGAAGGAATTTAATAAATAAATAATTAAGGGTAAAGGAATTTCTGTGTAATAGAGGATAAATAAAGGATAAAGGAATTTGTGTGAAATTTCTGATTTTTCCATGTTTGCTTGCGAGTAAATGTTAGTTATTTACTTATTTTTATATATCAATTTGCTTACAAATTGCGAGTAAATGGTACAGGTATTTGTTCATGTTTCAGTTTGCTTAGAGTTATTTTTACGTTTCACCTTCCCTACATGGATGTCTACTTGAATCTAAATATAAAAAAATCACTCTTTCATTTGTATATATATATATATGTGGATACTTTTTGAGATTGGTAGATTAAAGTAGACATCCATGTAGGGAAGGTAAAACATAAAAATAAGTAAATAACTAACTTCTATTTACTGTGTCTAACCACAGTAACCAGTACTAGTTTGGTTAGGTTAATTGCAATAAAGTTGAATTAATATGTTTTGAAAATGTTTTATTCTCATTTAATGTTTACGAGTAAATCCCAATAGCAGAACAATAAATATTACGAGATTTTTTCTAAAAATTTTGGCCATTTGAGCGGCTAACGTAACGCGCTACATTTTACTGTAGCGGTAGTGGTAGTGCCTGTCACAATCTAGTGGATGTAGCGGTAGCGCCCGCTACATTTAGAGCATGTAGCGGTAGCGGCGCTACATTTCAAAGTAGCGCTGCCCAGCTCTGCAAAATGTAGGTGAAAGCTAGACATGCAACAAATTTGGTGGCCAAACCAAACCCACTATGCATTTCACGATTTGGTGCTGTGGCGTCATCCTTTCAAAACCGATTGCCCTTCAAATTGACTGCTGAGTTCAATAATATTTCTAGGCATAGCTGCATGGATATCAAGAATTCAAGATACTGGCTATACAAATTTATATATTGATTTGTGGTGGGTATTTCTCATGGCAAATGGAATGTATCATATAACTTATAAGCAGTTGCAGCATAACTTGCAAGCACAATGTGAATATTCTGGAAACAAAAGAAAGCAGAACCATTCCAGTTGTAAAATGTAACTGACTAAATGCAATTTGACTAACAAAACGTGCCAAACACAGTAATTATGCTTTGTATTTGCATTGAAATTCTGAAAAACTGTGAATGGTTTATTTTTATTTTGCTACTTGGTCAAAAAAATTCATTTGTTCTATATTTGCATACATTCTGAACTTTCACAATGATTGTATCTTTTTTTCTGCAAAAAAAAGCATTACAGAGCTTTCATTTATGTATGATCTAAGTTTGAACATAGTATACTTGAATGAGTGTTGTTAAAGAAGTTAATTCTGATACTCCAAATATGCCTAGGAAATATGCAAAGTCAAGTTCAAAGCTAAACAAAGCAGATGTGCAGCTCATGGACAGAGAAGTGAGTGACATGCAATCATGCATATTTACTATTTAGTAAATATTTTCATTTGCAGCAAATTAGGCTGTTGACCTGTGCAAAGAATTCATGAATTCTATTGAATGATGATAAAGTTAGAAAGTATATGTATGCTATTTAGACTTTGATTATGTAGATTTTATTGCAAAGAATTCAAAATTTACTGCATATGTTGTTAATAAATGTGTAATTGAGCAAACATAGCTAATTATTACTGCTATTAAAAGTTTGTATTTATTGCTTAGGAGCTGGAGGCTTGTGCTCTGCAGCTTCATGCACACAATGTACAACTCAAAGCTCTACTTCAACGCAACATGGCAAAAAATGATCAGAATATCAATAGCCAAGGAAGGAAGGAAGGAAAACCATTCGACTTTGAAAAGTGAGTTATGCAAATTAATTTATTATTTTATATTTAAAGTTATTCAGTGGTATTTGTATCAACTGTAATAAATAAGTTGTAATATTATCTTTATATCTCTGTCATGAAGATTTTTTAAATTGTTAGAGCTGACATCTGCTTGTGCAAGGAAAACTATTTTGAGAGTATTATGATCTTTGAACACTTCAAGCTCAATTCTAAGGAATTCAGATCAAGTTTTATTATTTTATTGAATTATTATTATTATATATATTACCTATTATATATTATATTATTATTATTATTATTGAATTATTTATTGATTTATATAAGAGAAGATATTCATTTTATGGACAGTCGGACACTGAGAATGGCTAGACTTGTTTCACCCAGCCAGCATTAAGACACTTCCTGATCTGAGGCCATATTTACTGCATTTTGCTTAAGAAAATGCTATTCTGAACTGAATAGAATTTTCTGAGTCTTCCCATTGAACTGAGTCTAAGCTAGCTAATTCTGTGTAGGTTGCATTATGTGCAAGATTATACTATTCCCATTTGTACTAAGACAAAGATAGTTCCTTTTTGATTGAATCAAGAAAAAAATAATGAATTGGTATTGTAATTGGTAAATAATGCTATTGGTATTGTATTTAGCTTAATATAAGGTAATGAAGATTGCATTAAACCTAGATAATTCCATTCCTAATGCATTGTGCTCAGTTTATTAAGCAGAATGTAAGACAATTATATTGTGAGTCTTATCTACACATAACTTTGTATGGCCTGGATTGTTTGATTTTCTTGTTAAATGATTACCACTGACTTGTTCCTGCTGCTTCTCAGGCACACCAGCCACCATATTCTGCTAAAATATGTATATTATTCAGATTCAGCCACCATATTCATATTCAGCCGCCATATTCACAGGCACACTAGCCGCCATATTCTGCTGAAGTTTGCATACCTGGGTTGGGACCACCAAGGCTATGCTGTGCAAGAAGACTCACATAGGACCATTGAAGCAGACCTATTCGAAGCACTCCTCAAAACCAAGCTCATCAAGAGTAGGGAGACATCTAATTACCATAGGTGTTGGTGTTATCTTTGTTAGACATCCTGCAATTTGTTACAAATGATTTATTTCAATTTATTGTACCTATTTATTAAATTGGTGGATTGAAAATTGATCTTTTAGACATTTGTGTGTTATATATCATCTTCATATATTTGTCAATGTTAGTTTATTTGTGTTTTAAATAATGGCCCCATTAATACATATCCATAATATTTATTGTGCTGGGATATAGCCTGGACCTGAAAATTCATTCTCACGTGGGAATATTGAGGTGCTGTAGGGAAGAATTAGATACAAAATTGTAATTTAATTTACAAGTTGATTATATTTTTATTTAAGAACACAAAATATATTTTTTATTTTGTATGCTTTGAAACAAAAGGTAAATGAGTGAAGCTGCCATATTCATATTCAGTGTTGGTTCTATTTAAAATGCATGTGCGGGTAATTTTTTCTCTAATTAACATACTTTCATTTTATTCCTAATAACAGGATTCAGACTAACTGGATTTTAAATTTAAGGGCTTTTTAATTATGAGTAATGCCAGTAAGTGGCTAATATTCACTATTAATTATTTAGCTCTGTGAAATCGCATTCATGAAATATTCTTAAAAATGCATTAAATTATTTGTTTGTAATGTTTTGTATAATTGATCAGGTGTGGACGGACTGATAAAGGAGTGAGTGCATTCAGCCAAGTGATTTCCATCACCGTGCGCAGCCAACTGCCTGCTACAGCTGCTGCTCAGGCTGCTCTCAGCCATGAGCTGCAGTACGTGCAGATGCTCAACAGAGGTGTGTAGGTGTGAGTGTACCAGTCCTGGTGCTGTAATATCAGTAGTTTCTCACACGAAACGGCCGATTTTCGTCTGTGATTTGTAAGTTTAGCTTGAAAAACTGATTTGTGCGTTGAGCTTGAGTGATTAGGTGACAAAAAAGCTATACTAATTAATAGCTTTAACTTTTTTTATACTCGTCTAGTCTTTTTCTTTGTATTGCTATTATTATATGCGCGGATGCTGATTGATTTATCAACTTAACTGCTAGCGGCGCCATTCACTAATGACTACACTTAATTTTTACTGTGTATAATTACTATTTTTTATTACAATTAATGTTCAGTAATAAATATTCCAATGTGTTGAGTACTTCTCTACGTCAGGAATGTCAACATTCATTCATCTGTCCAATATGCAGGATTTTACAAACCCGCTATTGATCGCTGCTTGCAGTTTCTTGTCAACGTTGACCAGAGTCACTCCCACATTGGGCAAATAAATCCTAGTCCTCCCAACGTCACCCTAGTTTGTTCTAGTCCCCCCCGTTGACAAAATCAAGTATGCATAATCTTTCACTATTATCATTCACCCGTCCTCTATCATTCGCCAGTATCATCAATGTTAACCAGAGTCAGTCCCATATTGGGCAAATTAATCCTAGTCCTTGCCAGCATCACCCTAGTTTGAGCTAGTCCCTCGTTGACAATATCATGTATGCAGTATCTTTCACTATTATCATTCACCCATCCCCTATCATTCACCAGTATCATTACCTAATAAGAGGCTTGCATTGCAGTGCTCCCTGAACACATCCGAATGCTGGCGTGGAGCCCCGTGAACGAGGGCTACTCGGCTCGCTTTGACTGCCAGTCACGGACGTACAAATATTTCTTCCCTCTGGGGGCCCTCGATGTGCAGGTCAGTGCGGAGTGTGCAGGTCAGTGCTGAGTGTGCAGGTCAGTGCTGAGTGTGCAGGTCAGTGCTGAGTGTGCAGGTCAGTGCTGAGTGTGCAGGTCAGTGCTGAGTTAGTGACGTAACAAACGACAACTCTTGCTTGCCTTGATTTAAAATCCTCATTTTTATCACGATAAAGCCGAAATAATTATTGCGCATTAAACTTGTAAAGTCTTATTGATTTGTTTTTATGTACGTATATTTAGTTTGTGCGGGGATCTATGTTGATACGACACTAATTCTAGCCGAGAAGATGCAAATTAATTGGAGATTTTAGTTAAAATTGATTGGAGAATTACAGCCACATATCCATTTGTGTGGGAAATTTTCTCTCAAAATCTGATAAAATAAGTCTAACATTACTTTCCAGCGTATGCGCGATGCGGCGGAGCTCATGATCGGCCATCACGATTTCCGTAATTTCTGCAAAATGGACGTAGGAAATGGAGTGGTTAATTTTGAGCGCAACATAGACAGCATTAGCATCGACATCCTTGGGAACTCCAGTGAAGCAGAGAACAGTTTAGAGCACAGCGGCGCTGCACGGTTACAGAACAGCTACTCTCGGCTTCGTCAAAACTTGGATGCAATAAGAAGGATGGATTTTGATGACACACAACAAAGTCAGAGAGACGTTGGCGTTCCCGTGGGCAGTGCCAGCGGCGATGATTGTGAAACCAATTCGACTTTAAGCAATCAAAATGCCTGTGAATCAAATAATATCAATAATAAAGTAAATGAAGTCAATGGAAAAAATGATAATACTGAACTCATTTCAAACAGCATCGAAGACGTGAGTAAAACAGTGAGCTATAAGGGTGATAAAAAGAGGAGTAGCCATGACAGTGAGAGCGGTTCTCTGCTGTGTAGTCCTGTTGCCGAGTTCGGTGAGGTGACGGCTGGTGCCGGCTACAGGATGTGCGTTGCCTCAATCACTGGGAATGCCTTCCTCTGGCACCAGGTGCGTAACTTCATTTAGAGTATTAACTAGTTAAAGATAATATTATGAAAAACTAAATCATTTAGGATTGATGGGTGTAGTTTGACCATAACGTCAATTTCTGAAAGTAAACGTGTGAAATATTTGCAATATCATGTATTTATTTTCAAGATCTCAAGGCGCTTGTCATTGCTAAAATAATTTTTGTGTGTCATGATAGTTGTTAGTGTTATTACGCGTTTTGTAAATGCGAAGGTTGTAGATATTTCTTACCATAAAAGGTGTCACGTTCGCGTTACAGGTGAGGGCTATCATGTCCGTGCTGTTCCTGGTCGGGCTGGGCAAGGAAGAAGCGTCAATTGTGACGGAATTATTAAATATACAGAAAAATCCTCGCAAGCCTCAGTATCAGCTCGCCAGTGAAGTACCTCTGTGTCTTTTCTACACCCAATTCCCTGACGTTCAGTGGCAGTTCTCAGCGGCTGCACTGCGCGGCGTGCAAGCTCACTTCCAGAGATGCTGGGCCCAGCACTCGATACGGTCAGCGCTTGCACTGGCTCGTTTATAGAAAAGTTACATCGAGTTTACCATTTAAACGAAGCGTTTTACATTACATTATTAATTAATACGCTTTTACATTCTTTCATACTTGATTGTGTGTTGTTTCCAGATGAACCGATAATAATCTAATGCTTTCTATTGTGCTCTGCTATCAGAATTTGATTTTCGAAACTGAATATTGCGCCAGAGACATGGCTCAATTTCTTTTTCCTTGCACCTCTGCCCTGTCTGCTGGGCGAATGACATTTTGTCTCTTAATGGGAAATGTTTTGCAGGACCTGGAATGTTATTCTAGGGTTCAAATCTACGTCTCTTTTACAGGAGCACAATGTTGAAATACATGTTGGATGAGGTGCAGCGTGAGTGCCACAACATGAATGTTACGGATGTAGTATTGCAGCAACACGCCATCGTAGCGAACATTCACTCCAAGCAACATCAGCCTCTGATGCAGCGCAAAACTTGCAGTCCGTTATCGCTCATATTTTTAACTAGATGTAGATTATTTCGAGATCGTATTATTCAATTAGATCAAGTCCCTATGAGTGTCTTATACTGGTATTTTGCATGTATCATTATGAGGGACAGTTTTAAGGTAGTTAAATTTCAATTGAAATGGCATTCTTCCTCTTCATCTACATTCAGAGCATTTGATATGCCTCTGATGTTATGATCATAAGCCTTGATGACAGACTCGGTCAGCTGACGCTAACTCCTAGACGAAACTCAGATAAACCTTATTAGTAACTAAGCCTTTCCCTCAATCGAAATCCTATTAGTCTCTGGCGTCAATAGATTGAGATTATTCACTCATGCCAGACAGCATGTGGACTGTAATGAATGTAATCCGGTATATGCTCTTACGCTCACATTTTTATGGGCTTCAAGCGCACCAAAGTTGCCGTGGCATGTTGGACATTACCCAACCCTTGATGAGCTGTCATACAATGCACCGTAATTGGTCGATTAATCCTAACTGATATTACAATCCAAGCCTTAATGGGCTATCATATAATGCACCATTATTGGTCGATTAATCCACTGATATTACAATCCAAGCCTTAATGGGCTGTCATATAACGCACCGTAATTGGTTGACCAATCCACATCTATCTTACAGAGAGTCTGGAGAACCGAGTTGTACATTTCGTGAAGCGTAGGCGTCTGGCCCCCAGTCTGCTCAGTGTAACAAACCCCAGTGCGGTTAAAGACAAGGACCTCAAGGGGCAGAGGGATGTGGACCTAAGGGTGCTGGAGGAGCCCAGGTCTCTGGATGCCGAAGCTCGGGCGCCCGACGAAGAAAACGCAGAACATGTCAGCTGTAAGGAGTTAACAGCGCACGTAAATAATCACTGAACCAAGTTTCTTTCTTATTTAACCTTGTACCTTTTTTTTGCAAAGGTTGTAGTGTTTGTTGCAGGTCCCTACTTAGGGTTACTTTACTTGGACGCATGAAATCAAACAAAAATTGAATAGGGTTCCCAAATTGATAGTCAAGTCAGCGAGAGAATAGACGTATTGACATATCAATTGCCGCAGGATTATGAACATTACTATTTGGTAAGAAAATTATTCTGTATAATGAATTCAGGTCATTTCTTGGAGACTAGCTTGCCAAATTTGTTGTTTCAGCTTCGTTACCTACTGCAAGACGTCTTGCATTCTTCTGTGAATTTTAGTGCTGTTCGTTTTAAATATCGATATGTAATAGTTATAATATTTTAATATCAAACCCCCTCAAAAAAATGGCCTTACTTCAACTCATGTACTTGATCTCATAATCTGATACACGCGTAAGGATAAAAAAAACTCAACGCTTTCGTAATCATTGCAATAATAAATGAGCATTAATTTACCGAGACAACATCGAGTTCCAGGTGCAAGTATCGAAAACAGGCTTGTTATGTAATCATCCACCAATGCACATATTTGAATAACTGCACTCCAACTGCATTACATCCAAGGAAAAAGATTTGTTATTTTGACCGGCTGGATTACTAAGCTAACTTTTTATCGGGGACGCTCTAGTGAATCTATATGATAAATAATATTTGAATTATGTTTATAGTCACCTCTGCTCACGATATAACAAAAAATTTGACACAGCTCAGTTAATATATGCAAGAATAGCCAAGCCTGGCGACGAAGTTTTTTTTTTTTTTGGTCATACATTCTTGACAAATTCATTAGCGCCAAAATGCCTTATTTTCATGTATAAGTTCGCCATTGTTATCTAACTGTCCAGATTAATGTTTTTGAATTGCGAATCAAAAGCCTGTTTTCCTGGCCGTCGTTAACACATGAACTACCTCGAAATATTGATGAACGAACTATACATCGAGGTATTAGCTACGAGAAAACAATCATGTTGTCTTAAGATTATGAACACAGCTTTATCAGTCGTGCGACTGTTACCTTACAAGAAATATGTACATCTCTGGATACCGCACCCATTTGGCTCCTTGCCAACCCGGTATACATTCAGTCATCTACACATTACACGTAATTTTTGGTATAAAAATAAATTATAATTTATCTACTCATACCTTCAAAAGATATTCGAAAGTAAGTTGTAAAACCGTCCATTTTATTTAGATAGTAGCCGAGCGTCGCAGCCAAGTAGACGGGTGCCGAGGACTGGCGAATGTCACATAATAAAAGAGCGACTATAAATTTCACAGTTTAAATCTAATCGATCAATGAACGTACACTCCACAGAAATTCCCGACAGACAACATACATTTACCTGGAGATTTATTTCTTCTAATCGTCTTCGAGCTTAATGTCGTACCGAACACTGCGAGAAAGCAAGTCAATGTCAGGTGCTCCGCAGAGACCAATCATAACAATACCTTAATCGCACACACAAGAATGCACTTGCTAAGACTAATAATGCTGGACAATAAGCCAAAGTTATCAGCAGGTAAATGCTTAATACACAAAACCGCTTTATTTTGGATTAGGTTTTCATCTGAGATCACGCGTACTTTTAAGGTGGAGCCTCACAACAGGTTAATATCAATATACACGACACCATATAAGCACAGTTAAAACAAATACGGCAAAAGTTTACAGCAAAAAACTCGTATGATGCGACTGTTTGAACACAATCGTAAGACAATCACATTAATAACACGTCGAAATTAACCAGTGATTGGAGACCAGAAAAATGTCCATCTTAATGGGCACGGAATATTTTCATTTATTTCCGATTTGTCTCCAACAAAAGATTATCTTGATCTTTTTGAGCAGCATTACAAATAATTAAAAAATGACTGACTCCTCATGATATTCAAGAAGTCCCAAATTTGAAATCTTGATCTTTTTGAGCAGCATTACAAATAATTAAAAAAAATGACTCTTCATGATATTAAAAAGGCCCAAATTTGAGAGACTTAATCTTCAAGATCCCATTACGGGCCTGAACAGAGGCCCTTCAGCTCCATGCAACACTGGATGAAGCTGCGAGTCGCAACACAAATCAACTTTTCGGCAAATGCGCAAAGAACAAAAGCCTAAACCTGCACAAGGATCCTCGTCTCTTAGTTTTGTTCTTATTGTTTAAGGTTAACAGTTCTTATCCTTTATTTTTTCCTCTCAGAAAATGACAAACCTCGTTTAAAATTATTTCCATTTTCTAAATCTAATTTTGAACAAATAATAATACATATATCTATCATTGAATTAAAAATTTACCGGGTCCCGCAGCCCCGACGGAATCTCAAGATTAATTTAGTAATGACAAATGACAATGCCAGTCAAGTATTGTGAATTTAATTCTTTTTCTACGCTAGTAAATGATTTTTATGCCGAGCTAAAGACCTTGACCGGATGTTATCACGCACCCAATTTCAATTCGAGGTCTAAGAATTGGTAAGCAATCAGGGTTAAAAATACAAAGTTAATATTTTACAACTATAGAACGCATCTACAATTTAGGTTTGTGAATTTTTTTACAGCTTGGGCTTTTAAAATGAAGAATAGCTAGTGAAGATATAATTCAATTATCAAGTATCACAACAAAGAATCAACTTTATATTGAAGCAGAAAACGCTCAATTTGCACTCGACAAAGCTCAGTTTATAGCGGACTGTGTGGCCTCGACAACCAATAAATGGAAGAAATTCAACATGGCTGACTGATCAGAATGTTTAAGCAAATAATTGCGATTATTCAACCGCCGTTTTCGTTAAAAATACGTTCAATGTCATAACAAATTAAAGCGCATTTGTTCGACATTTCAAATTTAATTTGTAGATACATTATTAATTTCAACTATTCATAGTTGCCACCAATGCATTCTTGCATACACGTTCGTTCGTTTTACTATTTTCCTGTGCTAGTTACACGAGACTAAAAATACCCATCAGAAATAGTTAGTGTAACCACTACGCAACGCCTTCGAGTGAATGCGTCGTTCATATGACGCATCGTTACTTATTTTACGCGTCGTTACTTATTTTTGTTGGAGAGTTTGCAGCGAAACGAGCGCTGCTTGGCAATGATGCTGGGCAGGAGGTTAGGCTTCAGTGCAGAGCTGGACGCGCGGCCGCCCAGTGCAGCGTGCAGCAGCGGCGCTGCGCAGCGCCCTGCATCCCCGCCGTCTGCGTCTGTGTGCCAGGCGCCTGTTAGTTCTTAGTCTTACGGTACACAACACGGCAATATTGTATGTATCTCGAATACTTAACACTAAAATTGATGGAAAAGACGTATTAATTCATCAGTTTAGTCTCAGTCTTTTGGTACACAACACGGCAATGTCGTATGTATCTCGAATACTTAACACTAAAATTGATGGAAAAGACGTATTAATTCCTCAGTTTAGTCTCAGTCTTTTGGTACACAACACGGCAATGTCGTATGTATAGAACAAACAATCCTGCATCCCCGCCGTCTGCGTCTGTGAATAGAATAGAAGTGTCGTCGTTGAAGAAATAGGCCCATGGCCTGTTGCCGATTCTTGTACTTTTCGTGACTTGATTCACAAGGCATCCGGCCTTTGGAACCCGATCTTTCCATGATTCTTGTACTTTTCGTGACTTGGTTCACAAGGGATCCGGCCTTTGGAACCCGATCTTTCCATAACTGACGATTGATTGAGATAGCTGCTGGACTTACTGCCTGGTTTGTAAGTTGCTAGGCATTTTAAGACTGAATGTGTGCCAGGCGCCTGTTAGTCCTTAGTCTTTCGGTACACAACACGACAATGCCGTTTGTATCTCGAATACTTAACACTAAACTTAGTGGAAAAGACGTATTAATTCTTCAGTTTAGTCTGGTAATAAACTGTTGAAATATAGTTTAAGAAATGCAGTTGCCAGTTAAATCTACTCTATGGCCATATTCACAGTCTTGAATGTCATAACTGAATGTGCACGCTAGTCGATCAAAGTAACTAAGGGCACATTAAGCGTCGTCAATGCTATTTGTTTTTGACTGGATTCTAGAACTACTGTCAGTAGAACGATTCTTTAATTTTAAATAATAGTTTGAAAATGAGCCGTTGACAACTACAAAGAACAAGAAGTGCAGCTGCCAATCAAACAAACACAGATGATAAACAATAGAACAAACAACTAAGTTAACCTAAGGTTCACTGCAGTACGGCCGTGTATATTGACCCTCGGGAAACATAAAGGTTGAGGGGTCACTGCACTTTATTCTCTTACTGCGACCTTACTATATAATCCCGTTAGCTGTGGTTTATCATCTTCCATGGAATGATGAAAACCTGGAACCAACTACTCTCAATTAGTAGCATTATGGTTATGTTGCATAAAAAAAAAACTCGGTGCCTTAGTCCTAAGTGTGCCAGTGCGCCAACATTCCGTTCTCTTTTGAACTCACTAAGTCATGCTTGCACAAATTATGTCGAACAAGTTCACTGTTAAACAAGAAATTTATGGGAAAATCAAGCCATAACGTAAGGAAACTTAGTCTAAACGATTTTAACTTAGTAACGTGACGTAAGCATTAAAGAAAAAATTGTCGTGCAACACTTAATTACTTAAAATAAATCATTGAACATAAAACGGTGCTGGAAAAGAAATTATATAGGCAAAAAACTGCAGCTAATGAAAAAGTTATGTACACTAGTGGATGTACAGACATGATAGATGTACAGACATGATGGATAAAGCTATGAGGGATACAAGTTAAAGTTATGTACACTAGTGGATCTGTCTCTTATACACATCTAGATGTGTATAAGAGACAGCTACATGACTGCCCAGCACCACGTACCCACACATGACTGCCCAGCAGAACGTACCCACACATGACTGCCCAGCAGCACCAGAAGGGCCGCCGTGCTGAGATTGCAGCACGCCATGCTGACTACTGAGCTGTGAAGGACCAGCCTCATTCTGAACAGAATAAAAGTTAGCTGTCAGCACTGTCGAACATCAAGTCGACTGACAGTGTTGTCGTACATATATAGTACAAAATCAGCGCTATCGGATAGATAGGACATAGTCAGCACAATCATGAGTACATCTTGCAGCAGCTGCAGTCAGGACAAGAAGTTTCATGAAGCTTAACCTAAAATATCGCGTGAGTGCAAACCCTGAGAAATAAGTTGACGTAGATGTAAAGAAGATAATAACTATTTTTTGCCGAAAGTTCATGTCATTCGTCTGTCAATTGGAGAAGAACAGCGGAAAGGGGAGAACAGAACACAGGCTCTGCGAGGCAACATTCCGAGCTTAGTTGAAGCCTCCGCCGGGCCACAATGCGCGCGAATATCTGTATTTAATGGCAATAAAATAGTGATTATTGGACAGGGATCACATGAAACGTTGGATTTTTATATCCACATTAATGGTGATGGCAAGCTGTGTTGCAAGAACGTCTGGCTGTGTTGCAAGAACGTCTGTTGTGCTGCAAGAACGTCACGTGTCGAAGTAGCCATTAGCAAGGTAACGATCATAACAGGTTACAAATGGCCCGTCACACGACATGCACGCTCTGTGCTCCGCATGCCGTTAACGAGAGCTTTCGACCACACACATTAAAAGGATAATAATTGCAGAAATAATTGTTAAAAATATTATATAGCTAATTATCTCTATATTGGATTGATATATTTAGAATCAAGTCGTACACATAAATTGGAATGAGTGAAGGTAAGGGCGCAGCTAACAGAGCAAGCAGTTGTACTGATACGCCAAGATTTTTCTAACTAGCGATAATTGACGCGTGAAGCTGGAAAACATGAAGGCTTTCTAAAAAAACCTATTATTGTATGAAAAACTTAGTGAGCTATAGGAAAATGTGGAGTTTTAATTATTTACATCGATTGTGAAGTAACTTATCTCAGCTGTGGTTAAGATTGGTTCTCACTTCTCAGTCATGTTGTAATGAACATATTTTAAACACGTAATAAAATGCAGCTCATAAGCCTCATGCCATTTCTTTGCAAGCTTCAATTAGAGTCTAAAGTCATGCAGGAGTATAACAGTAGGAGTAATGAGATATCTCAGCGGATTTTTGTATACGTTTTGAGAAGAAGCATGCATTTGTGGGTTAGTAAGACAGTGATTGTTATGTCGAGAAGACGACCAATGATGCAGCGAAAGGCAGCTCCATGTCTGGCCTCTCAAGGAAGTAGGAGGCTCGAAGAAAATATCCGCGTTAATAAACGAGAACAGTTTCATGGAATAATATATAAGTACTTAAGCAGATTATCTTTACGGTCTCTCAAGAGCTGGGAGAAGAGTGTAGTTAGTTACAAGGACGAGATAAGAAGGGCGGTGGAATGACTGCAACAAAAAGATTCAGTGGATTAATACAGGACAAACGAGAGTGCAGGAGCTGTAGGAGGTGTAGCAGTAGAAACTGTGCACAGGGACAGAGATGAACCACGAAGAAGATGCCATCGTGGTGACACGAAGAGAGGGGAGAGAAGGGAAGGAGAGTGAGAGACGATGAAGCATGCACTATGATAACGACCTTAGATGTGGGCATGGACGAGGATCGCTGGTTCCTGAAGGTGGGACGCGTCGATTTCTGAGGGTCCAAATCAAGGGAGCGCCAAGTTTTTGGGTCGACGCCCCTACTGGCCGAGAGCTGGTTTGATGAGCTCGTCGTGTGCTGGACATCGAGGCTGGAGTTGCTGCTACTCACAGAACTGCTTGGTATGATCGTCAAGCCGGGAACCACAACACCACCACCACCAGCAGGGTGCTGTTACATGGGAGAGAAGCGTGTGACTTGACGTAAGAATTTGTCACGTACCGTTACCACCACCAGGGTGCTGTTACATGGCAGAGAAGCTATAGTGACATGATCTAAATATTCGTCACGTACCAACAAGCCATCATGATGCAACAACAGCGGATTGGTAGGCGATTCAGTCCCGATAACAAACAATGGTAATGGTTGGGACGAGCAAGCACACCCAAACACAGCACCCGACACTGAACGCAGCCTATAGATGTGGATTACGCTAGCGATGTTCTAACAATATCGACACGTTAAAGCTCATTAATGAGAAGCAGCGTTCAGGCAGAGGCACCAAATCAGTTTTGCTGGCCAGTGGCCATAGTTTCATGCTCGACAAATCAACAGCCTCATGCGATACCTCAACCAAAAAAGCCGCAGAATTAGCATGTGCAGTTGTGCACACTGCACATGTATAACGTACATCATTATTACACTATATCAACTTGACTAAACCAGAGCTACTAAATGGTTTTGAAGTGCCAACTTGAGCAGGGATAACGGCTATTGATAACGATCAACACAGAACAACATGAATATGTCTGATCATGATTCACACAAGAGAATAATCTCAGATACATAAATGTCCTGCTTAATAGCAGAAGTGAATGAGTGTAAACCTGCGGGTAGGGCATTCGTTGGTTACTAATGCCGAGATCACCGAGACAACAAAAACCAATCGAGTAAGAAAATTCTTAAAAGAGAAGAGAATTGCCGAGGTGACGATGAAAGCTGACTTGGAACAAGCCAGAGTATTTAAAATTTATTGGAGAGAAGGAGCGAGTTGAAAAGACGAAAAAAAAAATAATTTTGCTAAAGAGAAAAAAAATATAAATTATTAAAAGGGTAAATTCTTGGAGCGGAAGAAAGGCGCCATGGAGACGCAGGAATTGGAATAGAACCAGAAATGAGAATCAGAAATGAAATGTTAGACTTCACTGTAATGATTTGTCGTAGCGATGAAGATATGCATAATTTTCAACTGCAGCAGGCCACCATGATACAGAATCAGGACTACAGTGAAATGCAGGGGCGAGGATTTGCAGTTTAGCAATGCACGTTTTGTAGGACTCACAATTTGCAATTTGGTAATACACTACAGGGTCTAAACTACAGTGTAATGTAGCAGGGTACACACTACAGTGTAGTACAGTTTGGCACTAGGGCACCATACTACATGAAAGTACACGGTAGCACTAGGGCAGCACACTACAGATCGACGCAGAGCAAAATTATAGCACCACACTACATACGGCAGGGCAGTGTTGCCAGACAGCGAAATTAAAATTGTCAAAGCTTTTAGCAAGAAAGGATCGAGTAAAGCAAGATAAAACGGAATATAAAGAATAGTAAGAGCTAAGGATGAGTTGAGTCTCCCATAAAAGAGTTGCACCACACTGCGAGGCTGTAAAGAAAACGGCAGAAGTTAGTGAAGGGTAAAGGGAAGGTGGTGACAGTAGCAGCCGCTGTTGTACAAGTAGAAGTAGCAGCAGTAGTAAAAGTAGAAGTGATAGACGACGGAGTCCTGCTACTCCGACAAGGTATAAGGAGTGAGAGTCGACATGTTTGAGAGCTTCTTCAAGCCTTGAAGAACCAAATCAAGTAGGTTCACTACGCCTTCGACCGACGGCATGAGAGCCGGCAACCGCCAGAGATACCACGGACTTTGGGTGACGTGGCTAGGTACCTGTTGCTTCTGGAACCACCAGAACCTTCAGGTCTCCTTCAGGAGCCACCAGGCCCTTCAGGTGTCCTTCAGGAGCCACCAGGCCCTTCAGGTGTCCTTCAGAGTCCTTCAGGAGCCACCAGGCCCTTCAGATGTCCTTCAGGAGCCACCAGGCCCTTCAGGTGTCCTTCAGGAGCCACCAGGCCCTTCAGGTGTCCTAGCCACTTGCATTGCAAATAATGAGCTCTGAACACTTTTTTCTTTAAAGTTCGTGAAAATAAAAAAAGTATCACTTACATCAGCCATTCCTGATCAAACAAAGCTTCTCAATGCAACACAAATTAAGTGTTGCCACTCAGCTCGCCCTCCTCAGTGTTGCCATCCTAAACCCAAATCAAGTGTTGCCCCTCAGTGTTGCCATCCTACGCTCCCTCCTGACCTGCGTAAGCGCGTCTGCCGGAGGCTCCAGCACCAGCCACGCCCTGGGCTTGGGTTGTACGAGTTGCTGGTGGTGGTGGTGGTGGTGATGGTGGTGGGACTGGCGGTTGGCGGGTTGTGGTGGTGGGGAACTGTAAGGCGGGGGAGGAGTACAAGAGTAAGAAGGAGGGGGAGGTGGGGAGCTGTATGGAGGGGGAGGTGAGGTGTTTCGGGTAGAAGCGGCAGGAGAGGGTTGCTGTGTGTTGGAGTCAGCAGGGATATCAGATGGCAACCCGCACACGGGAGTGCGGATGTCAGATGGCAACCCGCACACGGGAGTGCACACCCGCGACGGCACGGGCGTGTTGTTGCTCGAGGACGGCTCAGCAACGTCAGAGTCGCCAGTGTTGCTCACTGACAACACGCTGGTGCTGCCCATGCTTAGGGTGCTACCTGTGTTACTCATGCTGCCTGTGTTGTTTGTGTTTCCTGTGGTGCTCGTGTTGCCTGTGTTACTCATGTTGCCTGTGTTACTCATGCTGCCTGTGTTGTTTGTGTTTCCTGTGGTGCTCGTGCTGGCTGTGTTGCTGTTGTTGTGTGAGGTGAAGGCGTTGCTGCCAACTGGAGTGCCAGTTCCAGAGGTGCTAGAGCTGCCACAGGCCGGCATGGCGCCACACTGCACAACAAAAATATCAATTAAGCAGACCGTGATTATAAACATAGCAGTAGAATAAGTGAAGAAAACACCAAGCAAATTCACCATATCAATATTGAAAACGTTTCGGAGTCCAGCTCCATCATCAGTTCGAAAAACTTAAAATGAATAAAATCAAATTATTATATCAAAATTCTAAGACAGACATAAAACATAAAAATTTAAATTCCTTGTAAACTTGCGATATAAGCAGACTAATAATTTTAGTAGAATAAGTGATATGATCCTGCAGCAGAGAAGCTTGAATGATGGCAGTGGGCAAAAAATGATACGAAAATAAGGCAGAAACATATTACCCGATGCTGTGCATCAGACATGAGGCTATAGCCATAGTAAAAAGTATAACTCAGTACTCACTGCAGCGAGTGACAGAGCGCATTTTCGCGTCGACGAAAACGTGGTCACGGACAGATGGACAGACAGACGGACGGACATAACGAGCACAATAGCGCCTTTTTTTCATAAATGAGAAAATGCGCTAAAAAGAAACTGTTACTGCACCAGAAATCAGGTTGGTAAGTCAGAAATAAAATATCTAGAAATGCATTAAAAATAAAGCTGCTGCTTCAGAGATTAGTTACCCGAGACACTGCATCAGAGAAGAGACTAGGAGGCAGGTGGTTGAGGGGTGATAGCCCAGCAGCCTGGGCACCGGGGTATTGGTGCTGGCAGTGCTGTGCAGTGACGGAGTGTGGCAGTGACAGGGGCGGTCTGCTGGTATTATTTGGAGGCACAGCAGGTACACCACTACCACTTCCTCCTCCAGCAGGTAGTGGAGGGTTAAGGTTCAGGTGCAAGTCCACAGGAAACGTGTCGCTGGACGAGGACTCGCTCATATTTCGAGCCAGCGAGAACTTGAGGTGACATCGTGACCGGACCTCCTCGGACACTGCAACCAGCGCTGCCAAGTACGCCACGTTGTCGGGTGCAACCTGCACGGTAAAAGGCGGTTTATCACACGATACACTACAAATAATGATATATAAACTTTCCGAAATGGATGTTATAATCGGAGAAACCTGCATCTGATTTCTTGTTAACACGTCTTGATATAACCGTCCACACACCACACATGACGCCCTCACATCTGGTGATAACTATCACAATCCTGTTTTCTGTCATTATCTCACCTGATGTCACAATTCACCTACTGCAACTATCCCATCTCCTGCCCCATACCATCTTCTGCCTTCATTCGCACTGCTGCCCGTCATCCCACCCATTGTCACCACCTGTTGCCACCTAACCACCTTTCCACCAACAGTCACCACCTGTCGCCACCCCACCACCTTTCCACCACCTGTCACCACCTGCCCACCTCGAACTTGTCACGGCGCGCGGTCTTGGCGACGATGGCGAGGAGCGTGACAAGAACGCGGGCGGTGCGGGAGACGGTCGTGGGCGCTGGGTGCCTGTAGCCCTTCAGCAGGTGCCCCACCAGAGCCACGTGGAAGTTCGCTGCGGGAGACCAGTAACAAAAATAAGTTACTTACACTTACAAATTGATTTTTTTATTTATGTTGCCGAATCTCACTGTTATTTGGATGTTATTTTGGCGCAATCAATGATCCTTGAATTTTATTTTGACGGTGATCAGAGATGCTTGGTAGTAACTTTGATGTTTTTCATGAGTTGTTTGGCTGCACTTTGTTTTCAATTGCGTTATATTTGGTCCGTCTAATGGGAGTGCGTGGATCTTACTTCAGTGCTACTCAGTGTAGACGAGGTGACAATTTGGTGTTAATCAGGTTCTATATGAATTACCTATGAGTGCTTATACCAGCAAATAATGTTCTACAAATGCGTAAAAAGAATACAGCGTGCGTTAATAATCACTTGTTGAGGCGTCTTAGATACAAGTAAGCTATGCGCTACTCACACTTGAAGCTCAGGCCGACGGAGTGATCCAGCTGCTTGAAGTGCCATTCCAGGGGCTCCCTGGTACTCATCATCACCTTCTCCAGCGCCTGGTTACAGAAAATAATACGGTTTAAATTACTTGCACACGCACACATTCTAAAACTTCAACAATATTAATAATTTAGATTTTCTGTATCCACATAATTAGTCACCTTTTATTCCAGAGCATTACTAAGACTTGCTGCCTAAGCTCTCCCTCATGCTGTCCACAAATTTAACATCGGTATGACAAATGAAAATTTTTTTTTTACAAATTTTTTCACAGAGTAGGCGTTAAGTTGCATTAAACCGCCTCGATTTCACTAAATTCGTCTACTCAACTAAATGGCCACATGAGATCTAACATTTACCAGCGAGGGCTTAAATCAAATCTCATGACTCTTCTCTCCCGACCAACATACATGTTAGGAGGAAGGCAGTACAGTGATGTAAATAAAACCAACGAGCAAATAGCGTTTGCAGGTTCATCAGCAATGGATATAGCGCCGTATGGAACAATGAATCAAAAGTGCACACGGACATCATGGTTGTGATCCTGAGACAAGGCTTGACGTTGACCCTGACTGTATCTGATCGACCCTAATTGACTTAATTGATTATAATCACAATATATTTAATAATCATTGACAGAACAATAATTGAGGGGCCATAGTTGACAGGCCTTGTCGACTCTTGAGGAAATGCAATCAATGACAAAATGATTCATCTATGGTTAGAGATATGGTTTATACACGGTTAGGAAGAAGATGGTGCATCAAGGACAAGATGGTTTATGTATGGTTAATGACAAGATAGTTTCGATAAGGATAGGAACAACATGGTTTAACTATGGTTAAGGCAAGATGGTTTAGATACGGTTAGGCAGATGACGGTACATCAAAGACAAGATGGTTTATATATGGTTAGGCAGATGGTGCATCAAAGACAAGATTGTTTATATATGTTTAGTGGCAAGATATTTTCCATAAGGATAGGAACAATATGGTTTAGATAAGGTTAAGAAGCAGATTGTGCATCGTCACGCACGATGGTATCAAAGGTGCCCTGGTTGTCGAGGGTGTGTAGGTTCTGCTCGAGCAGCGCCAGGCCAGACGCGTACAGCTGAGGCACGTCCAGCTGCAGCACAGAAATAGCCACCCAGAACAGCGACTGGTGGATTGCTGACTCCTGCAATATAACAGAGCTATAGTTGGAGAGAACTCGTCTAGATCAAAATCATACAACAAAAACAAAAGATGTATACATTCACTAATATAATTAGAGGCGGCACACAATCTTCACGCAAGCCACTAAATGGAAGCTGTTCAACAGTACACTCACAGGTCTAAGTAGTGGCTACTGACACAGCCCTGCACACTCACAGGTCTAAGTAGTGGCTGCTGACACAGCCCTGCACACTCACAGGTCTAAGTAGCGGCTGTAGACGTGTCAGGCACATGATAATGGAGTCAATAAGCGTGATGTCGGAGAAACTCTCGAGGGCCTTCACCAAGATACGGAGAAGCTGCTTCATGTCCTGGTCGCTGATGCTTTTACCTAAGCAATAATAAAGCAATAAGTTTGTGCCAGCTCTTACCCCAACAAAATTTAGAGTCGCCCCAGCTTCTGGCAGTCTAAATCAGAAGCTGCCGCGTCTGTAAATTTTCACTGGGTATGCATGGACTTATGTCTACCGGGCATCACTTGGCCCATTTACCTGTTACATCAATTCAAGAAAACACTAACTCATGTCAAAGATACATAAACACAACAGGTACAAGTAAGACCCCCATGCTGCAGTCAAATAGAATTCAAATCCACATGGAAAAATTATCCCAAGTGGAAGAAGGATCAACTGTGCTGATAAATAGCATTCAAATTCACAACAAAAATTTTTAAATTGGCACGCACTGATGCAGCCAAAGACGATGATTCAAATTCACAATAGAAATGTTCAAATTGGCACGCACTAATGCAGCCAAAGACGATGATGGCTCTGGGCTGCAGGGCGGGGTTGTACTGGAAGGCAAAGCTCTTGGCGAGCCCCGTCCATGTCTGCAGCCAGTCGCAGTCCGGGATGTCCCGCATGCACGCCTCCAGGATCTCCAGCAGCGCGTCTGTGATCGTCTCCAGAGACGTCAGCGAGATCCGCTCTCTGTCGCTCGCAGCGCTGTCACACAGTACCAGGATTGACAATTTCAACTTCGTCTCATTAATATAGTCTTTTTAATTTTTCTAATTTAAAATAGTCTGTTAATATAGTCTGGTCAATATAGTCTCTTTGTTTAAACACCACTTCTAGCTAATAGAATGGCGAGCCTTTCGCCATCATCGATTTTTTTTAAAAAATCAAACTGTAATATTAAGACCATATGATTTATGGTCTAGATAACTAGTTAATAACAATTTCAACTCTAACGTGCTATCGAGCGTATTGCTAATGGAACCGAACGCTAAATTATTAGCACCGCGGTCATTACGATTTTGTGTAGAAAATCGGCTACCATGAAAAATGTTTTCTCAGCGAGTAAACTATTTCTGAAAGCATACAGTGAAATTCCAAATAATCGTGAAACTAAACCGTCTTATTTACATGAGCGGTCAGCCCTTAAGCAGCGTTCTGCATTCCAGCATGTCGTGAGTTTCAATAAGATACTTTCATTACAGAATGAGTTGTCATAGGGCATTTATGTCACTTAAATTTGCATTGCTGCGACTATGATGAGCTTCTAAACCTGGCAAATTCAATGGCATTCAATGAAATAAAATTCAGTGGAATGAAATGCGCAGTGAAGAGACCGTACGAGCAGACAAGATGTATAGAAGTAAGAGCAAATGCAGAGATAAAATCAAATGCAAGGATGAAAAAACGAATGTAAGGAAGAAAGTTCGAATGCAAGGATAAAAAATCAAATGCAAAAAATCGGACGTAAGGATGAAAGATTGAATGCGCTGGAGGAAGACCCTCACCTGAGGCCCCTCTCAGAGGTGTGCCTGTAGGAGGCCCTGAAGGCGGTGACGGCAGCACTCTTCACTTTACTGATGCCGAACAAGAGGTAGAACTTGGGCAGCGAGAACTCGTCCAGTGACAGACGCAGGACTCGTTGGGTCTCCTCTGTTCAAAGGAAACTATGGTAAACATAAACATAACAGGATATTTTATATTTTCTAAGCCATCATAGGTATTTATACTACAAAATATCTTCTATTACCAAATGAAAAACATTCAGAAGCAGAGTAAGAATTTCATAGCAAAGAAAAGGTCAAGCGAATAGACCAGTTTATTTCATCGAAATCTTCAAGTTAAAATATAAGTTAAAGTTTCAAAGACTGATGAATTCATGATGGAGCTGGTGTCTGAAATGTGAATGACAAGGTGAATTTACGTGATGTTTAAATGGCCTTTAAAGTTCTCATTCGAATTTCGATTTAGGCAAACATGCAAAAAAAACATAAGTATGCTGTGTAAGAAGGCTTGGTGCAGGTGCACAGCTCTACTGTACCTGAGAAGGAAGGCTTGGTGCAGGTGCACAGCTCTACTGTACCTGAGAAGGAAGGCTTGGTGCAGGTGCACAGCTCTACTGTACCTGTCTCTTATACACATCTAGATGTGTATAAGAGACAGGCCTAGTCTCACCTAGTGAGGTTAGGCAGCCAGGGCATCTCACCTAGTGAAGTTAGGCAGCCTAGTCTCACCTAGTGAGGTTAGGCAGCCAGGTCATCTCACCTAGTAAGGTTAGGTAGCCAGGGCATCTCACCTAGTGATGTTAGGCAGCCTAGTCTCACCTAGTGAGGTTAGGTAGCCATGGAGTCATGTACTCCAGACAGAGATGCTTGAGTTCGATGCTGGAGGAGCGGAAGCCCTGTACGCACTCCTCCAGGAACTCCAGCGTGAGGTGAGGTTCATTGGCGGCCAGCTTCTCGCTCACGCTCTTGATGAAAATTGTGTTGTTTGATGGGATGCACAAGCCTGCACATATAAACTTACTCAACTTTTGTTTTGTTTTGAACCTTTTTTTTCAAACAAAACTTTTGTTTTGGTGTACGATAAGGATCTCACGGCAGCCAAATTCATTGAAAGGTCGCTAATGTAATAAATATATTATGAGATATTCATTGAAATGCCGCTAATGTAACAAATCTAACAAATAATATATACCTATGTAAGATAATGATAATAGATAATGTAATAAATAATATCTTATGAGGTTCCGAGCGCCCGCTGATAATTGATAATGTAACAATGAATACATTCCAAGGTATCCATTGAAAGGCCGCCAATGTAACATATATATTGCGAGGCATCAAGCGCCCGCTGCGCACCTGAGGTCTCGAGCAGCTGCCCCTCTATGCGCAGGTCGAAGGTCTGCGTGAGGGCGCACAGGAGGTTGTAGGCCGCCGTGCGCAGGTTGGGGTCCAGCGACCCCAGGTTCAGGAGCGCCATGTTCAGCAGCGTCCCCGGCACGTCCTTAGGGCGTATCTTCTGGTGCACCGTCACTGAGTCCTGTAACACGGCAGTCATGAGTGACTGAGTCCTGTAACACGTCAGTCATGAGTGACTGAGTCCTGTAACACGTCAGTAACAACGAGTGCATCAGGGCTGAGTGAAGGTTGCGGGATGGATCAGTGTTGAGTGACAAATGGTGGGTTGATCAGTGCTAAAGGATGACTGCGTCAGTGCTAAGTGATGGGTTTGTCACTCCTGAGTGACGAGTGCCTCTGCCCTGAGTGGGACCAGCTACTCACGGGCTGGGAGAGCTCCCAGCGGGTGCGGATGTGGATGATGGCTTGGACGATGCTGTCGCAGTCGTTGTGGATGAAGGAGAGCGGGCCTGACTCGTGGGCGATGGTTAGCGTGAACTGGTTGTCGTCCACCAAACAAACCTGCACAAATTACATACTTTTATCCATCAACCTAAATACCTGCACAAAATCAAATTAGTAGACAGGTACATCACCATCAATATACATTAAAAAATATAACTCAGTAGGTGCTCACTGCAGTGAGTGACAGAGAGCGCATTTTCTCGTCGACGAAAATGTGAAAGTCACGGACGGACAGACAGACGGACGGACGGACATGGCGAGCACAAAAGTGCATTTTTTTCATAAATAAGAAAATGCGCTAAAAAGAATAAATTAAGCGGGCATAAACAAAGACAAATGATAACAGAAAAACGGACAAACCAGCCATAGATGCTGCATGAAAGAAGATAACGCTTATAAAACCCAAATACTAAACTCGATACCGACTGAAAAGTCATGAGGAACATGGAGAACAAAACAAAAGAGGCTTACGATATCAAAACATGTATACATAAACATCGTTCCGTCTTACTAACAAGATTGTTCCCATAATATATTGGAAAATAAGTGCTATAACCTTTATATTGGTGCTATACCCCTGGCCTACTGATAGCAACGTTCAAAACCTAGACATTTATGATTATATTATGGGTTAAAGTAACGGGTTAAAGTAAAGGGTTAAAGTAACAGGTTAAAATAAAATGTTTAAGTAAAGGGTCAAAGCAAAGGATTGAAGTAAAGGATTAAAGTAAAGGGTTAAAGTAACAGGTTTAAAGTAACAGGCTAAAGTAAAAGGGTTAAAGTAACGGATTAAAGTAACACTTTAATGTATACCAGCCTATATAATAGGTAAAGAGATACGCACCTCCTCGATCTCAGAGGCGTAGTAGACGTCGTTGAGGAGGACAGAGTGCGAGAGGACCTTGGTCTTCTCGGCGGAGGTGACTTGTATTGCCGAAGGACCGACCTTGATGGCGACTTTAGTGTCTTTGTGCGAGAGTTTGAGTGCATTATTAAAAACTTTGAGATCCTCGTCAAGTGAAGTGGTTGCACCAGGTAGCTTCTGTTGGTCAGGATGGATGTGGTCGTTAAGACGAGCCGGAGTATCAAGAAATATTAGTTTCTTGTGGTTCTTGAGAGGAGCGAGTGCGCGGTCGTGATACTTCGTATACTCTCGCACCCAAGAGTCCGCGTTGTAGATGTACGCAGCATGGATATTTTCGTAAGCGACTTCAGGTAGAACCACGAACCATTTCTGTAGGAACTCGGTCCTGAACCGGTTCTCGGTGCTGGTGTGAGTGAAGTCTATGACGAGTTCAAAGGGCTTGCGGCACACAGGTTTCAGCGTCAGGATGACGTGGTAAATCAGCTGGTCGCCATTCGTCTCGCCGATTTTATAGCGACGAGCGATGTAATAAAATACGGGATTACCAGCCCTCGAAGTACCGGCTTGATAGAAAATGTTCAGAGTCTTGATGCTTTTGAACTCATCTTTTTCATGCATGTTATGCTTGGCCATGATCTCCTCGAACTTGGTGCTCGTCATGTCCATGCTACTCCACTGCGAGTCCATAGGCTTGTGTTCTGGAGGACCAAGATAGGCGAGCAGGGTTGCCATCTTGTCAAACGGTCGTCTGCCAACAGCCTTGTGGTCACGGCTACTGGACAGGTACTCGCCTGAGGGACAACAACTACCATCAGGGACTGGTATCAACACTACTATCAGGGACTGGTATCAACACTACTATCAGGGACTGGTATCAACACTACCATCAGGGACTGGTATCAACACTACCATCAGGGGCTGGTATCAACACTACCATCAGGGGCTGGTATCAACACTACTATCAGGGACTGGTATCAACACTACTATCAGGGACTGGTATCAACACTACTATCAGGGACTGGTATCAACACTACTATCAGGGGCTGGTATCAAGACCAGGGATCACGGTAGCAAGTTTTAAAGGTTACATGAGCTCTCGTAACAAGAATATTGTTATCTAGCAGCAGTATATTTATGAATCGTTCAAATCTCCTAGAAAATTTCTACAGCGCCAAATATTTCAATCATCATAAAGTTGCTACTGCATCAGGTAGTCCAATATTTAATTACTCCAAGATGTTCTACGGTCTACAGCATCAGATACGTAATTCGAGCATAATAACTAGAAATTTTGATGACAGTTACTCGATTATAAAACATATCAAGCTTTAGCTTGACCGTGCAGGTAATATATATAAATAGCATTAAATCAATAATAAAGTTTTCTTCAATGTGTAGCATTAAATTGAGTACCGGTACCTATTTTCTTCTGGTAGTAAATCTAAGCGCCATAACCTTCGAGTTCCCCTAACAGGTATTTTTCACCGTATAATTTATAGAGCACTAGAAGAGCATCTAGTATCTTCTGGTGATTAATGTAAGCACAATAACTTTAATGCTTCTTAACAATGAAATAATAAGAGTATTAACTAGACTACCTATTTTCTCCTGATGGTTCCAGAGGAGGCGGAGGAAGAGCATCTAGTATCTTCTGCTGATTAATGTAAGCACAATAACTTTAATGCTTCTTAACAATGAAATAATAAGAGGATTAACTAGACGACCTATTTTCTCCTGATGGTTCCAGAGGAGGCGGTGGAGGGCGTGCACGTTGGCGTCGCTGATGAAGGAGATGCTGTGGCTCGCCTGCTCGACGCTCTCGCAGTCGCTCGCGATTTGGATGAAGAACCGACGCGCTGACTCGAAGTTCTGCGGAAATATCATCAAGGTAAACGGTTCTTGCCATCAGAGCCTGCATGCTTGCAACAAAATATGCAAAAATATAAAAAAAATTCTCGGTTTCCTGCTATCAGGACCTGCATGCTTGCGTCAAAATACGAGTCCTTGTCGTCGAACCCATGATTCTTAGAACCGTTAAAATCAGGATAGTTTGCGTCAGAACCTGGGTAGTTGCCATGTTTACCTATCACGTCTCCCTATTCATATACCTCAACGTCACCCTATTCATACACCTCAACGTCACCCTATTCATACACCTCAACGTCACCCTATTCATACACCTCAACGTCACCCTATTCATACACCTCAACGTCACCCTATTCATGCACCTCAACGTCACCCTATTCATACACCTCAACAACCAACAACTCCTTCCAACCCTCCATCACCCATCATTTCCAGTGTATTATCCAGCGCCCGTAGTCCCTCCACTTTTCCATAAAGTTACAACATCCATCATCGCCTTTATAGTCCTCACCCTCATAAATCAACATCTCTTTTTTGTGACCCCGTCCCCCATCCCACCTGCCAGAGGTACTATCTTACGTCCCCGTCCCCGTCCCACCTGCCAGAGGTACTATCTTACGTCCCCGTCCCTGTCCCACCTGCCAGAGGTACTATCTTACGTCCCCGTCCCACCTGCCAGAGGTACTATCTCACGTCCCCGTCCCACCTGCCAGAGGTACTATCTAGCACAGCTCTACTGTACCTGAGAAGGAAGGCTTGGTGCAGGTGCACAGCTCTACTGTACCTGAGAAGGAAGGCTTGGTGCAGGTGCACAGCGAGTGGATTATGTTGATGACGAGACCGTGGGTGGACGCACGCATCGACACCTGTCCCGTACACACCTGCAACACAAACACGTTACACCCAAGATATCAACACGCTAAATCTGTGACAAAAACATTACAATATGACAAACGCGTTACACCTGAGATATCAACACGTTACACTCATGACCTAGACACGTTTCACCTGTGATATCAACACGCTACACCTGTGACATAAACGTAAAACCTGAGAAAAAACACGATAACCCAGAAAAACAAACACATGGGCTGTGGTGTTGCGGTTGCCAGAAACTTTGTCTCTCGCAACCAGGGACCCGGGGGTTCGAGTCCCACGCAGGACAAGTTCTTACGGGAACCTCAGCTCATGGCCAACTCAGCCATTCATTCAATTCTGGATGATGAATTAGTACCTGGCTGGTCCAGGGTGTTGTTTACCTGGCTGGTCCAGGGTGTTGTGTACCTGGCTGGTCCAGGGTGTTGTGTAATGCAAACAAAATGCTTCTGACAGGTCAGCGAGCCAGTGATTGTTGTAGAACTTACCTGTGGTAAGTCCATCACTGGCTTACCTTACCTCGCTGACCTGTAACCCCTTCCCAGCCGTCACAACCAGGATGGACAACAAAAAAACAAACACATCAATTCCGCGGCACCAACATGTGGGATGGGGCATCCCTCCAGCAGGGTAACCGACCAACCCTCCTGCAGGGTAACCGACCATCCCTCCAGCAGGGTGACCGACCATCCATCCAGCAGGGTGTGACCGACCAACCCACCAAGAGTGTGACGGTGTGGAAGAGGTAGGGCAGATGGCGGGCGACGTCCAAGCAGTTGTTGAAGGAGAGCATGAGGAGGTAGCGCGCTAGGATGGCGATGTCGTCCCACATGAGGTGCTGCTCCAGCGTGCTTGTGGGCGACGTGCACGTCTTGTCGATCACCTGAGCACGTGGTGCACGTCATCAACACGTCATCAAGCATCGACACTTGTACACGACATTACATGTTGTACAACGTAACTTGTACACGACATCACATATTATACATCGTCACTTATACACGACATTACATGTTATACATCGTCACTTGTACACGACATTACATGTTATACATCGTCACTTGTACACGACATTACATGTTATACATCGTCACTTGTACACGACATTACATGTTGTACATTGTCACTTGTACAAGACATTACATGTTGTACATCGTCACTTGTACAAGACATTACATGTTGTACATCGTCACTTGTACACGACATTACATGTTGTACATCGTCACTTGTACACGACATTACATGTTGTACATCGTCACTTGTACACGACATTACATGTTGTACATTGTCACTTGTACACGACATTACATGTTGTACATCGTCACTTGTACACGACATTACATGTTGTACATTGTCACTTGTACACGACATTACGTATTACATATCATCACAAGCTTCACATCATTCAACATTCAACAATATCGTGCCTGCCCAATATTTGACAAACAGGTAAAACTGAAATGTGTAGCATTTCACAAGCTTAAGCACGATGTTCAGCTTAATGTAAAAAATATTAATGATATACAAGATAAGAACCACTGGGATTCCTGCAAGTGAAACAAAAGAAAAGCAACCTTGATGGTCATTATTATTAACCTTGATGGTCATTATTATTACTTTAATGATCATTATATTATTTTCAGCAAAGAAGGCCACATGTAAGCTTACCTTACAGAGACGACCGTATACCATATAAGCAACCTTGACGTCATTATATAATGACCAGCATAATAATGACCATCATAATAATAATGACCTTGATGGTCATTATTATGATCAGCAAAAAAGGCCACCTGAAAGCCCACCTTACAGAGACGCCCGATGACTTTCCTGGCGACGAGGGCGACGTTGGCAGAGGCGAGCGCCACGGCGGTGTCGGCCATGATCTCCGCCTTGGGGGACCCTAGGCCCCCCGTCACCGACCGCTTCAGGAACGAGTCCAGCACCATGTCGATCAGCTCTGACACCTGCAATATGGCATGGTGTCAGACATATGAGATGGTATGATATGGTGTCATGGTGGTACAATATGACATGGTGTCATGGACACCTGCTGTCAGTGAGCTCCGACACCTGCAATATGGCTGTCAGTGAGCTCCGACACCTGCAATATGGCGGTCAGTGAGCTCCGACACCTGCAATATGGCGGTCAGTGAGCTCCGACACTTGCAATATGGCGGTCAGTGAGCTCCGACACCTGCAATATGGCGGTCAGTGAGCTCCGACACCTGCAATATGGCGGTCAGTGAGCTCCGACACCTGCAATATGGCGGTCAGTGAGCTCCGACACCTGCAATATGGCTGTCAATGAGCTTCAACACAAACAAAAGCATATATAGAAGCAATGCTATTCGTATGTTCATTGGGAAGTAATATTCGTGGCACATTCGCACAAACCTGGCCGATGTTGCCCCAGATTTTGGCCTGGATGGACGGGTACATTTCCTCCTCCTCGATGGTCAGGGTGATCAACTTGTCTAAGATCATGGAAACTTTCTGCCGCTTCTTGTCGTCAGGATGGCTGCAGAACCTGAGGGTCAACCGGGCACTTTGTATCAAAAAGATGACAATGAGACTCAATATCAACAGTTTTTAGTAATCAATACACAAATATACATGCAGCATAACAGCAAAAATAAGCAGTAAGCAATGAAAGGTTTACGCAAGACTGCATCTCGGTAGAAAATATGGTTCCATTTCATAAAAACAAATTAATAATTACGCTTACATCAATTAATGCTTGTACATAATACTAATACAGCAGTTGCCCAAAGGTTTCATCATATAAATACATTACGGTGGCCACCATTCCTATATCCATGGAGCTACAACTCCTACAAGCATCCTACAAATCGTCATCCAACTTAAGAGTCCAGCTCATTGTCGCGAGATCGACGGAGTACTGAGTTGTATCCTATAGGATTCCTTCACTATTTAAGCGTTCTAGCCCGACAATAAAACGAGATGAAATTTATTTCCAACTGTTTACTTGCAATCAGTTTGTAAACAGACGTTAAAAACTATGGATGCGACCTGATGATGTTATGTTGAGATCTCACCATGTAATGTTGTGATGGAAATCTCACCTAATGAGACTATGACAAGATTTTAGTGAAATTGTAGTGAAGTTTTAGCAATGATCTCACCTAGTGAGATTATGATAAGATTTTGGTGAAATTAAAGTAAGGTTTTAGCGCTGATCTGACCTAGTGAGGTTAGGCAGCCAGGGCGTCTCACCTAGTGATGTTAGGCAGCCAGGGCGTCTCACCTAGTGATGTTAGGCAGCCTAGTCTCACCTAGTGAGGTTAGGCAGCCAGGGCATCTCACCTAGTGAAGTTAGGCAGCCAGGACATCTCACCCTGTCTCTTATACACATCTAGATGTGTATAAGAGACAGATCTTACGTCCCACCTGCCAGAGGTACTATCTTACGTCCCCGTCCCACCTGCCAGAGGTACTATCTCACGTCCCACCTGCCAGAGGTAGTTGTTGAAGGGAAGCATGTGCTGTTCCTTGCTGAACTCGACGTGGTTGGCGATGTTCTGCAGGATCTTGGACATGAGCATGAGACCGCGCTTCACCTGGGGACTCGGCTGCCGGTCCAGGATGCCCATCTCCACGGGGGTCACTGCCACAATGAATAAAAACATACAAATAAATAAGTGTGTATAAAAGAAACACGCTGTGTCTTAAAGCAACACAAGTTGTGTGACATACAAGCAAACGTTATGTGTCAACTGCAATGATATCAATGCAATAAACTCGCTGTAGAAATAAATAAACTGTTAATAGACACAAAGACACGATGTGCGTCAAAAACTGCATTGGAATCACTTCAACAAACACACGCTAGATGCTATACAAAAACAAGCTGCGTATCAAACAATCACTGCTGAAGACTATTAATTTCCGACATCCATTGAATATCATATCCAAGAGTATCAAACGAAAAAACCTAAGGAGTCTATGAAGCAGCATAGTCTCACCAATAGCAGGATTGATGAAGCGCAGGAAGATGACAGTGCCGACGGCTCCTATGTTGTTCTGAGGGAACTGAGGGAAGCGTTTGCTCAGAACCTGGAAGAGGCAGTGGCACATGCTGCGCAGCTGAGGGGGGAACCTGCAACATATGGTTATCATTAAGGCATCGAAATTATCTTACGATTATCAGTCTAAATTATCAAAGATATAGCAAATCTAGCGGCTGATATGCAACATTAGGATATCGTAAATTTTATTAGGATAAATAATTATTATTCTATTAGAATAGAATAATAATTAGGATATTAATTTACGTAAATTTTATCAGGATATCGTACATTTTCTAACATTCACCAGTCAAAATCTCAACAAACCACACGGGATTGAGCGTCAACAACAATAATACATTATATGCTCATTGCTCAAAAATAAATACCCTAACAGGATTTCGACCGATCACGGGTTAGATTTTGTTATTTTTCGGCATCATTTAACCCAATCAGAAGTCAAGTTTAAGAATAGAAATTTAAATTGAATATGTGAAACTAAAAAATATAAGAATCGTAGTTGCACACCGCAATGATAAAACTGTGATAGGATATCAAAGGTCATTTCAATTGAAAACCACAACTAAAGAGCAGCATATCCTACACCACTAACTTGAAGACAGATGATGCAGGTTTTCACCTGTCAGCAGACACGCTAAGCTGAAGACAGACGAAGCAGGTTCTCACCTGTCAGCAGACACGCTAAGCTGAAGACAGACGAAGCAGGTTCTCACCTGTCAGCAGAGCTGACGATGGCGTTGAAGACCTTGGCAGTGAGGGCGATGAGGTTCTTCCTGTTCTCAACGACATCCTCGTGGGGGTCTAGCCTGGCAGGGTCTACTTCGTAGGAGAGGGGCAACGTGCCAGCCTCCGTGTAGACCAGGGGTCTGATCAGCGGCTCCAGTAGGTTGTGCAGGTACGAAGCCCCGTATATCTGAGCCACAAATGCACATATTATTATTATAATCATTATAATTATTCGAAGCTTTTATCGTGGCGTCTGGTTCAAACGAACTATGAGGGCACGTCACACGTAAGATTAATAAGATAATATAATTAACATACGAGTATTAAAACGTAGATCTGAGCCAAAATAACTCAATCTCGTACACTGCATCTGACCAACAAAGAGGATTCTTAATTGCTCGAATACAGTTGTGAACATCAAGCGAGATTATTATAGGATAATTTAATAACGAACCTTGAAGCAAAAAGCCATGATTTTGGAGCCGAGAGAGTTGCCCCTGAAGAGTGTCTGCATGCAGTCGGAGACCTCAACCTCCTTGTAGAACATGTTCCACAGCAGCGGCGACAGCAGGTGCTTCGCGTCGAACAGCGTCACGAACATGCGGGCCAACTCGTCCTGCAACACCGAGGGCAATAAATACACAGAAAAGATGGACGTGAATAGAGAATTAAGATCATACATGCGGGTCAAATTGTCCTGCAACACCGAGGGGCCATAAATACACAGAAAAGATGGAAGTTAACACGTGAATAGAGAATTAAAAACATACCCGGTACGTAATCAAGAGCACCAGCGATAGCAGGTGTTCTTGACCAGCGTGACCGCGACATTCAAAACTCTACACGATGACTTTTGGTCTGACCATGTGGGGCGTTTGGACTGACCATGTGGGGCGTTTGGACTGACCATGTGGGGCGTTTGGACTGACCATGTGGGGCGTTTTGACTGACCAAGGGGCGTTTGGACTGACCATGTGGGGCGTTTGGACTGACCATGTGGGGCGTTTGGACTGACCATGTGGGGCGTTTGGACTGACCATGTGGGGCGTGATGACGACGGAGGCGAGGGCCATGGCGATGGGCAGCTCGCCCTTGTCGCCGATCATCGTCACGAGCTGGACGAGCTGCTCGTAGCGGTCCGCCAGCACCGTCTCCGCCAGCGTGTCGAACTCCGTGCCTTGTTGCAGGATCTTCGTCAGTACCTGCAGGAGTACGTCAGAGGCACGTCAGGGCCTGTCAGAGGCACGTCAGGGCCTGTCAGTGGCACGTATGGGCCAGTCACACTGTCACAGGCATGTCAAAGCCACGTGAAAACACATGATGGCATGTGAGGTCATGTGAAACAATGAGAAGTCAGTTTTGACGTAAAGGCATACGAGGTTTATCTCCATGAAAGTCAAGGCCTACCCCACGTCAGGCCTACCTCAATGAAAGTCTTGAAAGGCCTACCCCACGGCAGGCCTACCTCCATGAAAGTCAAGGCCTACCCCACGGCAGGCCTACCTCCATGAAAGTCAAGGCCTACCCCACGGCAGGCCTACCTCCATGAAAGTCAAGGCCTACCCCACGGCAGGCCTACCTCCATGAAAGTCAAGGCCTACCCCACAGTAGGCCTACCTCGATGAAGGCGGCGCGGGTCTGCAGGTCCTTCTGGTAGCCCAGGCCGATGGAGTGCATGAGGCCGGAGTCGATGTTGGCGGACAGGAGGTTGGACATGGCCTGGATGGCGGCCGTGCGGAGGGCGGACAGCTTGCCAGGTGGCAACCGCTGCCTCGTTGGGTCCTTCTCCATTTGCTGCACACAGACAACATACAATAAAACATTCTGATGGAAATACTGATAGAATAAAAAATCCAGTCAAAGAATCAAATAGTAAGATTGAAATCTATAGTCAAACATGTGATTTGGAACATCGCTGGTCTATGCTGTTTACGGGATCTGGGTAATATCTGTAGTATGAATATCATGTGGCATGAAGAGTTTTGAAGACGATATGGTATGTTTATCGAATGGCATGTCTAAAACGCGGCATGGATGGAATGTGGCTTGTATTCAATATATCATGTCCAGTATGTGGTATGTCAAAAATGTGGCACATATGAATCAATTTGCTTAAAAACTTTACACCACTGAAGCAAAAGCCCTGACTGAAGAACGTGAAGCCCCCAAAGCCCAGGCTGAAGCAAAAGCCTTGGCTGAAGCAAAAGCCATGGCTGAAGCAAAAGCCCAGGCTGAAGCAAAAGCCTTGGCTGAAGCAAAAGCCATGGCTGAAGCAAAAGCCCTGGCTGGGGCAAAAGCCCTGACTGAAGCAAAAGCCCTGGCTGAAGCAAAAGCCCTGGCTGAAGCAAAAGCCCTGGCTGAAGCAAAAGCCATGGCTGAGTAAAACCCCCGTGAAGAGCGTACAGTTCTGACGTACAGTTCCTGAAGTTCTGACCTCCTGCGCCTCAGTGCAGTCGTTGAGGAGGTTCATGAAGAGCGTGAAGTACTTAAGGAAGAGCTGCGACTTGGCCTCCATGAGGTCGCCTCTGTCGCTCTCCTCCGGCTGCAGGGGCAGGCCCCTGAGCAGCGCCGCTACCGCCTCCATGCACGCCTGGTCCAGGTCTCGGCAGCAGGTGTTGATCTCGTACGACCACCTGCACAGTCGCGGGACACTTAGGGACTCCTGCACAGTCACGGGACATTCAGGGACTCATGCACAGTCACGGGACATTCAGGGACTCATGCACAGTCACGGGACATTCAGGGACTCCTGCACAGTCACGGGACATTCAGGGACTCATGCACAGTCAGGGGGAATTCAGGGACTCCTGCACAGTCACGGGACATTCAGGGACTCATGCACAATCACGAGGCATTCAGGGACTCCTGCACAGTCACGGGACATTCAGGGACTCCTGCACAGTCACGGGACATTTAGGGACTCCGGCACAGTCACGGGACATTAAGGGACTCCGGCACTCACGGTGCATACAGGGACTCTGGCATAGTCATGTATACCTAAGACGTACCTACAACTTAGTCAACAAGTTCGGGGGCCAACAAGAAAACACAATATTCTGGACCTATTACTTACTAGCAGTCAAGAACAGTTTGCAAATTTGATTTGAGTTTCCGATGGCCTACTGGTAGTGATCCCTAGACTGGCCTGGTCTATGGGCCCTTAGGGTGTAATCTGGTGGGAGTTGCCCATGACCAATAGAGACTCACCCCGAGACTGTGGCCTGGTCTATGGGCCCCGGGGGCGCGATCTGGTGGGAGTTGCCCATGACCAATAGAGACTCACCCCGAGACTGTGGCCTGGTCTATGGGTCCTGGGGGCGCGATCTGGTGGGAGTTGCCCATGACCCAGTCGGTGAGGTACTCGACCATTTTGTTGCGGAATTTCATCTCCTGCCTGAAGGCGAGGTCGTCCCGACGCTGCATCATGACCTCCACCAGCTGGCACAGCTTCGTCTTGATGTGCAGCGTCAGCACAGTCATCTCAAGATGCCGCACGTATCTGCACAACACAAAAATCTCAGGACTCCAGGCTGGAATTCAAAAGGAGTACATAAAAACAAGTGCATTTAATATATTGAATCTAAAAAATTGATCCTAGATTTTCCTCTAATATTTCCCTGGTGTTATGAAACTGATCAAGGTACCAGACTATATCAATCTCGAATGTATATAAACCACCATAACTAGAACTACACCCCCGTAATGAAGAGCTTCCGTAATATGCGCTCGAACTGAGGTTTTGTGTGCAATGTGCAAAGCTTGGCAGATGGTAACCAATTTTTAACTTAAAAGTCAATAACTGCCAATTTGGACTAGAGTAGCAAGGGAATAATGTTGCACAGCAAATAAATTTTTCAGTTGGTTGTGCCATAGCTTACCAACGATACTCGGAGCATTGAAGCTGAAATAACATCAAGATTGGGATAATAATGATTGAATATTTTACAAAGGAGTGGGTTAAACAATAAAAATGAGCTGCCGCGAATGGTTAAACCAAATCTCTTTTGAGGGAACTCGTGTGTTTAGAAAACTTTTATGTTTCTGTATGGGCAGAAAACGTATATAAAACGTATGCTTCTGTATGATAACATATGCTTCTGTAGGCTCGTATGGGCAGAAAACGAAGGCATTTATATACCTGACGATGGCGAGCATGAGGGGCTCTATGGAGGTGACGCCGAGATGTTCTGATGGCTGGTCACTCTTGTTCTCCAGCACGTTCTTCATGATGAAGATGATGTGGTCGATGAACATGGTGTTCACATCGCTCACCACAACCTGCAAAATATTGTGATGTGGTCAATAAAATGGTGTTCACATCGCTCACCACAACCTGCAAAATATTGTGGTGTGGTCAATAAAATGGTGTTCACATCGCTCACCACAACCTGCAACATCATGGTTGATGTTGCAGGGCAATATATTATAATCTTCATAGTGATGTGGACAATAAATGTTGTATTCATTTCTCTCTAAAATTCAAAAGTCACTGCAAACTCTAGGGTTACGCGGCTTCATATACAATCATAAGTCCATATACAAGACATTTCATCAATGACGTTAATACAAACGGCATATAAATGGTTAAATGCTTCAAAATAAACAACGAGCAACAATTTTAAACGCAAGACAACTCATAAATCGTTCGTTCCGAAGCTGATTCCGAGCACATCGTTAAGTTCATAAGATATTTTTTCAAGATTTTGCAAATCTTACTTGAATGTCTACAGTGTTTCAGTAGCATTTGCAAAATGTGTTTGCAGTATGCAAAATATAATTGAATTTCTTCAAAGTCAAAATGACTAATAATGAACTGTATTGACCCGAGCAAAAGTTAATAGAACTTGTTCATCAAAATATATTAAATTTGCCCGAACCTGAGTTTGTTGGTCGAAGAATTTATCAACAATGAGTTTAATTTGGTCGAAGAGGCTGGGGTAAAGGAGGGGCGACATCTCGTGGCCGACGAGCTCCTTAACGTGCTTCTGGATCTGCGGGCCAAAGCGCTCGTTGTTGCACACCAGCAGCTTCAGCAGGTGCCCCACGAACCTGGGGCATGGGGGCATGATGAGTCATGTGTGCCCCACGAACCTGGGGCATGGGGGCATGATGAGTCATGTGTGAATCTGGGGCATGAGGGCACAATAATTGTGCCACTGATGCCCAATGAACCAGGGCCCGTAGTATTAAAATAGTTACTAGTTCATCACCCCGTCAGCTAATCAGTGAGAGCTTTTCACCCACCAATCACAGGCGAGGCATCGGCCGCTACGTGTACTTAGGCAGATTTGAATAATCTTCCAAACGACGCTATACTACCGGACTGTGCAGTGCTGCGCGACTCACTGCGTGACTGAGCAGTGCTGCGTGACTCACTGCGTGACTGGACAGTATTGCATGTCCTGGCTGGTGGCCGCAGGCAGGATGGCCTTTTTGGCTGCGGCCTCGGACGCGGCGGCCACGGAGGCCGGGGACCCCGAGAGGCACCCAAGGAGCGGCGCCCCCAGACCGGCTGCCCCGTGGAGACCGAGGTGGGGGGGCCGGGACGAAGGGGACTTGCCCATGAGACACACGCCCCCCAGGGCGCACAGAAACCCCGTCATGTTGGCCCACTCGTTGACCTGGTCGATGACCTGTAACACGCAGGTCATATAGAGCTCCTGCAACACGCAGGTCATAGAGCTCCTGCAACACGCAAGTCATAGAGCACCTGCAACACGCAGGTCATAGAGTACCTGCAACATGCAGGTCATAGAGCACCTGCAACACGCAGGTCATAGAGCACCTGCAACACGCAAGTCATAGAGCACCTGCAACACGCAGGTCATAGAGTACCTGCAACACGCCGGTCATAGAGCGCCTGCAACACGCAGGTCATAGAGCACCTGCAACACGCCCTATATGTGTACTACACACCACACACTACACACACCACACACCTCCAGCTCGTGCTCAGAGCTCTGATGGGACGCCCTCCTCTTAGCAACAGAGCGGTGGAAGGTCTCAGCGATCTGTCCGTCCTCGAGTTTGGTGCGCGGGTGCGACGTGAGTTGCTTGGTCAGACTCTCCCAGTTGATGAAGGTGTCCTCCCACGCCTGCAGTACCCCAGGGGTGCACTTCTCGATCTTACGTAGCAGAGCTGTGATCCTCTTCTGCAGAGCTGCTCGACCTCGGGACATACAGAGTTATTAGTGTACTGCAGAGCTGCTAGACCTCGGGACATACAGAGTTATTAGTGTACTGCAGAGCTGCTAGACCTCGGGACATACAGAGTTATTAGTGTACTGCAGAGCTGCTAGANCATTTTTAAAACCGCAAGTTTACCGCTTGATGAAATAACCCCAATCTAATTATTAACATTTAACAAAAGTGCTTAGTGCAATATAAGCACGAGAGTGACGATCCTTGATTGATTACCAATCAGTGATGATATGGCCTAGGACGAGTGAGGTTGTCGAACCGATCTCTGTGACGCAAGCTTCACCGTTTCTGTTTGGTGGTTTTGAATTCTAGAGTGCTACTTGAATTCTGGGGTGCCATTCAATATTTCACTGATCTTGAAAATCATCATCCATTCATGGAACTGGCTGCCTACTGCATCACTTGTCTACTTTGACCTGTCTCCAATGCACTCATGGAGCGAGTGTTTACACAAGTCATCAATGTGAGAAACAAGCAACGAAATTAAATTTCAACTAAGGTACTGGAGACACTTATTCGGACCAAAATCTATCTGCTCAGCCGCAACAAAGTGATCAGACCCGAAATGTTAGATTAATGTAATATGCAAGCATGTACGGAAATAAACAAAACGCAGATGACCTGTTTCCGTGGCTTGCTCATGTTGAGCGATAGGGAAAGAAGTGCCACAATGTGTTAAAAAAAGGAAAAAGTGCCAATGTAATCAAACACAGGGAAAGAAAAGTGTCTAAATGTTCCAAACAGAGGGAAAAAATATAACGTGTTCAATTTGGCTGATTATCGTCAAGCCAGATAAATGCACAGTACATAGAATAGTTTTTTTTCCTTTTTCTAACCAACGTTTCTGACGAATAGTTTCAATAAATTTGGAGGTATTATTCTATTTTTGAACAAATTAATTTCTGGTATATTCCTGATATTTTGAGCTAGACAATCTGGTATTCTCGTCAAGAAAAAAAGCTGACAACACTGGCTCCGTCCTGCTATTGTGTGGGGAATAACCTCCATGTTTTCTCTGCGGCATAAGTTATAAAACCGAGAAACATTACAATTTGTACAAAATATATGTATTGCTTTGAACTATAACTTTTAGGTTTTTGACGGAACCGTTCAATCTATGGCTCAATCTAGTATAAAGCAAAATTGATGTAAATCTACTGTATAGAATAATTCTAATGGATTTTCGCAGAACTTATGCGTATGGGACTAAAAAACATAAGTTTTTCATTAGTGTACTCGTCGTTGATTTTTAAAATGTCAGAAGTATTATTTCATAGCTCATATACATGTATATCATTTTACTTGGAATTTGCTCAACGTTTGCAATATGGTCGCCAGCGTTAGCCGTCAGCCAATCAACGTGCGAGAAACACGGCATTACCAAATATGGTCATATACCGAGGCAGCTCCAAGAGGGTTAGTCCATTGCGGCATAAGGGGGGAAAACACATTCTGGAAACTTGATCGCCCAATCTCTCTATCTATTCCCTGTCTCTTATACACATCTAGATGTGTATAAGAGACAGTGCCTATAGAGACCATGAATGTTATAACATCAACACACCCGAGAACAATGGCCCAAAGCATATATTCGGATGCATCCATCCTCACTGACGTCTAACCATGCAGCATTTAATGTTCGAAGAGCGCGGTTTCACAGACAGTGAAACCGAGTGTAAACGGGCCTTAACACGGCGTGTAAACGGGCCTTAACACGTCACGCGGGTTACACGTTAGGGCACGCTAATACACACGCAAGTGTATTGGCTATGCTACTCTCACTCGTGCTGAGTTCCTTATGTCAAAACACTTTTTATTCTTAAGGGTGCAATTGACACTGGTAAAAAAATTACACGAATTGCTAGTCAACACAAATGCCGTGTAACGCGCACCTGCACCATGCGCTGCACCACGCACCTGCACCATGCGCTGCACCACGCACCTGCACCATGCGGCGGCAAGAAGCAAGCAACAGCATCGTGCATCAGCTGGCCCAACTGAGGGCAGATGCACGGTAGTCATGGACTGGCCCCTGACACGACTTGCCTGCCGCGGCCGAGGGAGGAGGAACACTGAGGCGGAGTCCCAGCGTGGTTTGGGACTACAACGTCTCCTGGGGCCATACTTTCAAAACTCGATAAGTGAACGTAAGTACTAACGCTCTACTTTCTTGTCTATGATTGGTGGATTTTGCTTGAAAGGCCGTCAATGATTGGCTGATGAGCTTACAATCTCTTAACTGTTTTTGAAAGTATAGGCCCTGGACTGCTACGTCCGAAACCCTTAATAAGGATAATAAGGCATGCTTCACCCACTTGGATCATGCGCGCCTGCGTGACTTTATTGAGCGTGTCCGTGAACATGGCGCGCAGTTCGCTCGACTTGCCGTAGACGAGGTCGATCTGCGGCCACCACGGCAGACGCGGCTGCGTGATAATCCTGGAAAATACAGCCATGCTATAAAGGCTGATATGTTATTACATATTATCATTACTATTGTTGATTCGTACGGTGTAAGACATGTTCTGCAATTTTCAATCCGGAGGCTTTAGCACGACTTCGAATGAGATAGCAGGCATTTATAGAGCATCTTCAGAGAGAGTGCTGCGGTCACATTAAGAAGCTTCATATGAATATTTATATGCAGGGGTTGGAAAAAATAAGGGAAACGCCCTATATTTTGATATCGTAATTTTTGAACATATTATATATAACATAAAAAAACGTGACATATAAAACGTGATATTTTTTCATCTTTTATTGTTTATTATTGCTGCTAATTGATATTTTATCCTGACACAAATATTTTTAGTAACGTTTTGTGCCTATAACCTAACCTATAACCTATAAATGGCTAACCTCGACCTCAAAATTGTAAGTGCCAGTATGGCAGGTGTTAGTGTGACAGAAACTTCCCGAATGCTCGACGTTTATAGAGGTACCGTCTCAAAAGTAATGACTGCTTTTGAAAGAGAAGGAAAACCGTCATCAGCAAAGCACAGGTCTGACCGAAGGTTCAAATTGTCCTGAGGGAGATCGTCGGTAACTAAATCGAATTGTGAGGAACAATCAAAAGACCACGGCTGTTAAAATTACTGCAGACCTCAATGGACACCTATTAAACCCAGTTTCCATAAAGACTTTGGCCGAGAGCTTCACAGCTCTGGATTCTATGAAAAAAGCTGCAATCAGTAAACCTCTGGTTTCAAATACAAATGTTTCAAAGCGTTTAGAGAGGTGCATAAACCTCCAGAATATGTCCCACTAGCAGTAAAAAAATTTGATTTTCTCTGACGAATCATTTTTTACCTTATTTCCAACCTCTAGCCCAGTTTACGTTAGGAGACAGTTACAACGAAGCTGCCGGTCAGCTGCGGCAGAGCCACATCAGTTCATTCACATGCAACTTATTAGGGGAAAGGTGCACCCCAAAGCAGCACTTGCCCCGTGTAAGTCATCCTAGACTATACACGGCATCTCTCCCCATCTGCCATCTACCCATATGGCCCCGACGTTTTCGCGTTGTAGAAAAACCCTTTGTAGACAGCAGCAATTTTGACCTTTTCTTTCTCCCTTTTTAGCGCATTTTCTCGTTTATGAAAAAAAGGCGTTATTGTGCTAGCCATGCCCGTCCGTCCGTCCATCTGTCTGTCTGTCCGTCCGTCCGTGACTTCACGTTTTCGTCGAAAAAAATACGCTCTCTGCCCCTCACTGCTGAGTACTGAGCTATATTTCTTTCGTTTGTGACTACCACTTCTCGCGTCTACTACGCGAGCTACCAAATTTTGTCGCCAAAAACGGATCAGAAAACGGAATTACACGCAGCCACTCACCGGTAGAGGGAGCTGATGAGCACGAAGTGGTAGTGTGAAGGTGAGTTAGAGTTGAGGCAGACTTTGAGAGCCTCGTTGTTGTGTGGGTTTATTCTGAAGAGCGACACGAAGCAGTCGATCATGAGGTCGACGTCTTGACATATGAAGACCTGGCCTCTGGTGAAGGGCTTGGCAGGGTTGAACAGCACCACCTGCATCAATGAATATGACATTGATATGGTAATGATTATGAGCATCAACATAATTGATATTTATACGGTAATGATAGTAATACGAGACATACAAGTCCCTGATGATAATGATCAAGACGGTAAATAAATAGCTCGAGGATATCATAGCTTGTGGCGAGACATGAATAAATGATTGTTGAATACATGATGGAAAATTAATACATTGCTGATTAAAGAAGATTTCTGGACTGCATCAGCTGGAGTCCTCGGTGTTGATGTAGGATGTGGTCACCTACCTTCAGGTCGTTGATGATGCACCTGTCTCTTATACACATCTAGATGTGTATAAGAGACAGGTACTGCAGAGCTGCTGGACCTCAGGACATACAGAGTTATTAGTGTACTGCAGAGCTGCTGGACCTCGGCACATACAACGGAAAATGCTTAACCCATGTGATCAGACTACCGAGTGAAGGTACAGTCTGTCGCTATTGACATTCTGCAGAACAAGAAAATTCATGCATCTTCTGAAAATAACACAAAAAAAAAAATTTACTCAAGAAGATAAATAATGTATAGATACATAGGAAAGACTGGCAGAAGCGTTACTGTAACTATAGTAACAGTAATCGGCTCATTAGTTCCTGCATACATCTCGCTAGTTGCGGTTGTTAAGGTGCAGGGCTCACTAGTTACAGTGTAGGGCTCGCTAGTTACAGTGTACGGACTCACCTGACTGCTGATATTGCTGACTCAGTACACGAGAATCCTGAGACGCTGCATGTAGTAAAAATAACGAGCGTGAGCATAACGAGCGTGATTAGATGACGTGAGTAAAGGGCGTGAGGGAAGAACACAAGTTCAGGATTTAGGGAACACAAGTGATATTTGAAGTTGGTATACGAGGAAAGAGCAGCGAGCTCAAGAGTTGAACTTAACTTATTCTTTCTATTGAATAATTCACTAAAGCCTGCCACGTATACGTTTTTTTTCTCAAGCTAATGCCATCAGGTTAAGTAAAAGTTCTTTCATCTGTTTAAGGCAACAGCATTGCTTAGCTTGAGAAGTTTATATTTCTTACTATTTATCTGCATATCATTAATTTACATGTACGTGACAGACCAGTCGGGTTATTCCAGACTAACGTAAATAAGTAATTAAAGTATTTGGTAATCATAACACGTTATTAGTAAGGTTAATGGTAGCACGAGTCGTAGTCTGATGGTTCAAGTGTAGTGGAAGACAGTGGTAGATGACAGTAGTATAACATGAAGTAGAGTCTCTACCAGTGGTGGGGATGGTAGATGCAGCTGCCAGCTCCTGGTAGACGTGGTAGTTTGGTAGCAGGTAGGTTACAGTGGCCGTGACTTCGTCCCATACACAGCGTATGTCAGCCTCCTCACACAGCAGCGCGAAGCACGACATGGCAACCAGCACGGCCTCCATGTCTATGCTCCATAGGTACATCAGGAACACGACCTGTAACACGACATGAGCATCAGCACGACATGGACATGGCAACCAACACGGCCTCCATGTCTATGCTCCATAGGTACATCAGGAACACGACCTGTAACACGACATGAGCATCAGCACGACATGGAGGTCACCTACCTTCAGGTCGTTGATGATGCACTGCACCAACTGGAAGACCACGTTGTTGGAGTCGTTGGTGTTGATGTAGGTGGCGAGCTTGCAGAGCTTGACGCCCGTCACCGCTGCCGCCTCCGTCATGTGCTTGCCTGCAGCAAAATAACGCTTATCACTATCAAAGCATAAACCTGTATCACTAACACAGCACAAACCGTATGATTATCGTAGTATAAACCTGTATCACTAAAATAACGAGTATCACTATAACAGCATGATCCCGTATCATAACATAAAACCGTATCACCATCACATCATAAACTCGCATCACCGTCAGAGCACAAATTCACATCACCAACACAGTCATGGGAAGCTTCTTTTAATGTTCCTGCAAATAACTACTATTTTCCTACCAGGAGTCCATGCAAGCTCCCCTTCCCTGAAGGCACGACGTGTAAAGTCAAAGTATGAAATTAAACTAGAACTATAAATCAGCGTAGAAATTGTAAGGAAACTAACTGGTCATGAAAATGATTCACTGACCAAACCATGCAAAAGTTCTTGAATTTCTGTCATAATTAGGCATTTAGTGAGTGCACTCCTTAAGTTCATCATATATAATTTTCTTTTGTTTATAGACTGGTTAAAGGCATGCAAACTAATACTAATTCATTCAAGGTAAAGTGGACCCCGTACCTCAGTTTTGCACTGGTCTCTTCTCTCACTGTACATACTTCAATATAAATAAAAGGTTATATAAAAAAGGTGGATTAGGATGGTTGTAAGGGAATTGGAGATCATCACTAATTCAATGTTTTCCTGAACCCTTTGCAACAAACACCCCAGGCACATCACAAAACCATCACCACACATTACATCCTACGCATTACATCATTACGCATCTGTCGCATCACGTCACCACATCATTACATCACTACGCATTACATCACCACATCATTACATCACTACGCATCACATCACCACTCATCACATCACATCACCCACTGGCCGCGTGAGGCACTAGCGCCTTCTTGAGCTGTTCGATGAACATCTTCTTCTTGTGATGTCGCACGGAGCACGGCGCCCCCGCGTCTGCGTTCACCACCTCCTCCAGTACCTTCTGCCTCACAAACATTAACAATATCAGTCAGCGGACAACATCAGTTTGTTATCAAAACTACAATTATTCCAACATATTCGGCACAACTAAAAGTGAGCCTGGCAAGGATTGACAAGGCAGGATGGACAAAACAGGGCAAGGCGGTATGGACAAGACAGGATGGACAAGGCATAGTAAGGCAGTATGGACAAGAAAGTACAAGGCAGTATGGACAAGACAGGATCTGGATGGACAAAGCATAGTAAGGCAGTTTGAACAAAACAGGACAAAGCAGGATGGACAAGATAGGACGAGTCAGGATGGAGAAGACAGGGCAAGTCAGGACAAGGCAGAATGGACACAACAGGATTAGGCAGGATGGACACGGAAGGATGGACAAGGCAGGGTAGGCCAAGGCCAGATGGATACGGTGGCTAGACCACTGACCGGGCAGAGCACCAGCAGGATGATCTGCAGGGGCCAGACCTGCGCCCGCTTCTTGCTGTTCTCGTTGAAGGAGTCGAGACACTCGAAGAGGAACTCGCAGCACTTGGCCAGCTCCTCGTTGCGACATTTCTGACATGGACAGCGTTACTTATTACACTGGTAATGCAGGTATTGATTATTCTATTCCCCTTCATATCGTTTTTTATCACGCTGGTAACACAGGTATCTATTATTCTATTCCCCCTCACATCGTTACTTATTACACTGGTAATGCAGGTATTGATTATTCTATTCCCCTTCATATCTTTACTTATCTCACTGGTAACACAGGTATCAATTATTCTATTCCCCCTCACATCGTTACTTCTCACACTGGTAACGCAGATGTCAATTATTCTTATAACCATAAACAGCGTTACTTCTCGTACTGGTAACGCAGGTATTATTTATTGTATTCCCCATACATCGTTACTAATCACACTGGTAACACAGATATCATTTATTTCATTCACCCTCACATCGTTACTTCTCCGACAGGGAACACAGGTGTCAGTTATTCTAATCACTAGAAACAGCATTACTCCGCAGACCGTTAACGCGAATATCAATTACGCAGTTTTAAATGCGCAATGCAGGGCAGGTTATACCCACTACTGAACAAACAAATATAGCGGGGGGCGCGTTTAGCATTAAATATATACATAGATTACGACAAAAGTTCTATCTCAAGACCTCCTGGAAACAAACCAACATATTGCATTGCATGAATCACTGACTGTCCAACCATGACCTAATCTTCAACGCTATAATTCTGTACACTATAATGTTTTAGTGTAGTTAGGCAGAAGTTCTTCATTTATGCAGGTTCCATTGAAGACCAGAGCATACTTTTCTTAACAATTTTCTTATTGTTTTTCTTTTCAATAAGCCGAACTAAATTTCTTGCTAGTGCTTGGAGATCACAAGCAAGTTACCAAATGACATTTTACTGGAATACGATGTTTCGAATATTCAATATTCATTATCAAGCAGGTGAAGAGTTATTACAACGCTTAAAATTTAAATTTGAAAATGACATAAGTTCATACAGAAAGCATCTTGATACGGTTAAAAAAATAAAATTAATCTGAGAATAATTTCAACGTCCTGACGAATCCGGCGCTTTGCAAATTGATAGCAAGAGACTCGTCATTGATAATGAGAGCCTCCGCTATGGACAGTCTCGTAGTGTCGGGGGGCACCGCATGACGATGCTGGTGCAGGCCTCCAACGTGGCACGGGTGATGGTCTCGTTGTGGGCCTCCCGCATACGATTCTTTGGTCCTCCAGCTTGCAGATGGCATGTGAGGCTGCGGCTCAATGTCGTGCTTGTCAAACCGATGTAATTTACATTTTGGAGAAGTCTACAACCTTCTTTCAAGCAGGAAAATTTGTAAACGATATTGGTTTCTTGCGGCGGTCCGGACTTTTTACATGGATTATTTTTCATAATTAAATTCTTGATCTTTTTGTTTCTGTAGTAAATCGAGAGTTTCATTTGGTCACTTAATATTGTGCAGCTTATGTTATTTTGCACAAGTGAACTAAGGACTTATTCGTCTGGCCTATGGCCGCTGTTCATCTGATTTTGATAGTAAACTCAGGTGACGCAACCTCTTGATGTGGATTCATCTGTTCGGTTTTAAAGTGCTCGAAAATTTGAAATATCTGTGTACATAGTTTTGTTTGCAAACCGTTGTTAACGAGAATTTGCTTGCAAGTTCGGAGTTCAGTTTTCAAGTCACGAGCGGATGTACAGGTCTTGAATGCTCGATGCGATGTATGATCGAGTGCGCGTTTGGTACTGATTTTGTAGCGCTGGGTACATTCGCTTTCTTCGTTCAAGACCTTTCCGACGTCTGTAGGTTTCCGATAAACTCTAGTGACGAACGAATTATTATCGTCTTGCACCAGTATGTAGAGAAAAGCAACTTGTGATTTTGCCCAAATTCGCAAGTGAACGTCAAAAAGGAATTGCGTTCTAAAGCCGCGCGCAGCTTCATCATGTGATCTTCATCTCGAACGATGACGAAAATGTCGTCGACATATCGACAGTAAAGGTCGGGTTTAGTCTGTGCACACAGTTTTCGAGTTCGTAAATGTAGAGTTCGGCGATAGGACGTTGAAATTATTCTCGGATTCATTTAATTTTCGATTTTGAGCCGTATCTGAGATACTTTTTGTATGTACTTATGTCATTTACAAATTTTAATTTTAAGCGTTGAAATAACTCTTCACCTACTTGATAATGAATATTGAATAGTCGCAACGTCGTATTCTAGTAGTCATTTGGTAACCTGCTTTTTATCTCCGAGCACCGGCAAGAAATTTTGTTTGGCTTATTGAAAAAAACGTAAGAAAATTGTTAATAAAATGTATGCTCTGGGCCTATTCTTCCAAAAAAAGTTAAGAGATTGTAAGTTCATCAGCCAATCATTGACGGCCTTTCAAGCAAAATCCACCAATCATAGACAAGAAAATAGAGCGTAAGTACTTACGTTCACTTAGCGAGTTTTGAAAGTATAGGCCCAGGTTTTCAATCGAACTCACTATAATATATATTATACGGTAAATACTAAATAAATAATAAATATTCAGCACAATAATATACTTCACTATACATACATGCCATTGTTAATTATCCTACACTATACAAGGAGGCTAGAGGCACCACCCACCTGGAGGTCCAACAATATACTTCATTATACATACATACCATTATTAATTATACTACCGTACACTACTTTATGAGGCTAGAGGCACCACCCACCTGGAGGTCGGCAAACTCTGCAGGGTACGTGGCCATCCAGTTCCAGATGGCGCGCTCCATGGAGGTCATGAGAACAATCTGCGCGTTCTTGCGCAGGCTGCGGAACTTCTGGTTTGTTTCTGAAATGTATCCACCCGCCGATAGTTTATTAACAAACAATTTAGTCATATTATTCTTAAATTGTAGGTATTGGTTACAATCGTATATACGGAGGGCGATTTTCAAAGAGCCTCCTGCCATACTATCGAAAATAATTTAGAATTTGTAACTCTGTCAGCCCAAAACTGACGTATATTCTTCAATCACAAGCAAGAAATCGATCACTACGTGTATTTCGGCCACTACTTAAACTCGGGCTGCTATGTGTACTTAGTGCTCTACATGTATTAACTATTAAGGCCGCTACGGGCACTTGGGCCGCTACGGCACTTGGGCTACTACGGCCTCTTAATTGGCCGCTATACGGACACTTGGGCCGCTATGGGCACTTTTGCCGCAATGGGCACTTGGGCCGCTACACTAAAATGTTATTTGCATGCACAACAAACAAAGAGTAGCTCACCATTGAGGAGTTTGACAAGCCGCTCGACATCGATGTTGATGTACTGCATCAGCTCGATGTCGCTGTAGTCAAGATTCTCTTCCGTGTTACTGGTGCTTAGCTCTTGCAGTCTTAGAAACAACATCAGGCTTAGTGTGCAGTCTACTAGCCTTAGCACAGACTACTTAGCATGCACACAACTGGCCATAGTACATTCACATTCACTTAGAGTGCAGACTATTGGCCATTATGGTGACCAGCCTAACAATAAATCCACCAACCAAGCACTATCTCTATGACAGCATTGTACAGTGATTATTGGAGAGATCATGAGTTTAAGCCACTATGGCTGGGCCATTCATTTCCAAGTGTCACTCCATACAATAAAGCTAAGTTTGTGAATATATTATTCAACATGTGTCTCATGAGGCTCTCCTAAAATGCCCATTGTATTGAGTACGGTACCTATACTAAATCAAAGCTTACATCAATCATAATAATTCTTCAAATTTAATAAATACCTCTACAATAACAACTAACTGCAGATGACATTTGCGTCTAGAAATTGGCAGCAAAGTTTAATGTTAAGCAAAGAATTACCGTCCTACTGTAATGTTTATCACAAGACAGAAAATGGCATGCTTACCTGGCAGAAATGCGACTGAACACAGCACTGAAGTTGTTTATGCTCAAGGCAAAGAGAACTTTGGAGGCAAAACTCTTGATTTGAGTGGCCATGAGCGAGTCATGGCTGATATCTGCAAAGCACAATCATAGACTTAATCTCTAAATAGAACCTTAATATTTAAAGTAGGATGAAGCTTTGCACATAGGTACGTAATGATAATCTACATACTCCGACAAGCATTAAACTCCGTATTATACCATTAAAATGCAGAGATTTAGAGAAATAAAAATTCATGTGCAATAATGACCAGAATATTTAGGGACATATAGAACTTCAAATCTAACTACAACCATGATAATTATGAAAGCATATAAATTAGAGTATCTTTGGACTAAAAAATATACCTATTCAATTCAAGTTCATAAGTAATTTCACCACTAAGCATTGCATTCACAAAGCAGTGAAATTTAATATAAATGCCTACTGGTGTATGAACACAAAACAAAGTTTTATAATGCAACACTCAGAAGACCTAAAGCTACACACCCATGAACTGGCATATTTCCCTGAGAAGAAGCTTGACATTAACAACTTCATCAAATCCTATTGCATCCCTGGGCTGCGATGAGAGGCATTTCTCTAGTGTATCAAGCACAATGACCAGCGACTCGTAGTAGAAGTTCTTCTCATAGTCATGGCCATGCGGCCGCTGAAATTAAGCAAAGCCTTTCATTAAGTTCTACAAAATTGATAAGAAACTTGTGTGATGAAAATTGCTACAAATAGGCTTGCTCAAAAAGTCAATACATTGATAAGACATTTGAAATGTTCTCAAAATTTTTTAAGAAAACTAATAATGTTTCTATATGAAAAGCTTTTTCATGCACACTGTGCATCATAGCAACATGATACAATTCACATTTGTTAGCTAACTTTATTCTCTGGTCATCGATTAAACTTGTATATTTAAGGGTATGATTTTTTTCCTGACTACTACACCAAAATCTGCATCATAACTGCATGCATGCAGCTCACAATAATTGTTCCAGCTTGGAGAGAAGACCACTTACCAGTTCATTGACTTTCTGCAGAATTTTCGTAAGGCCAGATATGACGAGTCCAAATCTGTACTTGCAGATTTGGATGATGCATTCTTTGTTTTTTTGTACATTGTTGCGCGAGAGCTGTGTTTGCGGTCCAGTTCTGCATGGCAGCTGTAATGATAAGGCCACAATGACAGAGTGTATAATATAACCGTAAAATTATCACTAATTCAAAACTCTATGACACTGTTAAAGTGATTACATGCAAGCATGATCTCCTAACCAACAAAGCTGCCAATAAATATTAAATTTTACATGTAAATATGAGTTTGGTTGTTACATTAACTGCCCAATAATCATCATTCACAATGTCAGTGCCATTTCCACTGAACATCATTTGAGAATTAATTAAATTAGAGCTTCAGGCTGGTTTACGTTATAGCAAGAAATTCTGTGACATGATGATATTTTCTTAAATATGCAATAGGTTGAGGACATTAATCTGCCAATATTTCCAAATGAAACAAAAAATTATTGGCCATCATAGACTCATTATAAACTTGTAAATAAAAAAAATTTGTAACTCCAGTTTTGAGTATTGATTTATCTACAAGGAAATGAATCTGCAGGCTATATTTTTCAATAAAATCTTTAATACAAGCAAAGATAATATACCTATACAACTCAGAATTCACAGTATGAAAGTCAGAGCCAAAATGGATGAATATCAACTACTACAATAGATTGTTTCCATCATGTACCACCAACAAACTATTAGGCAGAAAGCAGTGTTTTCAAGTTTAAAAAAAAAAAACCTTCATTGATATTTTGCATGTTGTAAAGACTACAATGCTAATGAAAAAGTGATTCACAGGGACATCCAATCTACTCTGTTTACTTAAAAATTGTTGAAATGTAACCAAATGGTGAACAAAGTTATCTACTTACAATCTATGGATAAGGACACATGACACCTTAGCGCACAGGTAGGAAATGACGGAACAAGACCATGAAGAAATGCATAGCACTGCACAAGATAGGCAGGAAATGAATAGGACTGCACAAGATAGGCAGGAAATGCATAGGACTGCACAAGATAGGCAGGAAGTGCATAGGACTGCACAAGATAGGCAGGAAATGTATAGGACTGCACAAGATAGGCAGGAAATGTATAGGACTGCACAAGATAGGTAGGAAATGCATAGGACTGCACAAGATAGGCAGGAAATGCATAGGACTGCACAAGATAAGTAGGAAATGCATAGGACTGCACAAGATAGGTAGGAAATGCATAGGACTGCACAATATAGGTAGGAACTGCATAGGAGTGATGATAAGGACTGCACCATAATTATCAAGTAATTTAGTCAAGATACTACCATGGCCTGAAATTTCATTTTAAGTTGTCTAATAATCATGCAATTCAAATTAAATACTAAAAAATAAATGAAAATAAAAGTCACTTATTTTTAATTCATTGAAATTAAAAAACAAAATACATATAGACTCAGATGGAGGTAGAAATACAAATCAGCTCTAAAATGTCTAACAAGTTTTTTGTATTAGAGGAGTGTTAAAAAGACACTTCCATCAGTTCTTTACTTGCTATTATTGTATTTTAACTAGGTATCACAATATAAAAAACAATGACAAAGGGATTCAAGTAGACAAAGTGGCATGAATTATATATAATTTCTCAAGCTTAGCTTTTAGGCAGCTCATAAGTTACCTATATATATTTAAAATATTTCATTATCATGCTGCTTGTATGACAATAAACTCTGTTAAAAATGAATTTACTATCCTACTGAAAACCATCTTGCCTAAAAATTAATTTACCATCCTAAAAAAAAAAAGTTTGTACAATTACTAAATTTTGCATCCTTATTTTGATAATGAAATAATGTTTTTCCTAAGAATCTGATGACTAGATGATAAGAATTGTACCTCCAATTTATTACCCTCATATCAAGAAAAAAATTTTGAAGGAAATTATTTTAGCATCCCTATCATATTTACTTCTTATGCAACCAACTTTTCAGACAAAACTGGGTCAAATGCCAATGAGGTACTAATTCAGGTAAGGCAGGCATTTTATTAGCCTGCAGTAAATAAATAGTAATAGTGCAATAACATAACCTTAACTGCTGTGTACCAAAATTTTCGAGCACCTTAACCATCTATGGTAGACTCTAGCCTAAGCAATATTATAGCCCTCATAAGCAATAAAAGATTTTTGGTCTTTCGTGCACTATTTTTTAATCCTTTATAGTGCAGAAATACATATTTTAAAATTAATACTGGCTTCAAAGTTCATCATAGTAGCCTTACTAGACACTCAAGTATATTACTTGGCCTGTCCTAACAGTAATGAAGCTACTTTTCAATATATTAACATCAAAATTAGTATTCATTCATTCATATGAGTGATATGACTAATGTTTGATGTTAAAAAGGCGGGTATTTTATGGACGTGTGTGGACACTGGACAGTGGTTTGTCGCACCGGGCTTGACTGATAAACATTTTTAATAGTTGAGACTTGAGTGTAGTGCGAAGAACTTGCTTCGTTATTAACTATATTAACGGCTTATAACTTTGTTTATAATAGCCCCAAAATAGAAAAATTGACCTTCAAAAAATGATGCGTATCAATTCACACCATGCGTGAAACATGGCTCCGTAGTAGCGGCATCCAATTTCATTCATGAATTCCTGTGTTATTGACAAGTGCAAGGCATTGGAGGTCCAGTGATCAATAAACACAACGGCGTCAACAATGAAAAGCCAAATTTTCGAATTTAATAACATCTAGAGGCCCAAATTTTGTAGCAAATATGTAGATTATTGTTTCTGCAATTATAATATACCAATAGGATTAATTTTTCAGCAAATTTGCCAATCGATGAGAAAATTTAGCAAAGTAAAGAGAATTTTCGTCGTTTCGAACTGACTCTAATTCTGAACTCATTCATGATTTTCACGGAAGTATCAGAGCTGATTTACAATCAATCACAGGTAGTTGTTATATACTAACCTGTTCCTCAAATCTGATAATCAAAGAAGTTACCCATTCCATGGGTTTTGGAGTAGCCATTGTTGGATCCAAACACTATCTTTGGACACCATTTCACATACCCTCCACTCACGGCAACAGATCCTCGACTGGTCGCGTTTGGGAGTGGAGCTCCCTACTTTTCGTTCAGCCCAGGTTGAGACCTCATAGAGGCTGGGAATACAAATAACATCTTCCCTTTTTCCCAATATTTACATAGAATAAAAATATTTTACAAGCTCTTTGCACAGGGTAATTTTTTTCAATGTCTAAGCCGTTATAACTTGGGATTCTGCTGCAACAGATGTTCATCAGAGCTTGCGTAGAGTTAAATCGTTACATTGAAATAAGGAAGAACAAACAATTAAGTGTTAAATTGTTTTTATATGCAAGAACATCGCCTTGACATCGAAATGTTTCGTGTAAAGTTAGACAGGAAAGGCCGGGCGGGAATTAATCCTGTTGTTCTCCGGTAGAACGCTCCCTTATGGTTTATATTAAAGAGAATTTAGTGATGGAGCCTAACAATAGAGTTTATTTGCCAATCATAACCTAGCTTCGGCCAAACCGATGTCCATCAGCCATATGTTTTAATTAATAGCTAAAAATGTCAAGTATCGAAAATTAATGGCTAATGTAGCGCAAACTTCATCATAAATGTTTAGATTTTGCAATGAAATACGAGTTTCGCTGCTTGTCGCACTTATTTTGAAAATAAATGCTGGTCTGATGAATGTTCATTCATCTTTTCTGTCTCTTGTTGTCTCTACTTAGGACTAATTGTAATTAATTTCAAGTGAATTAATTGAATTGTAATTAATTTCAAGGCTCAGTGGTTACAGTTCAGGATTGGAGCAGAGAGGTGCGGGTTCGATCTGAGCTCTGCATGTGCGCCAGTTTCTGGTCAGAATCGGCAAGGAGGCCGGGCGATTAAGCAAAGCAGAATTGTAGCAGTGAGTTGCGAGTTCGAGACCGCAAAATGCTGTGAATGTTCTGTGATGTTAAGAATCGGCGACAGGCCTACGGCCTACTGAACGCTGAAGCCGCTATTATTATTCTGTTCGGTAAAGTCATGGCCTATTTGCCATGAGCCTATTTCGTCAGCGCCGACATTTCTATTCTATTTTATTAAAGTCATCGCATTATGCGCGGTTTTCAGAATTTTATTATTTTTTGTAAATTTTCTTAATTAAGTCTTAGCAATAATAATTATTTTATACGCAATGTTAAATTCCCACTGGTCTGTGCTTTGATTTAATTATCTCACTACGTCATCGTAATTTTTTCCAATATACATATTAATTTAACTAATGTCTACAATTTCCCTCTTTCATCGATATAATTTTTGACCTGGCAGACATACGTACGTGGTCCGCTCATACATAGTCGAACGATCATGCATTCACAAAACAGTTCATTCATGAGTTTGTCTAAATTCATCCATTCATACAGCGATTCGTTCGAGCATTCACACTGACATTCATCCATGCATGCTGCTATTCACCCACCCATTCACGCTGTGGCTGGTACGGGAAATGAAAAGCTCTGTATAATAATTAAAGTTTAATGGCTTGAAGTTCGGTCCGGAAAACTCCAGCTTGTGGGGACGTCAGGCTCAGATATCCCCTACTCCAGAGGACTGCGATGTCCCCTACTGCCCAGGACTGCGATGTCCCCTACTGCCCAGGACTGCGATGTCCCCTACTGCCCAGGACTGCGNTGTAGCGCCGCTACCGCTACATGCTCTAAATGTAGCGCCGCTACCGCTACCGCTACATGCTCTAAATGTAGCGGCCGCTACCGCTACATGCTCTAAATGTAGCGCCGCTACCGGTACTGAAAATGTAGCGGCCGCTACATGTAGCGCGCTACTGCCCACCTCTGCACGCACCTTACAGAAGTTTGTTCTGCTCAGCACGCGGCCACGGGCTTCCTCAGGAGTGCTGCAGCTGTGCAGCAGTGCAGGGTTGCCGCAGCTGCTGCTGCTGCTGTTAGCGCTGCAGTTACTGGCGCAGCTGCTGCTGTTGCTGCTGCCGCCGCTGCACAAGCATCGCAATAACAACAAAATACGATTTTATTAGAGATTTTTGTTTAGTTTTGGGGCGTTTGTTTTTTTTATGGTGTCGATAGCGTATGGATGTAGGCGGTCGAGAAAACAGAGAAAAAATATAAGTCAGCACTCACTGCAGTGAGTGACAGAGAGCGCATTTTCTCTTCGACGAAAACGTGGTCACGGACGGACAGACAGACGGACGGACATGGGGAGCACAATAGTGCATTTTTCCATAAATGGGAAAATGCGCTAAAAAGGGAGGGATGCAAAAAAAGGGCAGAAGGCAGCACTGTGCCATCACCAACAAATCGGACGATCAGGAACGTAGAAAATGAACAGCAGCAGATAAGATGATAGGGGATTTGGATAGGATCAGTGCAGGCAGGATTCAAGGAGAACGAACAAAATGGGATGCCAACGAACAACAGAGACCAAAACTGATCAGGCACTGAGCGGTAAAGATAGAGGTAGCACTCAGATGCGTCAATTGATTCTCATTTGTTTTCAGCGGTCTCTGCAATGCCGGGGGATAATTCCAACGGAATTGAATGTTGAATTGCCGAGTTAGGAGCCATATTACGATAAAGATGTGATGCGGGAGGCTGTAAGGTGGGTGAATAAGACTTGCTTTAGGATTATGAACGCAAGAACAAGAAACAAAGGACATTTGTGTCCCACGTGCAGTCCTTTATGTCCGCAAGTCAAGTTTATGACTTCCTGTAGAGCATTCCTGACATACGTCGGTTTTGAGTTGACCTCAAAGTTCGATCACACTCCAGTTGAACTCCCCCACCAGACATGTGACGAATTGAATCAATATTGGCTTAAACGCTGTTTGGTTGAATCAACGTTAATTCAACGTTGCTTAATTCAACGTCAATTTTCTTGTGGGACTTCGAGTTTGACCACACAATGACTTTGGGAGTTTGACCACACAATTTTTTGCTGTGAGGTCTCACCAGGTGGGCAGGGCGAGGGTGGTGGGCACGCAGCGCCCAGCTGTCACGCCCTCTGCAGGAGGAGGATCTGTGGTGGGCGGTGGTGCTCGTGGCGTGGTGGCTTTCTGAAGAAAAAACTAATGTTCACACCCAAGCAGCAAAACTTTCTTTCTTTCGGCAAAACAAAACAGTATGAAACACAGTACCAAGTATCAACATCGCGCGTCAACACCACGCAGCACATCATCACCGATCAACAACACACAACACAGCGCCAGAGAACCACGTATTCACACAATGCAATACACCGCCGTACAACACAACACATCGCAAATATTATTAACCTACGAAAATGTGATAGCAATAGCTGGTTCAACCGAACTTCGAGGACACATTACACATTTTCATAGAGTACAATGATAGTTTAATATTGAACAAAAAAATTAGAAACAAGGAATTATGATAATAGATAAAAACGACTATGAACAACATTCAAATGAATTAGTTTTGTTTATTAGCCTACGCAAAGCCCCAATGCCTACGCAAAGCCCCAATGCCTACGCAATGCCACAAAGCCTACGCAAAGCCACAATGCCTACGCAATGCCACAAAGCCTACGCAAAGCCCAAATGCCTACGCAAAGCCCCAATGCCTACGCAAAGCCCCAATGCCTACGCAAAGCCACAAAGCCTACGCAAAGCCACAATGCCTACGCAAAGCCACAATGCCTACGCAAAGCCACAATGCCTACGCAAAGCCACAATGCCTACGCAAAGCCACAATGCCTACGCAAAGCCACAATGCCTACGCAAAGCCACAATGCCTACGCAACGCCCCAATGCCTACACAAAGCCCCAATGCAGCCGGGGGAGGACCTGGAGGTCGATGAGCTCGAGCTGCTCGAAGAGGTTCCTGAAGAGGACGTTGCGGCGCTGAGGATCCTGCTCGCTGGGCAGGACTCGGCGCACGGCCTGCGGGTGGCGGCGGTACAGCGTCAGCAGGGCGCGCTCTCCAGACTTGCGGACATCGCTGCCGGGGTGCTGCGCCGCTGACAGTGCCAGCTCTGCCAGCTGACGGGGGGTGAACCCGCTGTGTCGGGATACATGATACATGTCAGAGGACATGTGATACGTGATACATGTCAGAGTACATGTGATACATGATACATGTCAGGGGACATGTGATACGTGATACATGTCAGTGGACATGTGATACATGATACATGTCACGGGACATGTGATACATGTCAGGGGACATGTGATACGTGATACATGTCAGAGGACATGTGATACATGATACATGTCAGAGGACATTTGATACATGATACATGTCAGGGGACATGCGATACATGATACATGTCAGAGGACATGTGATACATGATACATGCCAGAGGACATGTGATACATGATACATGTCAGAGGACATGTGATACGTGATACATGTCAGAGGACATATGATACATGATACATGTCAGGGGACATTTGATACATGATGCATGTCAGAGGACATGTGATACATGATACATGTCAGAGGACATGTGATACATGATGCATGTCAGGGGACATGTGATACATGATACATGTCAGAGGACATGTGATACATGATACATGTCACGGGACATGTGATACATGTCAGAGGACATGTGATACATGATACATGTCAGAGGACATGTGATACATGATACATGACAGAGGGCATGTGATACGTGATACATGTCAGAGGACATGTGACACACGACGGATCTTAGAGGACATGTGATGTTGTAGGACATGTGATACACGATACATGTCAGAGGACATGTGTATAGGGCGAACAAATGTCAGGGGAAATGTGTCGTGAAGAACCGCACTGTTCAAGGCGGACGCGGTGCGGTAATTGGAGGCCGTCTAAACTTTAACGGGCTTTCACGACCAGGATCAGCAAAATGAGGGACCTGGGCCTATACTTTCAAAAAAAGTTAAGAGAGCGGAAGTTCATCAGCCAATCATTGACGGCCTTTCAAGCCAAATCCACCAATCATAGACAAGAATATAGAGCGTAAGTACTTACGTTCACTTAGCGAATTTTGAAAGTATAGCCCCTGGACTACTGAGACAGGTGAAAACACTTGGGACTGTACTCACTGGAGAGGTGAAAGGACAGATATATCATACTGGAGAGGTGATAGGACAGATATATCATACTGTTCACGTGGAAGATGATAACCGGACTGGCTGCACACTTTGAAAGTGAGAAGGGGACCCATTGTGAGGGCATATAGGTATCCAAAGGGACAAGCTGTTGGGGCTGATTCCTATAGGTCTCACGAGTAGCACGCTGAGGAAGGAAGACATCAAGGGACATGTTGTGGCTATTGGTCACATAGGAAAACTGCTATTGCGGGTGGACACCTGCAGTGAGAACCTAGCTGGTGTCGGTATTCTTTTAGATTGAAGATGCGATGTGAATGTTGTGCTACGCTGAAAATGTATTGTTGTCTGTTGTACAACAATGGCTAATGGTAAGAGGCCAACGATAACAATAGTTGTACTCACGTTTCTCTGTCCTTGGGAAGCGGTACGTCAGCCATCCTGCAGAGCTGCATCTCCACCACCGTCACACGGCACAGAGCTGACCGAGGGTGGACAGAGTGGCTGATTGGTCTGGTCAGCTCTGTCCCTATGTTACCAGCTCCTCTGCCCAGCACATGACATGAGTTATTGCCTGCCAGACGCCCAGCTCTGTCCCTATGTTGCCAGTTCCTCTGCCCAGCACATGACATGAGTTATTAGCTGCCAGACGCCCAGCTCTGTCCCTATGTTGCCAGCTCCCCTGCCCAGCACATGACATGAGTTATTGCCTGCCAGACGCCTTTGATCTCGAGGTCTTGAACCTGGTGGGGTGCCAACCTCATGAGGAGGTTCACCTGAAGAAGAGGTCAACCCAGCGGAAAGTATTCACCATACAACGGAGACTAAGAGCACCTCCTGGTGGGGAGTTCCCTGGGTGGCCACTCACCTCGCTAGGGAGTATGTGAGCATCTGGTCTAGGGCGGTGACGGCGAGCTGTCGCGCCCTAGCCGCGTTGTCGGCGGTCTTGGAGAGGAGGTCTGGCAGGAGCTGGTCTAGCGCTGCAGCGCACTCCTTGCGCGAGACCCTGTGCGTAGAGACAGAATACTGCGTGTAGTGCAGAATTGGGGACAGAATACTGCGTGTAGTGCAGAATTGGGGACAGAATACTGCGTGTAGTGCGGAATTGGGGACAGAACACTGCGTGTAGTGCAGAATTGGGGACAGATCACTGCGTGAAGTTTATAATGGGAGACAAAATATTGAGTGTAAGGCAGTAGGGCAGAAGGTTTCTTACACACTCGTACCAGTCACAGACAAGTGTCGTGTCGAGGTGCAAGAGGGGCCAGTATATGCTTGTTACTGTGCAGGCACTCTGCAGTAACTGTAGCTGTTCAGTAGTTCACGCCTCATATTTCATTCAGATTAATTAGTCACAAGTCAGCAGCACATCAGTAACACACAAGTCATACAATATGCAGAGTTTCACACAAAAGTGAATGGCCCCACTAGACTTGCAAACCTCACTAGTTTCACTAGTCACATTTGCCCAACTGGTCTTACTAGCCCCACTAGACCCACTAGTCTCACTAGTCACATCTGCCCCACTGGTCTTACTAGCCCCACTAGACTCACTAGCCCCACTAGACCCACTAGTCTCACTAGTCACATTTGCCCCACTAGCCCACCTGTGTGCTGGAAGGAAGATGGTGAGCAGGACGCTGAGTGCAGCACACGCAAGCTGTGCGACGCTGAACACCTTGTCGCGCACCCCGCGCTGGATGAGCTGAACTGCCGCCCGCAGCACTCTGCGCGGGGGGTTTTACGGGGCTGTTACGGGGCTGTTGTGGGGCTGTTACGGGGCTTTTACGGTGCTGTTAGGGGGGATACAGCCCTGTTATGGGGCTGTTGTGGGGCTTTTACGGTGCTATTACGGTGCTGTTAGGGGGACTGTTACAGCCCTGTTGTGGGGCTGTTGCGGTGCTGTTAGGGGGCTGTTACGATGCTGTTACGGAGCTGTTACGATGCAGATATTGGATGTTGTGGGGCCGCTACGGTGATGTTAAGGAACTGTTGTGGCTGTTAAGATGGTGTTCATGGCTGACATGGGACTGCACTGGGCTGTTGCATGGCTATTAAGACGCTGTTATATGACTGTTAAAGAGATGTTCCATCGCTGTTACAGGACTATTATAGGGCAGTTACAGGGAAGTTACGGGGCAGTTACGTAGCTTTTACTAAGCTGTTCCAGTACTTTTAAAATTAAAAATTTCATAAAAAGTAAGATTTTGTTACCATATATATATGAATCGTGATCATTGAAGTCATTATTGTTATACTTATTTGTCCATGGCGAATTTAATCAATAATACACCAAACTACCTGTCGGGGGTTGCGCTGAGCGGACAGCTCTCCTGCAGCGCCTCCTGCAGCAGCAGCAACCCTGCCTCCTTGTCGGAGTAGCTCTTGCTGTAGCACTTATCCACCTGCACGTACACGTGTACACTTATCCACGTGCACGTACCCGTGTACACTTATCCACGTGCACGTACACGTGTACACTTATCCACCTGCACGTACACGTGTACACTTATCCACCTGCACGTACACGTGTACACTTATCCACCTGCACGTACACAAAGATGTCTATAAAAAATTCGTAAGATGTCTATAAAAAATTCGTAAGATGTCTATCAAAAATTCGTAAGATGTCTATCAAAAATTCGTAAGATGTCTATCAAAAATTCGTAAGATGTCTATCAAAAATTCGTAATATCTCTATCAAAAATTGGTAAGATTTATCCAAAATTCGTAAGCTGTTCACTTGCCTCCAGTTTGATGTGTGCCTGCTTGCATATGGCGATGTGTGCGCCGATGTTGCAGTTGGCGTAGTCCTTGTGGCGCAGCAGGAAGGCGTTGCGGCACACTAGGATGTCCCGTAGCCACTTCAGGATCTCCGTGTAGTTGAAGATGGTGTGTTGGGTGAGCTTCTGGGAGATGGAGAACAGCACCTGCGAACTGCCGGGGTACAGTTGTGAGTATACGGTATGGAACAAGCAGAAGTGTGCACCTAGTAACTAGTGCGATGTGACACTAACAAGTAGGAACTGTGCACCTAGTAACTAGTACGATGTGTCACTAACAAGCAAAAACTGTGCACCTAGTAACTGCTAAGAACTAGTTTCCGGAAAACCGCCCTTGCAAACTGACAATAACGACTGTCATCCAAGTCAGGATGTAAAACAAATTCAGGAACAATAAATAAATAAACTCAAAAACTGAAAACCTGGGTTCTCCAATGGGCTTCTTCAGGAGGTTATGTGCATCTCACCATAAGTTCATAATAGATATCAATGAGTGTCAACACTCATTACTTACACTCAATATTTCAGGCCTGAATAAATGCCTAGAAAAATTAGATGGGAGCTATTACATCTCGATCACTCAATCAACTAGACAAAGTATCATTGGGGGTACGTAAAAGTATGTAAAAAACTTACTTTTACGTAAGTTTTTTTTTTTACAACTGTACTTTTACGTAAGTAAAAGTACGGTTGGAGAACAGCGGGGTTGTCTGTATACGCTGGTCCTTCACTATGGCATTTTACGTAAGTAAAAGTACGTACAAGAAAATTTAGCTGTATACCTGACGTCCCAGAAGGTGTTTATGGGCGCCTCAGGGTTCCACATCTCAATTTTCTCCGGCTGGTGGAGGACAAGGAGCGCCTCCATGGCCTCAGCAGCGACGTCAGGCATGGAGTGGTTGTGCACTAGCGACACCAGCCCGTTGATCAGCTCCAGGGTGCTGCTCTGGATCTCGTGACCCGCCTTGCCCTGAGTAATTATTATTGCTTTATCTTCTTTGATAACGAGCAAGATGACTTACTTAACAAGGGCCACGAGCAGTAATTATCATTGCTTTATGACGATAACGAGAAACGTTTTTGATAACGAGCAAGATGACTTACTTAACAAGGGTCATGAGCATATTCAGCACCAACATTTCACTCATATTGAGCATGAGCACGTCACTCACATTGAGCATGAGCACGTCTCTCACGTTGAGCACAAACATTTCACTCACGTTGAGCATGAGCACGTCACTCACGTTGAGCATGAGCTGTCTCTTATACACATCTAGATGTGTATAAGAGACAGGCCCAGGACTGCGATGTCCCCTACTGCCCAGGACTGCGATGTCCCTTACTGTCCATTATTTCCATATCTGATCAAAAAAGAGGGCGAATTTGGAAGCAAAATCAACCGAAAATTGGCAAAGTGGCCGTAATTTCTAAAAAAAACGCAAGTTTGAGATCCATATTATCATTTGCTAGTACTACATTCCATCGAGAATTCAGAAAACCTTCTTGCAGATGGCAGACAAAAATTTCATTGTGAGGATGGTGTCTGAATTTTTAAACTGGGTTCGATTTTCTTCAACTTGTCCAACTTCTTCAACGAAACTCGCCTTTAAGAGCAAAAGCTGCGTGATCTTCAATTTATTAAGTGATATGATTGACTTTATCAATTACATTTGATATAATCTATTGGGACGTGCAAGTCTATCAAGTCTGAAAATAATGGCCAAAGAATTCCAGGCTCCCGGAAGCTAGCTTCCCTTTACATTTTTTTCGAAAGTGCGAGGAACCACGAAGTTCAACACGCTAGCATAACCTCTAAAATAAATAACTGTACATAATAGGCTAAAAACAATAATTCTTCAGTCTTCTGGCGCAGTCGTCATGTCTGTATTTATATTATCTCTGTTCAAATATATTATGCAGTTTTCGTCTCTATACACTCTGGACTAACGTTGTTACAACGTCACTTGCCTGAAAAGCGAATCCTTCTTCCCCCTCGAAACCTCCCTGCCCTAACGCTACTCAAGTCTGCAACTAAGTTTTTAAAAAGAAATAAGCTCGGCTTTATCAGTAACTTGGTTATAATAAATTTAATGAGTAATAGGGTGCAGAAAAATGGCTACGTAGATGCCAGAATTTAACAGCTGTCTGAGTCTACAATAGTTAGGCATAAATCTATTATAAGATCGTTTATTTACAGACATCACAACGAATTTCAAGCGACGGAAACTTCGTTAAATTATTAGGAAATAAGAGCGCAAATAACAATAAGCACCCATACTATCTATTTTATAATGAAAATTATACCTAAAGGGCCAGTCAATTCACCTACTTCCAGCAGAACCAACTGTTCATATAATTTTTTATCTATTTTTATATACAATACCGCAATGAACAGCTCGGTACTGTGGTCCCGGCAGCTGGGCAACACGGTCCAGGCAGCTCGGTACTGTGGTCCCGGCAGCAACACAGTCCAGGCAGCTCGGTACTGTGGTCCCCGCAGCTGGGCAGCACGGTCCAGGCAGCTCGGTACTGTGGTACCGGCAGCTGGGCAACACGGTCCAGGCAACTCGGTACTGCGGTGCCGATAGCTGCAAATGGGCAACACATAAACCGTCGCCAATGCTATTCCTACCAAAAGGCCTGGTAACGAGAGTTTACCGCCTCGCGACGTTGGGTCGGAATGCGTAACACGAGAACGTGGCAGCACTAAATAAATATGAAAACAAGTTGCTGTAAATTATAAAGCCTGTCAGCAGGCGCGGAATTATTCATCTTCATCGTCAGGACGTGACGATTTTTCAGTAATTCTTTCGTCTCAACACCGGCGTGGCGATTTTCGCACGCACGGCACCTCCTCTCCCGGCCACGTCCTGACGCACGTCGTCGCCCCAGCGCCGGTCACCGTCATGGCGAGTGTGGTCGCCACGTCTGGAAGGGTCGCCTTGACGTGTGTCTTCACCATATCTATAGGCGTCATCATGACGTGTGTGGTTATCATGACGGGCGTGGTGGCCGTGACTAGAGCCATCGTCATGACGAACGTGGTCGTCATGCCGACTTTCCGTCGTGGCACTGGAGGGCCTGCAGCGCTCAGGACGAGGCAGCGCTGTAACAAAATATTGTCCATTGAGAGGACGCTGGGGGGGAGGTGTGGGGGGGGGTTTATGTGAATTTGAACGCGCTGTAGTGGGTGATCGGACGGGTAAGAGACGAAAAGAAAATTAAAGTTAACGGGCAATAAAAGCAAAACGATGATAAAGATTAGGATGATATTAGAAGCGGGACCGTAATAGAGACAAGAAGGTATGAGTAATAGAGGTAATGAAGGTAAGAAGGTAATGAAGGTAAGAAAGTAATAAAGATAATAGATATTAGGTATAATGAAGACCAATATACGCACTGTGAGGCCCTCTGGCCTCCGTGGCCCGCCGGTCCCCCCGCAGGAGGGAAGCGCCCCCCTCCCCACCCTGGTCTGCCGACGCTGTCCTCCTCAGGCCCCCGTAGTGGGGGTGAGTGTCCCCCCCAGCGTTGAAGTCACCCACGCCCCCGGGGTCCTTCTCCTTCCCCCTAGACTGGGGCTGGGGAAAGTCTCGGGTCGCAACGGGTCTGGGGAAGTCATGGCGGGCCCTGGGGTTGGCGGGGCAGCAGTTGGGGCCCGGCAGGAGATGGGCCTGCCAGGCCTCTTCCCCCCCGTGAGGGACGACCCCGTGACACAGCGGGCACACCCCCGCAGGGGGTTGAACAACTGCGGGAGGGTGAACGGGGGTGTAAGGCTAATTAATACGCAACAAATAAAATATATTTATCATATATAGGGTAACGTGGGGCAGCGCGCCCCCCACTTTTTTTAGACTAAATTTTTGATGAAGTTTTAATTGATACGAGGTGGTTCTTTGTTTTGTTTAAAGGTGCAACTAATGAGGAATGTATGATGTGAATTAGACGCCTATAGAGTTATTCAATTTTTAATGAAACACCATTTTGTAAAAAGTGTCAAAATGGGCCCATTGCCCCAACCCTGGGGCAATGGGCCCATGGGCTTGGGGCAAGGCGCCCACCCTTGGTCCCTTTACCACAATTGCATATTTTTCGTTTAAAAATGATAAAACAACACTTTACAGTTAAAAATAAGAAAATGTAATAAAAAATATGACAACGTGAGGGCACCATGTGAGGGCACCATGTGAGGGCACCATGTGAGGGCACCATGTGAGGGCACCATGTGAGGGCACCATGTGAGGGCACCAAGTGAGGGTACCTGGACATGGCGGGGTGGCGGCGGCGTGGTGGCGCCAGTCCCGGACGGTGACCGCCGTCCCGCAGCGTCCGCAGCGGCGGTACAGCGGCGACGCCTGGCACTCTCCTGTCCAGTGGCAAACCAGAGATTTTTTTAGAATCTCTTCATTTTCAATTCCCTCATTTACTCAAGATTTAAACCAATATCTCTATTATCTTATGCCTGATTATGCTGGTATCCAAGACACTTTGATGGTCTACTTATTGGACTCAAAATGGAACTGGAGGAAAAGTCTAAGAAACTCTCTGCTTTTTCACTATGCAGTCTCCTGCCCAGCGCACGGACGTCGTAAAAAATTATCATCACAAGAGACATTCATCCGCTGGGTGAAATGGGCACCCACTAAAGTGAATGAGGGTGAGTATTCACTCTCAGGTGAACTACAGGTGAGGAATAGTACTCACCCAGCAGGTGGGTGCAGAGGGTGGCGACCTCGACGACCTGCCGGCAGTGGGGGCAGCGGGTGAGCAGTGGACACCCGCGCCAGTAGTGCGCGTCCAGCCCGCCGCTGCCGCACCCAGCGTCACCCCGACCGCAGAATATGCACGTCCTGGCGAAACAAATACATCAACACATGGAGAAACAAGTGTTTCAACAAGCTGCAACACCCAAGAATATGCACGTCCTGGCGAAACAAATATATCAACACACGGCAAAATAGATATATCAACACACGGCGGAAGAAGTGTTTCAGCACACGGAGAAACAAGTGTTTCAACATACGGCGGAACAAGTGTTTCAACATACGGCGGAACAAGTGTTTCAACACACGGCAAACAAGTGTTTCAACACACGGCAAACAAGTGTTTCAACACACGGCGAAACAAGTGTTTCAACACATGGCGAAACAAGTGTTTCAACACACGGCGCAACAAGTGTTTCAACACATGGCGAAACAATTATAGTGTTTCAACACAGCTCGTTAAGATGCGAAGGGCAATAAGCAGAAACGCGAAACTGTAAGTGAAGACGTGAAGGGCGATCCAAAAATTCCACCAATATTCAATATATTAATTTATCACGTACTTGTCATCCGTCGTGTCTAGGGGCGAGAGCTGGGTATCACCAGGAGATCCCCCCAGCGAGTTGTGAGGATGACAAGGTTCCTTCAACAGCTCGTCCTGCCGCACCTCCTGCAGATCCTGTAGGACAAAGCCGGAACTTGAGAAATAGACGGACTCGGAACGATAATCTATTGAAAATGATGATTTCATCAGAGAACCTTTAGGACAAAGCGTGAACTTGGAAAAAAATGAACTCGGAACAATAATTGATATAGAATAATAATTGCTTCAGAGTAACGACGAGTCCTTCAGAACACTAGACTATTAATTTATACAAGGTTTATTTGAAGTTACAGAAACGCACTGCCATCCATACCGAGTTAGCATGTAGTCACCAAAAAGAAGATGATACAACAAGGTTCGAACAACAGACGTTCCATGAATTCCATGAATATTGAATATTGAAGCTAGTTAACGTAGCCGTCAGTAAATATCTTCTAAATCCAACCAAACACCGACCACGGGCAGACCAACGTGTACCAAGTACCGCGGGCTTCAGTTATGACGTGGCTAGCCTGTATCGAAAATACGTGATAATGGAATAATTATTTAGTTATAAATATATGATGAGGAAATAATTTTTTATGGTCGTTATTTTTCAATCGAGAATATTAACGAACTGCTAGAACTGATAAACCTTTCCTCGTTGTAGGAAGTTTTCATAATTTAGTTGGGAAAACTTGAAAATTATTACTTTTCTGTTATTAAGCGGTTAAAAGAAAAATAAAACTAAACGGAATACGCACCGAGATACTAACATTCTAACTCCTACACACTAGCTGACTTATTGGCTTTTTGTCAGCGACCTGAAGTAAGACTGGAAGTCGGTACAACAACACAGTGACCCAGAATTTATGTTTGTTTATAATTTCAATCATCAGCATTATATGGCAGAATTTTCTTGATGAAACGCGTACGAATAATGACCAAATAATGCATTGTATTCCAATTTGCAGGGAATTAAAATTCTTCAGATGAAAAATTTTAATTCCCTGCAAATTGGAATATAATGCATTCTCTGGTCATTATTCGTACGCGTTTCAATTTCAATAATTGTACATGAGATAATGATCATTATATAATTGACGGAACCAAACGTAGATGACGGAACCAAAACTTCATTGAGAAGTAACACGCACTCAGAGCTGGGCAGCGCTACTTTGAAATGTAGCGGCCGCAACCGCTGCATGCTCTAAATGTAGCGCCGCTACCGCTACATGCTCTAAATGTAGCGCCGCTACCGCTACCGCTACATGCTCTAAATGTAGCGGCCGCTACCGCTACATGCTCTAAATGTACTAAGTGCTGTCTCTTATACACATCTAGATGTGTATAAGAGACAGGCCATGGAGGCAGGCACCACATGCACCATGGAGGCACGCACCAAACGCACCATGGAGGCACGCACCATGGAGGCAGGCACCACACGCACCATGGAGGCAGGTACCACATGCACCATGGAGGCACGCGTCACACGCATCATGGAGGCAGGCACCACATGCACCATGGAGGCACGCGTCACACGCACCAAGGAGGCACGCACCACACGTACCATGGAGGCACGCACCACACGCACCATGGAGGCACGCACCAAACGCACCATGGAGGGCACGCACCACACGTACCATGGAGGCACGAACCACACGCACCATGGAGGGTACGCACCACACGTACCATGGAGGCACGCACCACACGCACAATGGAGGCACGCACCACACGCACCATGGAGGCGCCGAACACGTAGATGGCCAGCGACGCGTCCTTCCTCTCGGCCTCCGTCATGGACTGCGGCCGCAGAGCCGCGACCTCCTCCTCTGCCGCGTCCTCCACCACACGGCTGACGGCAGCAGGACGGTCAGCCACGAGGTCAGGGAGGTGAAAGTGTCAGCCACGAGGTCAGTGTCAGCCACGAGGTCAGTGTCAGCCACGAGGTCAGGTAGGTCGGAGTTTCAGCCACGAGGTCAGGGAGGTCAGCGTCAGTTTCAAGTTCAGGAAGATCAGTCTCAGTCATGAGGTCAGGGAGGTTCTGAGTGTCAAAGATAATTATTCAAGAATTATTCTACAAATATTCAAGCCTTATAAACCGAAAAACGAACTGAGCTTTCTAAGGCCCGAACCCACGACTAGCCATTTTCATCTCGGTGCCCTACACTAAATGCATAAATTTCCATCGACTCAAAGACATGAAAATCACAAATCGTAATTGCTTGCTCCGCGGAGGCCCGTGCAAACAGGAACGTAGCAACGAATGAAGTATGTAAATGTATAAAGTATGAATCTTAAGTACACAATAAACAAGATACTGAAAATATACAATACAGGGAAACGTACACGGACCAGTTGGGGTAAATCGAGCAGCACATCTGAGGCACTTGCTTTCCTTTTCAAGCAACCTTATAGATGATGCAGGTCTTATCGATGATGCAGGTCTTATCGATGCGGCAGGTCTTATTTATTATGCAGGTCTTATCAATGATGCAGGTCTTGTCTATGATGCAGGTCTTATCTATGATGCAGGTCTTATCTATGATGCAGGTCTTATCTATGATGCAGGTCTTATCGATGATGCAGGTCTTATCAATGCTGCATGTCTTATCTATGATGCAGGCCGAGACATTGCCTTGCAGGTCCCTCGATTTCTTCTCAGCTTATCATGGTGCTCGCTTCCAGAGCTTCTCCAGCGCCGTTATTTGAGCAGTTTTAAGTAGCAGCTTCGGTTTCGTGTCGCTATGCTTGAAAGACCTTGTGATGTAACTACTTAACTACCGCGCGACTTTATACCTCACTCATACACGTATACCCTCACTTGGGGTTTAAACGTCAAGTAAAAAAGGCATTTTGCACATTAAACTAATTAAAAAGACCATTTATGATGGTCATTCAATTATATTCCGAATAGACACGCACTTTCGGGCAGTAATATCCGAGGTTACAACGAAAAATGTTTAAAATTTGTTACTGTCTCGGGTACCGACGATCGGTGACTGACGCATCGCCGCAAGCAACTGCCCCGGCACTGCGGTGTTGGCCTTGCGTGCCCATTGGTCCTTAGCTAATCCAATCAAAACAGGCAATATTTGTTATTGCAATCGTTTTTATTAACATTTGAAGCAGTTTACAGTTATAATTAACTTCAGATTGAGCATTTATAAAGAAAAGAGTTGCAGTTATAGTCAAGTCCAAGTAATTTGTTAATAACAACGAATAGCGATGTACAGACGTGTGCTTATGCCATAGCAATCAATAGACGTGCAACGGAGACATGGTTACCTGTACACCTGACGCTCAGCTGTACACCTACAGTACATTGGTACAGTAACAGGACATACACTATGTACAGGCACAGCACATCTGTAAACTATGTACAGCCGTAGGAAATTCTTACAGCATATGGGCAGTGCACATCGGTGTAAAGTTAAGCAGAGCAGCGACGCCTGATTTGCCAATCCCGTTCTTAATAAATCCGGTTTGATAATCAGCATTTAAGTGAATATATCTATGTATCTAGGAAAACTAATTTTCTCGTAACAATTAATAGACAGGACAATTATCGTCAATCGGTTCTTTGGACATTTACTTCCTTACGGTTACGTCATGAGAGAAATCCGGAAAGTTTGGTCGAATAATTAGCAACGGAATAATCTGCCTAATATCCGTAAAGTTTCTTCCAAATTGGTCGCAACGGAATACTTGGAAAAATATCCGTAGAGTTTCGATTTCCATGTTAAAAAAACTATTCTTTGTGAGCATCTCATAGATAGTGGCTACGAGATTCACAGTCAAGCGGCCGGGAGCGGTCGTTCACAACAGTCATGTTTTACTGCTATAGGCTTTGTCATTTCACGCCGGCCTATTTTACTGCTTTTACTGTCATGGGTTCATCCTGCTAACTCCTCAGCTTCTCAGGTGCCAACAGCGAGCCATAGCCTCACGTCTTGTAAAATTGTGATCTTGATAAATAAAGAATATTTTATAACTTTTAAATTACGGAGTGATAATTTAACTAGATTTTACTACAGACAGTGCATCAATTTTACTAAACACTTCATATTAAAACAACGGATTTTAGTTGTAGAAATAATTAACCAAGAAAAAAATTATTTCAATTTAAAGATTTAGCATTTAACCTGTTATTGTTTTAATAATCCAAATAACTAAATTAAACTAGGCAAGAACAAAACGTAACAATTTCTTGGTAGAGAATAAGAGAATTGGGGTTGCAATACGGCGGAACGTTATGGAGAGACTCCAAAAACCAAAGTGACAAAAACCAAAGTGACAAAACCGAATCCAAAGTGACAAAACCGAATCTTTTATATGTTAGCCGTTATTGTCAAAACCCGGAGACGCGTTATTGTTCATCTGGAGCAAGAACGCAACTTATATCAAATATTTATAAAAAAAAACGACCCAATGGACAGGTTTGTGGTCGTCGCGGTTACGTCGCGGCGTCTGTCCATAAGTTGGTTAAAGTATATATGGGTAAAAACGAACTCCTTCTCACATATGGAAATGGAGAAATTACATTAACTGTGTATTTAATTTAATTTCTGTAAATTAATAATTTCAGAAGCGATTCATTAATAAATTAAGTATGTGGTAACCATACATTACTAACTGGGTCGCTACCGCGAATATTCAAATTTCAGGGCCATAATCAACATATTTAAAATTTGGATCTTTATAAAAATCGCTTAAGGATTCAACACAATTTTTCTTCATACCTTTACGCGAGTTGTGAAGGTGACAAATTAAATCGCCGTGTAAAACTTTTATCCGCTCAAAAGTTCTTTCCTCGATATTTATTGTATATTTGATGTCCAAAACGCAGGTTGCATGTCAGGCTAAAATATACTATACGTGCATCGCTTCGCAACTGAGTTTTTTTCTATATTGCAACTGTATCGTATATTTAAACGATTTATTTTACCATGGTGAAAAACATTTGTGCTTTTTCCTTTGTTTTTGAATTTCTGGGAACTATTACATCTGTTGACATAGCGGAAAACGTCAATTCTTGGATGGCCGGAGCAAACGATACTGCGGCGACATTCTAGCGACACCAGGGCCAAAACATTCTAATTTATTAGAATGCTGGCTTGTTCATTTTTTTCATTTTTTCATAAATTATTTCATTTCATCATTTTTCGTGTCATAAAAAAGACTTGGAACAAATACGGAATACAGGGACGGAAATTCAGAGAAGGTAACTTACAGTAAGATTAAGGAAATATATAAGGGATAAGATATGCTCACGACCACTTAATGTAAAGCAGATTTCATCCACTTGACATGTACCGGATGGGATAACACGACAATAAAGCATGCAAGTGAAGCATGGCATGCCCGCGCTACTTATGCAATTTAAATAAGTAGACTTGGTTCAAACTATGCCGTCATTTAAACTCAAATTTGACTTGGTGTAACGCGTTCAAATGTCAAGTATAATGCTGCCTTTAATGGGGAGTGGGTGCCCAGTAGTTATACTCATCAAAATTGTAGCAGTGAGTTGTGGGTTCGAGACCCGCAGAAGGCTATGAAATTTCTACGATGTCTAGCCCGGCTACTGGCAAAAAGGTCTTTTCTTCAACGCTAACACTCTATTAATAAATAAGAAATTACTGCAAAGCCTCATGGAATATCAAAATTAACGCATACTAAATTAACGCATCCCGTGTTTCAACACTGACTTTCATAAAGCTATATTTCACATCACATATTTCAACAAAATTATTTTGTAAAAAGCGCCGACAATAATAATTCATTATTTTTTAATTACGTGAAATCATTTGTAAGACATCATGGTTAGTTAATATATTAACGTTTTCCAGAGATAAACCATAAAGCTTCGTTCCTTACCTGCACTGTAAGAAAAATTCCCGTTAACGGTATTACCGGCGTTTCAGTGGCCGGTCGGCACGTGAAAATAAACAACGTGTCGTCGTTTTTATTCTAATTTAACACTAGAAATCCGTAAAACATCTGATAAATACGCCGAAACAGTTTATTTTCACGGGGCGACCGGCCTCTAGAACGCCAGTGGGACCGTTTTTTCACCGTTTTTTTTTCTAACAGAGGGTCTCAGATGCGCGAGGAAGGATGATTAATTGGGGGTTAATATTTCGCTACTAAAATACTTCGCTATTCCGTAGACCGAGGCTTCAATGAATACAAGCACAGATACAAGCAGGTAATGAAACAGAGCAAAAATATATAAAGTATTTATTTTACAAATGATAATATAGATACACACATGCACTGCCGCGGCACATTACAACACTAGCAAGCATTAAAGCAAACTAGCGATCATAAAAAGCTGCAGAAACAGGAGGAGGGTTCGATGAAGCTGCACAAATACAGCAGCGAAATTCCAAGCGCCTTACCTGGCCTGATAAATAGATAGAATTAAGTTTAGTTCATAGGAAACTGTTGCTTGCAACAAGTATTCAAATACAACGCTACTGTTATATACCCACTTCTAGCTAAAAAAAAGTTTACTCCTACAAGCACTGATAGCAGTATTGAGTTACATAGAATAAACAATTTTCTAAGTGAAATATACTCTCATCATATTCCATCTGGAAAATACGTATTCTCCTACAAGCACTAACCACAGTATTGAGTTTCATAGAATAAACAATTTTCTAAGTGAAATATTCTCTTTATAAAGAATACATCATATTCTATGAATATATCCTCTATGTTACACGGAGGAAACAATTTTCTAAGTGAAATATACTCTTTATAAAGAATACATCATATTCTATAAGGCAACAAAGGCTACAAGAATGACTTCTCTTGAAATTGACCGCACACGCGTACGAACGTACAAGCGGCCAGCGCAAACACAAACTAACACAGCGATATGAACGTGACCTGAGCACGCGTGATATGTTATTAATTAATTTACAGGGGAGGTTACGAGCTATTACTTTTACTAAGAACTGACACTACACTGGTATCAAGCATTGTAATGTAAAGTACATTTAGCTAACTTACAATGCAAGATATTGTATCTGCACGAGAGTGCAACGGGGCAAACATGATCAAGTGGTTCAAAGTAATGCAAACATTAACGGTAATGCTTGCTTGACTTGCCCCCTTGGTAATGAGTTTGCATATGTCTGTTTGTTGAAATTTATACTTTCAAATTTATGACTCATAAAATTCAGTCGCATGAGCGTAGATGCCAGTTAGCTTAAACTGTTCGTTTTACAGCATTTTATGCAATGAGAGCAGGAGGCGTTTACTGTGAAGTGAGCTGTAACTATGAGTTAAAATAGTGGTACAAATCCAGTAATAATCCTCATAGAACGCAAGTACATGTACAAGTTCATCTCCTGACTTTAGGTGCACACAAACTACCGTACAATGTCATAGTAAGATGTTCTATGAGTTTCTATGTTATGGTCATGAGAAAGAACCGTCAGCTCGACGATGGACTAGACAAGTGCTCTACGGCAGCGCTAGTAATCAAGATTAAGCTACTAAATAATGGTAATTATTCTATACCTACAATATAATAGAATTCTCGACAATATTGTCAGATTCTCCCATTTTCTATGTACAGAAGATACAAACCTATCAATACCCCAAGGTATTGATCAGTGCGAAAGCCAAATCTATCGAAACCAGTCAATATTGATATAAAGAATATTTTATTCTATTAATATCTGGCAAATATATACAAGACTAGGTCCGGTGTGGTAGTAAAACTACTTACGTGACGCTACAACCGCGGTTTAAAATCAGCCGTTCGCGGCAGCACGATTAGAAATTGAGCAATAAAGTGAGCTTCCTTCATAAATGCTGTTAGAGGGACAGTACGATGCTCTACTGTTACCATAGAGCACGGCAACAGGAATCGTGTCAAACGACAGAGAAAAACATCAGAACTTCAACAAGGAATGTGCAGAACGACAACAAAATGTCAACAGAACGACAACAGAGAGTGTTTAGAATGACACTATCGTTGTTGTGCCTCCATTTCCAATCACAACAGCTCCTTAATACTGACTTCGTGAACACATGATCATGATAGTAAATTCTAAAACCTGCTTCATGTTACATCGACATTTGTAACATGCCAATGCTACATCAACACGTCATTGTCTGCAAATGCTACACGTTACACCAACGAATTACCATTTTCAACTTACTTAGTGTTACAAAAACATGTTTTGTATGCTACAAATTTATTCACTGCTGCATGCTTGGCGTAAAATGCTACATATTACACCAGCAAACCCTAAATTCTATATTGCATCCACATACCAATTGCAACATGCTACATACACTTACCATTAGCATCATGCTACACGTGACATTCAACAAGTTATATCACAAGTTGTAGCATGCTACACCTTGTAACAAGCTGCATGTTGTAGCATGCAACGCACTACATCCCTAACATAACTTATGTGTTGGCCCTACTATGCACTAGGTGCCGCCCAGGACTCTTGGAACATGTAAATCAGCCGCTCTATGTCCGCTGAGGCTCAGGGTTTGAGGAGAAGCCTTTGGGCAGCATGCAAAAGCTCGGTATAACAATACTCGGCCAACCCTTCTCATACTCTCAGGCGACTATAAAGTCGGAAATGAGATTCTGACCAAAAAGTTGATTTCGATTTTCAGGGGCCATACTTTTAAAACTCGCTTAGTGAACGTAAGTACTTACGCTCTATTTTCTTGTCTATGATTGGTGGATTTTGCTCGAAAGGCCGTCAATGATTGGCTGATGAACTTACGATCTCTTAACTTTTTTGAAAGCATAGGCCCTGGACCAGAATAACTTTGGGTCGATAGTAGCGACTCTTGGGCAGAAGCCTAGGCGGTACGCAAATTTTGTTAGGGATGTTGTAACATGCTACACGTTGCACTCACTGCTTAAGGGCGGGCAGGGCACGTTCGTCGAGACAGCAATATTTACACCCTCTGCTCACTGACAGCAGCAGGGGACTGCTCACTGACAGCAATATTTACACCCTCTGCTCACTGACAGCAGCAGGGCTGACATTCTACTCCTGATACCCACAAACCGGCGACGCTCCTCCATTACACTAGACACCTCACAGGCCCACACCCAACCATTTATTCGCTCTCTTACACCACAAGCCCACCTCTTGACGAACAGGTCGTCGATACCAAAACCCGCCTTTTACCAGATACTCGCCCACTTGTCCACCTCACACCCATTCCACTCACCCGCCTCCATTGCAATTGATCAACACCCTCTTGCACCCACTGCCTCACCCACCCACTCTTCTAAATTCCACATCACCTCTATTCACCCGCCTCACCTACACCGGATAAGCCCACTCACCCGTCCCTCTTACACCAAATGCCCCATACCCCGGTACCCACCTCACTCATTCACTCACCCTTACACCAGATACCCTATACCCCGGAACCCACCCCACTCATTCACCCGCTCCACCCACACCCCGCACTCACCCCCCTCTTCTCGAGTAGGTCGTCGAGGGCAACCGCAGCGTAGACCTGAGCGCGGTAGTCGCGTATGAGTTGTGTCTTGCGCCGGACGCGCTCGTGGTCGTTGGCGTCGAGCGCGAGTTGCTTGTCGATCTCGAACTTACCGAGCCGCTCCCCAGCCGCCCTCAGCAGCTCCCCTGCCCGCTGCAGCCGCCGGCAGTACTCCAACCGGTCATCTGCACACCGGGTGTGTGGGGTGTAATTGTGGGGTGTGAGGTGTCCACGGGGTGTGCAGGGGTGTACATGAAGCGTACAATGTTGATGGGGTGCGTGGTGTGTACACGGGGTGGGTGGTATACACGAGTAATTTCAAAGCTTTGCAGTTTGTGGGTGTTCTAAAAGTACGAGGATAAGGCTTATTTAAATAGCGTCATAAGATGTAGTAACGACGAACTGCTGTTAGAAAAGGCAAGTTGCATGAATAAAAATGTGTGGTAGTAGGAGGTAGAGAAGTCAGGTATTGACCGCTAGCACGAGTAAAAGTGCGTGGTAGAAAGGAAGTATTGGTAGTGAAGTCAGGTAGCACGCATAAAAGTGCGTGGTAGAAAAGAAGTATTGGTAGTGAAGTCAGGTAGCACGCATAAAATTGCGTGGTAGAAATTAAATTTTGGTAGAGAAGTCAGGTAGCACGCATAAAATTGCGTGGTAGAGAGGAAATTTTGGTAGTGAAGTCAGGTAGCACGCATAAAAGTGCGTGGTAGAAAAGAAGTATTGGTAGAGAAGTCAGGTAGCACGAGTAATGGTGCGTGGTGGGAAGGAAGTTTTGGCAGAGGAGTCAGGTAGCTTAGCTACCTGACTTCAGGAAGCACAAGTAAAAGTGCGTGGTAGTAAGGTAGTACTGGTAGAGAAGTCAGGTAGCACAAGTAAAAGTTCGTGGTAGTAAGGTAGTATTGGTAGAGAAGTCAGGTAGCACGTGAGTAAAATTGCGTGGTAGCCTATTATGGAAGTTTTGGTAGAGAAGTCAGGTAGCTTAGCTACCTGAATTCTGGTAGCACAAGTATAAGTGCGTGTAAGTATTTGTAGAGAAGTCAGGAAGCAAGAGTAAAAGTGCGTGGTAGAAAGGAAGTATTGGTAGAGAAGTCAGGTGGCGTTAAAGGTAAACATGCAGAGCTGAGTCATGAAGCAAACCCGGCTTCTGAGCAGTTAAAACTCACTTTTAATTTTCAACACTCGTCTTGCTGTTATGACAGCCACTGAACTGGAAGGTCTTCACTTTAATAAACAATATTCACTGCACTGATAACCTTCACAAGCATCACAAACACAAGTAAGACTAAAAGTAAACAAGATAGACGACAGTAGCCGCACACACGCACACGAGGGTGTGGTGATACTGACTCACGGCAATTATCGTGCATCATAGAAAACGGAGCTTACGAAGAAAATGATTAATATTACCGGAAACTAAAATCAAAATGTACGAAAGGGATTGTTTTGATTGATCTAAATGATTAATATAAAATAAAATAATTTTCCAATTAAGGTCGTTTCAATTTCATTTTACATTATAATTTTTTATTCGAAACTTGCTGAAGTGCTTAAAATTTCCGAAGAGTTAGTTAAATATTAGAGCTTTTTACCGTAGACTTCACACGAGTTATTTTCCAGTACTGTAAACTAAATGTCCAGTGTCGTTACCGTAGACTAAGAGCAATAATAAAGTTTGAAAAAATCAAAGGCATGGGAGGTTATACCTCAGTAAGTATTAAAAATTAAAATAATTCGACTGCTTATATCTCATATTAATTAAAAAATTTGAAGAAAAAATTTCGAAAAAATATATAAAATAGAAGGCAATTTCAAAATAAAAATTTGAAAGAAATAAAAATGGGGTAAAATGCATTTCATTTCTATTTAAAACGCTACAAGTTTCAGCTACTTCGTGTGGAGCATTACAATATCTGCTTGACAAGACCAGGCTCTTTAAACTTACACGGTGTACATACTTAAAGGTGTTACGAAATGTAAGCAATTCAGTTAACAATAAAACAAGGCAGTCTCTTATTGAACGGAGAATATGGCTCATTGATTTGATCAAACGGCGTTATATTGCAAAGGTATAGCTTTGGTCTTACGGTAATGTATGCTTTATTTACATATCTATCGACTATTTTAGTATGTTATATATATACAACTATCCATTATTTTATCCTTTAGAATTCTACTCTAAAAAATGTTTGGTGTAATTTCAAGATCCCGCTACGCACAAAAAGTCATCATTACAGACTTAAGAAAATACCTGACATTTTATAAGAGTCAAGCTTTAATAGTTAATTTTTGGAAATTTTCGAACTTTTTAAAACTTAATTATTTGTTAAGAGTAAGTTAGATATACTGTAGTGGCAATTTACCGCAGACCTTACACCTGTTTGTTCCTGCCAATAGTAAGTTGAATGTAGTGTGGCTTTACCGCAGACTTTACACCCTCCATATTAAAAGCGATTAGATTTACATACGCTAGCTGAATTAAATCCTACAGAATAGTTAAGTAAAATTGCGTAATTAAGCTACGGGATCTGAAATTCGATTAATAACATGATTTTGGAACCGCGAAATTTCAGCATCGAGTTCAAATTCATTTAATATACTTATGAATATGCTAGAGGTTAGAGGACACAGCAGAGGAAGGACACAACAGAGGGAGGACACAACAGACGGAGGACACAACAGATGGAGGACACAACAGAGAGAGGACACAACAGAGGGAGGACACAACAGAGGGAGGACACAACAGACGGAGGACACAACAGAGGGAGGACACAACAGAGGGAGGACACAACAGAGGGAGGACACAACAGAGGGAGGACACAACAGAGGGAGGACACAACAGANGTGAATAACATACAGCCTTGTTTGAATAACACACAGTCTTGTATGAATAACACACAGTCTTGTATGAATAACACACAGCCTTGTATGAATAACATACAGCCTTGTTTGAATAACATACAGCCTTGTAATTAATGAATAACACAGAGCCTTGAATGAATAACACACAGCCTTGTATGAATGAATAACACACAGACTTGCATGTATGAATAACCATACAACTCAGTTCCGATAAATACAATCAAAATAGGTCTTAATTATCAGCAGTTATCACCATGTCCATCACAAGCCAGTTGAATAAATGATCAATTTAACACAGATAAAATCCGGGCAATAACTGATAAGAAATAAGCACCGATACATATTTTTTAAGCCCGTTAACCTTGGTTAAATTTTCGAGTTTGCTAACGTACCTGGTTTTACTTATTGAACCCGTTCACGTTTGTTATATTTTTGAGGTTGATAACGGAGCTGGTAATATTTTCTATGCTTTTGAACATACCAGGTTATATTTAGTTAGTTTGATAACGCACCAGGTTATTTATTTACCACAAAAATTTTAGATGTGGATTCGAATCTGCATTAGGTGCCGCTCAGGACCCGAGGAGCATGTAAATCAGCCACCATAGAATAAGGGTTCCATGGTTTGAAAACCATAGAATAATGGTTTTTCGGTGTTTTAAAGCCAAACCCATGGTTTGAAATCCATAGAATAAGGGTTTTCCGCTCTATGTCCGCTTCGACTCAAGGTTTTGAAGAGCAGCCGCTGGGCAGCTTACAAGCATCGGTATGACAAGACTCGGCCAACCCTTCTCACACTCTCAGGCGGCCGAGCAGACCCTGAATAACTTTGCGCCGAGTGTAGCAACTCCTGAGTAAGAAGGCTGGGCGGTACCCGAATTTTGTTAGGGTAGTATGCCCGTTAATGTACCTGTTGTATTTACTTAGCCCGTTAACGTACCTGGTTGTATTTATTGAGCCCGTTAACGTACCTGGTTATATTTATTAAGCCCGTTCACGTACCAAGGCCCGTCAACGTACCTGGTTGTGTTTATTAAACTTGTTCACGTACCTGGTTGTATTTATTTAGCTGGTTCACGTACCTGGTTGTATTTATCAAGCCCGTTAACGTACCTGGTTGTATTTACTTAGCCCGTTAACGTACCTGGTTGTATTTCTTAAGCCCATTAACGTACCTGGTTATATTTATTAAGCTTGTTCACGTACCTGGTTGTATTTATTAAGCCCGTTTACGTACCTGGTTGTATTTATTAAGCCCGTTCACGTACCTGGTTGTATTTATTAAGCTTGTTCACGTACCTGGTTGTATTTATTAAGCCCGTTTACGTACCTGGACACCACCCACTCACCACCCACTCACCACCCACTCACCACCCACTCACCACCCACTCACCACCCACTCACCACCCTCTCACCACCACAGATAAGACATTCGAGCGCCGACAATTTACTCAAATGGAAAATCCAGAAACTAGCGAGTTGTTTTTACGCAACTCGGCGCGTTCTTTCACGTAAAAACAGCCCTTGGAATAAATAAATTGCGATACGGAACACAACTTGCAGGAATCGCGACGTCTGAGTGTGATCAACTGCTGGCAGTCTGCCAGTGCCGGCAGAGCAGCGGCAGTCAACAGCTCTGGCAACGGACCTGGAGACGATATATAGAATGGACAGAGCAGGGGCTGGTATAAGACTGGCAGAGAACCAAGAAAGGCCGTCTGGCAGAGAACTCCTGCAGCGAGGCGTCAGGCTATCTTGCAGAGAATCAATTGACAGACAACCAAGACCGGCTCAGCTGGCAGAGAACCAAGAAAAGCCGGGCTGGCAGAGAACCAAATGACAGACAACAAAGACCGGCTCGGTTGGCAGAGAACCAAATGACAGACAAGTGAGACAACCAAGACCAGCTCGGTTGGCAGAGAACCAATCCAGGCAAGGCTGACAGAGAACCGAGAGACCGGGCTGACAGAGAACCGGGACAGACAAGGCTGGCACAGAACAAGATCTATCTTGCAGCTGCACGACTCATTCTGTTTCGGACAAAATTATATGTCTTTTACAAGACATATGGCCATCACAAGACATTAAGACTTTCGACTTTAAATTTCAACCAAATGTGCGTCAATTCAAGAAAATAAATTAATGATAATGATCAAATTAAATTATTTCTATTTTCCTTCTATGTACCGAGTCTAGCTATAATTCGTTATGAAAAATCCTAATGGAAATGCTCGTTCAACTCAAGCTCTATGTTCTTTTAAATCTTTCGAAAATTCTCATGCAATTTGTTCACAGTGGAAATTCGCAGACTAAGAGGAATTTCTCGCTCAAATTGGGCCCGCATCCTGCCGCTTCCGGGCTAAATGGGGAGAACTCAAGGGATTACCGAACTAATCTTCCTTTACATATATATTAAAGCGAAGGATTACAGGACTAATCTCCCATAATGTACATATTAAAGCGAGCGGACACACACTCAAAAAAGTTAATGAGTCTCATTGTCCTAATAGTAACACACTTTATTACCCACAGAGCGAGAAAGAAGCGCGTGCATGTGACCCTCATACTTCTTTTAGCCCTGACAAACTGAGTCAGGAATACCTACTAAAAAATATAACTCAGTACTCACTGCAGTGAGTGACAGAGAGCACATTTTCTCGTCGACGAAAACGTGAAGTCACGGACAGACAGACAGACAGACAGACGGACATGGCGAGAACAATAGTGCATTTTTTCCATAAATGAGAAAAGGCGCTAAAAAGGGTGAAAGTACATAGCTATTCAAACAAAATCTCACACATGGTTCTTTGTGTGCACACACACGCGTGGCCGTGAGCTGCAGGAGCAGGATTGAGCTATGGCAGCACACGGCGGCGACACAGCCTGCTGCAGAGGGTAGGCTGCAGCACAGCCTGCTGCAGGCAGAGAAGGCCGCAACACAACCTGCTTCAGGCAGGGTAGGAAAGTATAACAGCCTGCTGCAGGCAGAGCAGGCTGCTAATAGCCTGCTGCAGGTCAAGAAGTGAGCAGAGCTGCGTTCCAACTCGCCGTATAATGTCAATCAATGAGCAGCAGCAGAGCAGCACCGACTGTTCTGGACTAATTGATGAGCCGTGCTGCTCACTGCAGTCGTGAGCAGCATTAATCTCAATAGAATAATTAATGAGCAGAAATACTTGTGGTAGAATAGTTATTGAGCAGTGCAGTGGTAATATTATTGTAATATATTACAATAATAATATTGTATTGTATTGTAATATTAGAATTATTGGTGTGTAATAAACTTCTCTGATTTGCCTTTTAAATTACATGTGATTCATTCATGAGAAGTAAATAAAAATAAAACATTAAATATGAAAAATAAAAAAAAATAAATAAAAATAAAATAAATAAAAAACATTTGAGCTTTGATATAATTAGACCATAACCCACTCTACAAGACCCACTCTACCAGACCCACTCTACCAGACCCACTCTACCAGACCCACTCTACCAGACCCACTCTACCAGACCCACTCTACTGTCTCTTATACACATCTAGATGTGTATAAGAGACAGGTATTTATTAAGCTTGTTCACGTACCTGGTTGTATTTATTAAGCTTGTTAACGTACCTGGTTGTATTTATTAAGCCCGTTCACGTACCTGGTTGTATTTATTAAGCTTGTTCACGTAGTTCTTGTACACGAGCAGCTTGAGGAACGTGCCCGTGCAGTCCACGTTGACGCTCTTGAGCTCACGTGCCTTGTGCTCCGTGTGGGAGTTGTCGCTGAGCCCCACGTACCCCAGGGGGGTGAACTGCGCCTCCCCCAACACCCCCATCTCCCCCTCAGGGGGCGTGTCCCCTATTAGCAGCTGTACACGCTCAGCTGCAGAGAATGATATGTATCAGCTGCACAGAATGATATGTATCAGCGGCAGGGAATGATTAATATCAGCTGTACATAATGACTGGAATCAGCTGCACTGTATCGGCAGCTGCACACTCTCAGCTGCACCACCGAGAAAATGTTCGTGGGTAAATTTGGAGCGTTTCAACCCTAAAGCAAACGTCACAGCCAAAAGAATAGGGTATTTTCAATAACCTATGCTAAAAAGTTAACTGCATATTTAATAGAATTGTCTATCGAGATAATCCTCAAATAACATCTGTTAATGATCTCAGTTCAATAATATTTACGCCATGTTGACTGGAATTAGCTTGCTTTCATGCTTTACTAAATACATATTATTATAATTATATATTATACTCTTCCGACACTATTTTGCAAGACCTCTGAGGTCATACTATCTAAACTCGCTGAACTACACGTGGCAGTCAATTTCTTGTCTATAATTAGTAAGTTTAGATCTTTAGCTTGAAAAGCCGTCAGTGATTGACTGACGGAGTTGCAAACTTGGAAGTATATATGATGGCACGGTACCTGGGGCCGTATTATCAAAAATATTCCCGAGTTTGTAAGCCCGTCAGCCAATCATTGACGACTTTTCCAGCAAAACCCACCAATCACAGACAGGAAATCAGTACTTATGTGTGCGCAAGTTACTACGTTACTTGAGCAAGTTTTTATAATACGGTCCCTGATTGGCTGCCTCACTCGCTCCTTCGCTAGCTTGCCGTCAGTGTCACAGCACGGAGGATGTGGCGGTACACAAATCAATAAGCACAATTATGCTTCCATTCATTACTTTTCTTGTTGCGTTGTACGGTTTTCAATCGTGTGTTTCAAGATGGGTTTTAATCGGAAACCACAAATGTTAATGTTTATTTATCACTACAAAATTAGGCTTAAATTTATTCAAAATTTCCATCTTATTTGAGTAAGCCAACCTTGTTAAATCTATTCAGGCATCGCGTGGTTTACTCCAGTAACAATCATGATTAGAGTCGAGACAGTCAATCGAAACTATAACGAGGGCGCTGGGGCACGACACAGTCAAGATCAGTTAAATTAAATCTTTCGAATATTTTAGGTCATGGTGCGACTGTTAAACGTACGTTACGATCAGCCGTAGAATTTCATTGCGTGCAATTGCCTATGATATTGAACAGTGTGAGCGAGGCTTCAGATCAGGTGGTTATAAATTTTTGCTTAGCTCCCAGATGAGTGTCAAAATTCTAGACAACTTTTGAAAGCCTGACATACGAATAAAAGTTAGGTCTTGTTGGAGCAGCGTAAAACTTCTTGTATATCATCTGCTGCAAGCATGCAGGAAGTTGCAATTAACAAATCTTGGAACTATTTTATGATTCGGCTTTCTTAAAGACATTTCCGAATTGGTTTCTTCTATAGCCATGTGGAATATGAACACAAAATTAATTAAATATACTGTATACATGCTTTCAGAATAAGATAGTACAGTTGTTCCGTCATTGCTTTGCCAATATTATTTCTGAAAAGTTGATGCCGGAAGGCGGCCACGCATGTCACGAGCACATAGCGGCGGCGATATAAACGGCGACACGTACATCACTCTAATGTGCTACGCCTTTCGATGTTGCAGAGTTTGCTCGCAACACTCCGATGAAGCGACAGGGGCCATCGACTGAGTAAAGTACAGCCCAGTACATGGGTAAGCTACTCTAGACGAGAAGCAGGTACTCACCTGTAGTGTACTCATGTACACGAGCAGTTGTACACGCGTCAGATGTACGCGCTCGCTGAACTGCAGCACAAGGGGCGGTATACTCACGGACCAGGGCGTGGTGAGAGAGCAGCTGTACGCGCGTCAGATGTACGCGCTCGCTGAACTGCAGCACAAGGGGCGGTACTCACGGACGAGAGCGTGGTGAGAGAGCAGCTGTACGCGCGTCAGATGTACGCGCTCGCTGAACTGCAGCACGAGTTCTTGGGGGTAAATTGAGAACTTCGCGGAGCGCCAACCGCGCGCTCCAGGCCCCTGCAGCTGTAGGTCCTGCGCCCGCCCCTCCGCGTCCTCGCCTGCATGCACACAGGCAGTAACATTTAGTTGTATCGATAATTTACTATTCAGATTGAAAATATTTCAACTGTAATGATGTAGTTTAAAGGCCGGGGAATGCTTGACATGAACTCGGTAGGGATCATCAATCGAGGAAGGCGGTAAAGGGGTGGTGACTATTCACGGCGTGACTATTACTAAAATTAGAGCTAGTACGGTAGTGTCACTACTCACTAGGCAATAGCACGTGACCTCACTAGCTATAGTAACATCACTATTTTGAAGCGTCACGAGCACTTACTGGTGAAGCGACATACGGAGAACTCGAGCTTGTGCGGCATGGTGAGCCAGCGGCCGTCATTCAACCTAGCAGATCTTCTTCAGCTGCACGCCAAACTCTGCTTGTCCTTCAGTTCACACAGCAAAATGTGATGTCCATAAAAGAATGTCTTAAATTTTATCCAAAAGCAGAGGTAATTCTATAACCTCCGCTGTGCACCAAACTAGTTATCTTTTAGTTTGCCCTGCAAACTATGACAATTCCCTCCTTCGCAGAGGCTCTACAAACCTTAGCATTTCTCCGACAGCTAAATAGCAAACTCTTCCTCCGAAACCTTGTCATGACCTAGGCTCAGTTGGTTACAAAAAAATGCTTTCTATTTTCAACAGTTCAGTTTTGCTTTTGATTCAACAGTCCAGCTTCTCTTTCGATTCAACAGTCTAGCTTTACTTTCGATTCAACAGTCCAGCTTTCTAGACCTACACCATGGCAGCTGGACTATGGTCTTCACCTCACATTATCTGTGTTCGATACCAGCGCCGTGACCAAACCCTTCATCTTGACCATTACAATTGATTTGCATGGAATGACATCCAATTTAAGGTCATCTGAGCCTAAATATCACAAAGTGGACGTTGTAGTGGTGAATGTTCAAGGCAGGTACTGGTTACGATGGATGGTTTGTTCTACCTTATTTCTTCAGCTGCTTGACGAAGCCTTCTGGGCCAGCTCCCTGCAACAGAGAGTGAAGATATTAAAGTAATAGAATTACTTGAAGGCGAACAAACTAGTTCAAACTATTAGCTGACCAATAACATCATCATTTGATGCTACTTTTTAGGTGATTTTAGAAGCGTATATATACTCTGTATACATGCTTATTGTGAGCCTTGACAGCGGGAGTGACAGTAGCACACACAAGGCTATATAGCTCGCCACGCCCAGGCTGCTTGCTTCCAAAGCTTGGTTCCACTTCATCAGAGAATGAGTTCCCTCTTCTGGCAAATGCTTCCTTTGGGCATGTTGTTTACTTCATGCCTATTATAACTCATGTTATATTGAGCCAAACAACCTTTCGCATACAACACTATACCCGTCCACGCATCATTCCAACCATGAACCATTATATTCGTCAATGCATCATTCCACCTGTGAATTATTACTTCTCAATATATCAATGCGCACGTTAATATCTATGCGCTCGATAGCTTGTCGCTTCTCATTTGTTCCGCAGTCCGTGATTGGCGGGTTTTGATCGCAGCCTGAATGCTGATTGGTTGATTAATTTACTATGTCGCTGTTATCTTTGACCTACAGTGATGCAGTGACCTGCCGACACGTGGCGCAGTGCGAGCGCCGTGCCTGCAGTGATGCAGCGACCTGCCGACCTTCTTATAAAATTTGAAGCACTTAATTTAAAATTAAGTAAATGATATTGCCGCAACAAATGATAAATAATAAAGTATTAGTGATCAGAAGGCGCTAGCGACTGAAACGTGCGAAGCAATTAATTGTTTTGGAGACATAAAGAGCCTTTATACAACACTTCTCTTTAACTTCACTTCTTGTTGTTTGTTTGTTTGTCTGCTACAAATCTTATAATCGATATTTAACACACTTCTACCTCTCCAATCGATCTGAAATTTTGCACACTTGTTTAAAGTTGGAGACAATGCATGAATCAATTGACAGAATAATTAATTATGAAAATAAAAAAATTCAATTTTAAGAAAAATTTACAAAAAAATTTTGTCTGCTACAAATCTTATAATCCATATTTAACACATTTTTACCTATCCAATCGATCTGAAATTTTGCAAACCTGCATAAAATCAGAGACGATGTACATGATTCAGTTGACAGAATAAGTAAATTTGAAATTTTTGAAAATTTTTATATATTAAAAAAATTTGAACAATACTTTTTTATATTAAAACAAAAATTAGAAATTATTGTACATGTGTAACACCAGAGATACCGTACTGGATTCTTTAGAAGTGTTGTCTTTAAAAAGTAATTTTTAAACGCATATTATTTACAATCGGGACTAAGAAGTAAGTACATGGCGGCAATCTTGAGACTAAGTACATGGCGACAATCTTGAGACTAAGTACATGGCGGCAATCTTGAGATAAGTGCATGACGACAATCTTGAGTCAAAGTTCATGACGGCAATCTTGAGACTTTCTGATTGTAATTTTTGACGCTGTAATTTCACGGCAAAGCTTCCAGATGTGAAACAGAATCCTATTAACGCCCATCTAATCAGAGTGGTAGTTTTTCATCAAGAAGCGGCCAAGGACGTTTTACCTTAGTTTTATGCAAGTAATGATCTTGAACGTTGGCGTTATATAGGGTAAGCGAGCCGCTAGCTCTTCATGAGGGATAAGACGCGCTCAAATATAAGTACACTTCACCGCTGTCTTGGCCACGATTCTCCGGCGTTTCATCTCGCAATCATCGCCTGTAAATTGCAGGCGACTAAAGTGGCGTGCAGGCGCCGGTGGTGAGAGTGGTGGTGGTTGAGGTGATGCTGCATGCACCATCACCACCACCACCACAGCAGTAATGACCCACTCACCACCCACTCACCACCCACGCACCACCCACTCACCACCCACGCACCACCCACTCACCACCCACGCACCACCCACTCACCACCCATTCACCACCCATTCACCACCCACTCGCCACCCACTCACCACCCACTCACCACCCACTCACCACCCACTCACCACCNGTATTGATATACCAATAGAGTATTGATTGGTATTGGTATACCACTCGAGTATTGATTGGTATCGATATAGCAATCAAGTCTTGATTGGTATTGATATACCAATAGAGTATTGATTGGTATTGGTATACCACTCGAGTATTGATTGGTATCGATATAGCAATCAAGTCTTGATTGGTATTGATATACCAATAGAGTATTTATTGATTGGTATTGGTATACCAATCGAGTATTGATTGGTATTGATATACCACTCGAGTATTGATTGGTATCGATATAGCAATCAAGTATTGTTTGGTATTGATATACCAATCGAGTATTGATTGGTATCGATATACCACTCGAGTATTGATTGGTATTGATATACCACTCGAGTATTGATTGGTATTGATATACCACTAGAGTATTGATTGGTATTGATATACCACTCGAGTATTGATTGGTATTGATATACCACTAGAGTATTGATTGGTATTGATATACCAATCGAATATTGATTTGTATTGATATACCACTCGAGTATTGATATTGTGTTGATATACCACTCGAGTATTGACTGGTATTGATATACCACTAGAGTGTGTGACGGGCTGCAATGCATCACAGTTGTGACGCTCCGCTGAATGCCAGAACGCTGAAGGCCTGAACATAAATGAGCTTCACGGTTGTTGTAAAAGTCACGCGTAAAGTTCAGATTAAAAACTGCTACTTTATTCTATAATTATGGGGCAAGTAATCGTAAGTTTTTGATAACCCGAACACTGGGCGAGGCTCCTGCACGTCGACTGTAAATTATTTACATGAGTAACTTACCTCACGGAGAATTAGCTTTTGAAATCTATGTAGCATGAAATAAAAATTGGTTCAACTAATGTAAACTTTATTCAGATATAGGGAACCTTTTACATTACATTTCTTGAGCAATTTTTTCGTACCGGGAGACAAAATTTATCAGAAATTCGAACACATATGAAAAAAGTTAATGGAAGAACTTCATACGAACAACGAGAAGTTATACGCAATTAACATCACGCATGTTCACCTCTTGTAGTGACGCAAACACTGGGCAGATCGTCACGTGTAAGGCTCTTTTGACCTCAGGTCAGTTCAGGTCACCAAACTATGTCCCATGCTGTTATAACTTGTATGAATTATAATATACAATTCAATTTGCATGTATTAAGCAATAAAATTTGTATGAATCACACAATGTAGCTTGTAAGCATTATACAATATAATGTAACTAGCATGAATTCTACACTATACGTGCAATGTTAAAGCAGAATACTGCACACTGCACAGTTCATTGTACACTGCATGGTACCTTGTATACTGCACAGTACACTGTATACTGCACAGTACACTGTACACTGCACAGTACCTTGTCATTGTACACTGCACAGTACCTTGTCATTGTACACTGCATAGTACCTTGTACACTGCACAGTACACTGTATACTGCACAGTACCTTGTACACTGCACATGTAGTACACTGCACAGTACCTTGTACACTGCACATGTAGTACACTGCACATTATGTATTGTAGCTCCCCCGCATGTCATCGTTACATCAATTTAAATTGTACAACTAAAGTTCGCGTTAATAAATTCAACCTTACGTTATTATTGCAATGATTTTTTCATTGTTATAGTCCGGTTATTTTATTGAAGTAACGTCTTGTGAAGAACTTCTTGATGTCGTGAGTACAAAAGTTTCTGAGTAACTCACAACTCATTTCGAGTGAGCCAATCAGCGTCTGCTGAACCTGCCAATCATTGTCTGCTGAACCTGCCAATCATCGTCTGCTGAACCTGCCAATCATCGTCTGCTGAACCTGCCAATCATCGTCTGCTGAACCTGACAATTACTCGTGTAAATGAAACTTTTGCCCCCCTATTTCTGTTTCTACAGCTGCAACTATAAGTGTTAATAAAACTTTTGTCCCTATTTCTGTCTATATCTATTATGCAGTTCCAATTTCTCGTATAAATACAATTTCACAACTTCACCATTATTCACCATTACTTTACCGTTTATCATTTTTTTACTCGCAGCTGCTCTCAATAGTGTAAATGCATATTTTGCCACATGTTCTAGATCTCCACAGCTGTAATTACTCGTGTAAATGAAACTTTTGCCCCCTATTTCTGTCTACTTCTAAAATACAGCTCCAATTTCTCGTATACATGTAACTTTCGACTATATTTACCACTACTTGACCCTCTAGCATTTTATATTTTTACACACAGTTGCTCTCAATAGTGTAAATATGCATATTTTGCCCAGGTCTCTACAGCTGTAATTACTCGTGTAGATGAAACTTTGGCTTCTATTTCTGTCTCTACATCTACAATTCCTGTTATAAATGAAACGTTTGCCGCTATTTCTGTCTCTACATCAGCAATTCCTGTTATAAATGAACTTTTACCTCTATTTCTGTCACTGCTGTGGCAAATACTCGTCTACATACACTCCCAGAGATGGCTCACCATCTAAACCTACATCAAAGTCGATATAGTGAACTTTGTTATACGACCTGCATGGAAAGTTGTGGGTAACCTGCTTTCAAGTTTGCGGGTCAGCAGTCTATTAGTGGCCAAAATTTGTACAGCAAAGCAAACTTTCATTGCAAACTTTTTTTTTGTGACACGAGTTGCGAGGAAGGCCGCGGTGTTATTGAGCGAGCTTGTGCGAATACTGCGAGTGGGGATGGTTGTACTAAACTGGTAGACGTGGTGAAACTTTTGAAACTTACGATAACAGGAACAATTAAAAAAATTTACAAGAGGACTTGCCCCTGCAGATACTGCAAAAAAATCGCTGCTGTTGTCAGCACCACTCGCTGCTGTTGTCAGCACCACTCGCTGCTGTTGTCAGCACCACTCGCTGCTGTTGTCAGCCTGTCTCTTATACACATCTAGATGTGTATAAGAGACAGGGTCAGGTAATGCATTAAATATAGACTATAGCAGCAGTCATTTGTACAGGTCAGGTAATGCATTAAATATAGACTATAGCAGCAGTCATTTGTATAGGTCAGGTAATGCATTAAATATAGACTATAGCAGCAGTCATTTGTACAGGTCAGGTAATGCATAAAACATAGACTATAGCAGCAGTCATTTGTAGAGGTCAGGAAGTGCATCAAATGTTTAGTGGGCATCTGCTGCATCAAAGCAAAGGTTTTATTGAGTGGTGGGGCATGGCCGGCGGTCGATGTCAGAAGTTGTCGGCCCTTGTCCTGTCTCTTATACACATCTAGATGTGTATAAGAGACAGATCGACAGACCAGGCCATCTAGCCAGAAATAAGGACAGACCAGACCATCTAGCCAGAAGTAAGGACAGACCAGACCATCTAGCCAGAAATGGACAGCGCTTTTTGCATGCCATTTAACAAGTGACAAGTGCCGTCTGTCCCAGCCATTAGTAAGCACTTAGCGATGTCTATCATTAGCCCATTAGCCACTAATGGTTAAAACCAAGTCTTCTCATCTAATGGTCTGGTCTGGAGTTAAGAAACAGCTCTGATTGACAGACACACTTTCCAAATAGTGACTAACTTTCTATCCCACAGAATAAGTATTGCCCCCATTAGCCACTAATGGTTAAAACGAAGCCTCAATTCACATCTAATGGTCTGTTCTGAACTGAAGCAACAGCGCAAATTGATTGACATATTTTTAAATAACGAAAAATTTTCTATCCCACTTAATAAGCAGCAAGCTGACGTATCACTGATACGCTGTTTTGTCGAGCAAAACTGGGTCAGAATAATCCACACAATATGGCCAAAAATGCATCGTTATTAGGACAATGTCTCACTCATTTCCCTAAGTGTGTCAACACTCGCGTGCAGCGCGACACCTCGTGCGGTATGACAGATGATCAAGCATGAGATAGACTGATAATAATTACCTGAGCATAACGTTATTAATTACGTGAATAATAAGAAAAATAATTGACCACGTAAATTATTTGCATGCAAATTTAGTTACGAAGGAATTTGATAACATTATAATTTAAATACCTGTACCGGTTACAATTTGCAGTTAGTTGCAGATAGACTATGACAGTGCTCTCATCTAGGCATCAGCCCTGTATCTAAAATAGACTATGGTAGTGGACTTTTAATAAAGAGATCGGAAAATGCATCATATAAACGGTAGACTATGACAGCCGCTATTTGTATACTGTAGGTCAGGTAATGCATTATATTTACTGTAGACTATGACAGCCGCCATGTGTAGAGGTCAGGTAATGCATTAATATAGACTATATTGTCAGCACCACTCGCTGCTGTTGTCAGCACCACTCGCTGCTGTTGTCACCACCACTCGCTGCTGTTGTCAGCACCACTCGCTGCTGTTGTCAGTACCACTCACTGACAAGCGTGCACCACTTTGGCGCTTATCAAGAAACAGGTTCCACGAACAGAAGTTTATCAGGCGTTCACCGTCCCATGTATAATTCACGCGCCGAGCTCAAAGTTTTGGTTTTATACAAACGCCTGAACTGCCATGGCGACCGCAATCGATCTGGTGAGTGGTGAACACACAGCAGGTTAGTCTCCCACTCTAGCGTCAACGACGTACCACTTCACCACTCTAACGCCTGCAGCGCATCGCCTCCTCCCACTCCAGCAACTACAGCGCATCGCCTCCTCCCCCTCCAGCGCCTACAGCGCATCACCTCCTCCCACTCCAGCACCTACAGCGCATCACCTCCTCCCACTCCAGCGCCTACAGCGCATCACCTCCTCCCACTCCAGCGTCCACAACGCATCACCTCCCCACCAGTGCCACCAACTCCCACTCCAGCATCAGCCAAGTTGGAGTTGTAAAATAAACATGGCTTTATAATACCGTAGACTAACACAGAAAAGTCAGGTAATAAATTCCTTGGACCAATAAAAATAATTGCCTATCTTTGTGTCCAAAAAAACAACTAAACCCATGAGTTGAAACGTGCTTTTTAGTCATTTACGTTGACATTAATTAGTGATTGGAACATAAGCAGGTTTTGAAGTCATATATTGTTAAATTCAAGTGATCAGGACAAAACGGATATCGTGGAGATAAGTTTATCTTAAATAACAGATTTAATAGTACAAAATTGGTAATTATAGATTTAAAGAACTAGAAACGACAATATCAATAAATTGAGAGATTAACGTTTACAAATGATAAGTGTTGCCAGACGTAGGTATCGCCTCTACCAGTCTACTCACCACTAACTTCGTGCTGCGATATTGCTTCAAGTTCAATTTAAACGAACCTTCACTATTCAGAAAACAGATTCATCAGTTTTTCAAAGTTCGTTCTGTTAAATATTTATGGGAAAGATAACATGTTCCGAGTTGTACGTTCAGATAGAAGAAATTGTTCAGGAAAGACGCACATACTAACACACCAACGTCCAGCGAGACACTGGAGCCTGTACAGCCCTGAGCCCTCACGCTGCCTGGCCGTCCGTTGCTGGCTCGTTCCTATCCATGAACTGGAGACTCAAGGTCGCTTTAGCCATAACGAAACAAACCGCCCCAATGCCGGCGATAAGCTGTCTTCACCATATCTGACACTGTTAAAAACGTGGTGGCTGAAAATGAAGGATACATATTTTCTAGATATAATTCTTTCAATTACGCAACTATATGAAGTGCTGAATGCCATGAAACTATATATAGAATAGAAGTGTCGGCATTGAAGAAAATAGGCCCATGGCCTGTTGCCGATTCTTGAATTTTTCATGCCTTGATTCACAAGGGATCCGGCCTTTGGAACCCGATCTTTCCATAACTGACAAATGATTGAGATAGCTGCTGGACTTATTGCCTGGTCCGTAATTTGCTAGTCATTTTAAGACTGAACATATGCTCCTGCATAGCTTCGTTTAGTCTGTTTTTGAAGATGTTCATACTCGGAGCGTCAACGATGCTATCAGGGAGGTTGTTCCACATGTCGGTGACTCGAAGCGAGAAGAAATGTTGTCGCATGGATGTGTTCCAACGCTGTTCTTTTAGTTTATAGCCGTGGCCCCTGGTGTTGGTTCTTGTTTCAAATTCTAGTAATCCTTCTGGGACCTTGTATAAGCCATGAGTATACTTGTATACTTCAATGAGGTCCCCACGCAGACGTCGATAACTGAGGCTTGGAAGCTTCATAATCTTTAATCTTTCCTCATAGGACTTGCCTTTCAAGCCCGGAACTATCATTGTTGCGCGTCTTTGAACACTCTCCATTAAATTTTTGTCCTTTTCGAATTTCGGTGACCACACGACGTTTCCAAACTCTAGGTTCAGGGGCACGACAGCAACAAACAACTGCTTCATCGTTTCTAAATCTAGGAACTCGAAAGAGCGTCTGATCAGTCCAAGACGTTTATTGGCTTTATTAACTTGACCTTCAATATGCTTAGAAAATTTCAACTCATTGTCGATATTACCCCTAAATCTTTTTCCATGGTCGACTTCGACATCATCATTCTGTCGTTGCAACCGTGTCTTCTCATACTGTGATCTTGCTGTTCATTTTTCTTGACAAGGTGAACAACTTTACATTTGTTAGCGTTAAAAACGCAGCTGCCACTTATCAGCCCAGTCAACCAGCCTGTCAAGAAGACATTGCAACTGTACTTTTTGCGACGTATTTTTTACTGTATTATAAATTTCTGTGTCGTCAGTATACATCGAGCAAACGCTAGACACGACCTTTATAACGCAACGAAACAAATAGGCCCGAGAACGCTTCCTTGTGGCACGCCGCTGCGCACTGAAGCCCAGTCTGATAGGGACCCATTAATACTGACACGTTGTCGCCTCCCTACTAGAAAATCTCTGATCCATTTGAGTACATTACTCTCAATTCCCAAATACTTCAATTTACGCAACAGCCGCTCATGTGGGACACTGTCAAATGCCTTGGCAAAATCGAGGTAAACTGCATCTACTGGCTCCCTTTCGTCCAGCAAGCGGGTCCATTCGTTCAGAGTAGACAAGAGGAATTAGTGGTGCAGGATCTCCCGGCAATAAAGCCATGTTGACAGTCTGATAGGAGATTATTAGCAGTCAAATGATCTATCAATCGATCCCTCACAACAGATTCCATTACCTTGCAAACGACACTTGTCAAACTGACAGGGCGATAGTTGCCCGGGCAGCTTTTGTCACCTTTTTTGAACAATGGTGTCACTTGAGCTTCTCTCCTGTCAGCCGGCAAGATCCCTTCGTTCAAAGTTTTTCGAAGAAATGACGTTAGAGGGCCGGCTAGGACAGTTGCTAACTCTTTGAGTAATCTGGGGTGGAAGCCGTCTGGTCCACATGACTTGTTTGGATTTACAGCGATAAAGCGCTGGAGAACCTCTTCTTCTTGTATTTAAAAACTTGTTAATTTAGAACCGACTGGGTGCTCCTCAATAGCTGGAATACTGTTCAAGTCCTCTTCAGTGAATACGCTACTGAAAAACTGATTAAGTTCGGTAGCCTTGCTCTCATCAGAGGATATCTTTCGCTGATCTACTTTCAAATCAGAAATACCGTCCTTAATCTTGCACTTCGAGCCAGCGTACAACAAGAAGGCTTTCGGGTTCTTTTTTGCATTTTTAGCAATATTTTTTTCGATGGTTTTTACTACGGTGCGACAGCTTTCTTCAGCTTGATTTCGAGCTCTTGCGTATAGCCTGTATAGGTGATAGTCAGCATCGCTACGAGTCTGTAAATAACGCTGGTAGGCTTCCTTCTTTGTTTTCAGGTACTGTTCATCCACCGAGCAATACTACGTTTCTTCTTTTCGGCTGCGACCTACGTTTCTTCTTGGGCAGCTCTTCTTTTTCCTCGGGTGAAGCGGCGAGCAGCTTACGGAAGTATTAACTGAGCGGAAGAAATCTTAATTGAACTAATTATAAAAAAATAATAAAACTTAGTTGATGCATATATTGTAATAGGGGACGTTACTTGGTCCTCCAGTTACCAAGTTTTTGGTGGTAACATGTAAATCTAATTTTTGGTGAACTTACTCTATGCTTTCGAACTCGTTTTATTACACCACATTACTAGTGTTGAGTCATCATTGCGGTCATTTTTGTCATCGTCGCGTAGTCATTTGTGTCATCGTAACGATGCCATTTGTGTCATCGTAACGAAGTCATTTGAGTCATCGTAACGAAGTCATTTGTGTCATCATCGTGAAGTCATTAGTCACTGACGGCAGTGAGGTGCAATAAGAACAAGATGCAGATATGTTGACATTTTATTTGTCCCAATCCATCCCGAAGATGGCGTGTGCATCATGAACATTATTTACACACTTATATCTTATGCTACTCACAATTATTCCACACCTTCAAGTTGAACAAAAAATCAAATAGCAGCAATTATTCTCTTCAATTAAACGTCATCAATAACAAAGAATATTTGAGCAGAAAGACAACAAATAAGTCACAGTTGTATAGACCAAGAGGATTTGGGTTTATCTTCAACGTAAAAATCTTGAATAAAAGAAAGAGAGCGACAAGCTTGACGAAGTGTTGCACACATTTAGCCAGCTACAACGTAGTGAATTAGAAAAATAGGAGTTTTTCAGCGTGTTTCTTGCACGTTTCACCGTAGACAGCTCTTGTTAACCATGAATGAATATGGGAGCAAGTGCCCTGAGTTTCCTACAAGCAAGCAATGAAAATATTTTCCCCTGGGCTCAAAGTAGGCACTTTATAATGCATCCGTTGGTACGGACCAGGTAGTCTACTACAGTGTTCGTGTGAGAGCAAAGCCGTGCACCACAAATTTTGAGCACAATCAGCCCTGAATTGAACGCCTATAGGTTATTTCCATAAAGCCACCAATCCGCCGCGTATTAATCCTGCAGTCAGTAACCAGCCTGTCACATCATCTTGTTTTAAATATTATGGGCTTTACACCATCATACACGAGAGCGAATAGCCCAGAGTATAATGATCGTCCACCACTGAACGTTGCATCGAAACATTACGTCATACCCTGACTTTGGCTCGAACTGTAACCAGAGAACAATGTACTGCCACCAATCAGCCTAGCTCGTCGGGGGAACTGTGTGAAATCTGCCATGCACCACCATGCCGCTGGTCGAATGACTTCCGAGCATAGTTAAAATGGATGCCAATGACTTAATTTTTCGTTCACAGCCACTGAGGTTCAGTTTCGGCTGGCAAAGTTTTGTTCCAAAATTTATCGTCCTTTGGCGATTGAACCGTTCGACCGTAAGCCGATTTAATGCACGGGCGAGATACGGACGTCATCTTTACTGCAAGGCTCCGGCGAGCTCTGTGCGAGTGGTGCAGAATTTTCTCGCGCATTGGCAGACTATGCTGGGCCACACTATAGCAGGCTGTTTTCCTGCGGGCTGATTGCTCTACTTCAACGGATGTGATCTGTCTGGCGGCTGATAATCTTACAGTCCAGAAGTGCTGGAGGATACGAGGGACAAGATCATGACAGTCAGTTCAAAACTTCACAGCAGGGCAGTGGTGGTCTCCGACAGGCATTCCGTTCTTGCTACTCGGCCTAAAATCGCTACCATTCAACTTGGCATTGCATGGGCGAGACATGAGCACCCAGCAACGTCACACCTCACCTCTGTCAGCGTTGGCTCGCAACTGATACGGTTAGGTAACTTAGGATGCCAGCAACTCAAGATCGCTCCCGTTGCAACTTGGAGTTTCAGACTCAAGTTTTCTTAAATCAGTATCTAAAATATTTCAAATCTAAGTCATGAAAATGTCTAGTTTATTGCTCAACGTGGACTACTAAACTTCTAAATGCAGTAGAATTGTGCGGCTCTAACGTACCTATGTTATTCAACATTTATTTATAACCTACTCAATTCTACAGAATCAGTTTACTCACAATGCCGTCAGGTAGTAGACGACTGAACAGGTAAACGAACAACAATCCACAATTAGGGGAGGGATACATGACACAAATGATGGCTCCTGACACCTACATGGAAGAAGTGCATATCACAGATGCGTTGTGGGTTAAGCTTGATCACAACCGCGGTGTGGTTGTTCACACGCAAGTTTGTAACTCCGAACACCGCCGCGTCAAGCCCTAATTTGAGACAAGCGGTTGTCGACATCAGCCAGTCATGGTAACATGTATTTTATCTACTTAATACTTGAAACACTTTTACGATATTTCGAGCGAACTCTCCGGAAACATGACAACAAATACATTGCAGTGTAGCGCGATGCGAATCTTGGTGCCGATGAGACGACCATCGTAAGGTCAATCAATCTAGCCTTCAAAACATCGAGTCTTAGCCCCGATATACTGCGAACAACAGTCGTCAGCCTGTTATTGACAGGAACATGCTTGTTTACGTTGATAGTCAGGTGGTAATCACACGTGAATTCATTTATATTTTTGGTTTCCATTATTCATAATTAAACAATTTTCAAAATTTTCACCCACACCAGTGACAGTCCTCAAAGTACGGTCAGTACGTCCACAAAGCCATTATGACGTAACCGAATCAACTTCCTGAATTGATTGATAATTGTTGATAATTCAAGAGATTGGCCATCAGGAAGCAACCCAAACGGCGCGTTTAACCTCATGATTTTATAATTGAGCTTGATAGTTTACACGTGCTACGGGGTTACAAGTTCGATGTTTTATCTCACAGTTCGAGAACGATTCTCTCGATAATACATTATTTAACATAAAATAATTATTTGCTCTGTTCATCTAAAGGCACATATTGCTTGTAATACATCGCTAGTCACGAACAAACGACAGGCATGCACTATAAATTTAGAGCGACGAAGCCATAACAAAATCTCGCACGCAACAAAATGGCGAGACACGAAAATACATTTGTCAACAGGATTCAAATCGGGAAACTTGAAAGCTGCTCCATGTCTGGCTTAGGAATATTTCTTGAGGAACTCTTCGTGGAAGACGCGGAACTTCTGTAGCATCGTGGCCAGCTGGTCAGGCTGGGGCAAGATGGTCGTCCTGCGGGGCGACAGAGACTGTGAGCCAAGGGCACAGAGACACGTGGGAGACCAAAACACGGGGACAGAGACACGTGGGAGACCAAAACACGGGGACAGAGACACTTGGGAGACCAAAACACGGGGACAGAGACACTTGGGAGACCAAAACACGGGGACAGAGACACTTGGGAGACCAAAACACGGGGGCAGAGACACTTGGGAGACCAAAACACGGGGGCAGAGACACTTGCGAGACCAAAACACGGGGACAGAGATACTTGGGAGACCAAAACACGGGGACAGAGATACTTGGGAGACCAAAACACGAGGACAGAGACATTTGGGAGACCAAAACACGGAGACAGAGACACTTGGGAGACCAAAACACGGGGACAGAGACACTTGGGAGACCAAAACACGGGGAAAGAGACACGTGGGAGACCAAAACACGGGGACAGAGACACGTGGGAGACCAAAACACGGGGACAGAGACACGTGGGAGACCAAAACACGGGGACAGAGACGTTGATACAGAGACACGAATGTATTGACCCGAGCACAGGGACACGCATGAGTGGAAAGGCAACATGGGGACAGAGACATTGACACAAGGCCATTGACACAGACACGAACAGAGACACGCATGAGTGGAGAGGCACCCTTAAAATTACATCATAATTAAAAATATGTCGGACTCAGAAAACAAATGCGTGCGCTACATGGTCCGACAGAGGAATCGAGACGGGACCTCCCCCGGTGAATTGTACCGTTGACGCAGCAAGATACGACTTTTAATTGAAAAATATAACTCAATACTCACTGCAGTGAGTGACAGAGAGAGCAATTTCTCGTCAACGAAAACGAAAGTCATGGACAGACGGACATGACGAGCACATTAGTGCATTTTTTCCATAAATGAGAAAATGCGCTAAAAAGAGTGAGAGGATGATGTTATCTGAACAACAATGTGAGAATGATAACATCGAATCTAAACGGCTATCATTGCCCTGATCCAGAATGTGAAGGGTTGAGAATTAGGTTATTTGAAGTGAAGAGAATGGATCATAAAATTAGGAGAGTGAAGGCACTGCATAAGCGGAAGTTTAATCGCCTAATCGCCGCAATGAAGGGAGTAATGGTGCAACTAAGGAGGAAGTGAGATAACCACTATGAAGGCAGCGAGTTGAGGCGTAAATATCGAATAAATGACGGCACAACTATAAGGGTAGTGAAGATAACAATATAAATAAAGGGTAGGTGGAGGGAAATGAAAACACTCGTATGAGGGAAGTGACCTGAAGTGATGCGTGCCGGGGCGCTGGCCGAAACCCGACCCAGGGACGACGCAGATGCCGGTGTTCTCGAGGAGCTGGAATGCGTAGAACACGTCGGGCTTCTGACCCGCCGCTGCCGCTGCCTCAAGCGCCTGAAAGACAGGATGCCTTTATATGGACACTCAATGCGTCTTCATCAGGAGACTTCATCAAAGACAGGTCTTAAGTTAGGACCTTTGCTAGGACATACGTTATGACATTTATTAGGCCTCAATTGGGTACATTTAAAAGTTCTTACGCTTACGTTATGAAATTCACTATGTGTCATTCAAAAATTCTTTTGCATAAACGATTGTTAGGTCAGGCATTAAAGTGTGATTGGGAGCACCCACATCCAGGGGCAGGGACAGCTGGGAGAACCCACTTCTGGATGGCATGGGAAGCTAAGGTCACACACCCATTTGGCAGGGAACAGCTAAAGATACCCAATTTAGGAGCAGGAAAAATAAGGCATACACCTTTCAAGGCACGAAACGCCTGATGCACCACATTTGGGGCCACGGACACCTAGAGGCATTCACTTTTAGGCAGAACCACTAAAGCACCCATCGATGAAGGCAAAAATATCAGGTTGCACTCACCTTGGCAGGATGGAGTTCAGAGACAACCTATATCGGGACAGCATGGGTACCTGGGACCACGGGACAACCTATCAATGGAGGGGAATGTCTGATACTACTCACGGTTGAGGGAAGGAGCAACTGAGTTCACTCACCTTATGGGGCAAGGATATCTGAGGGGGAGCAGCTGAGTTCACTCACCTTATGGGGCAAGGATATCTGAGGGGGAGCAGCTGAGTTCACTCACCTTCGGAGGCATGGATATCTGAGGGAAGGCGTACATGGCTCCCTGCACGACGTTGCAGCTCATGCCCGGCACGGTGTTGAACGTCTCGGCCACCAGTTTGGCGCGCTGCGCCAAGGATCGAAGGACCTCTCCCTTCTCCGCCTCGAAAGACTCGTAGGAGGGGTCTCCTGCCACGGGAGGGTTGACCACGCACTCTACCACAGCCTGGACGGAACCAAGTATGAAATATGGCGTCCATAAGATACGATCGCATATGATCTACCGCTTGATATATCCACTCCTGACACATATATCCAAACAAGACGAGAACTACAATAGATTCGTCGCGATACGAAATAGTACTGTACTACTACTACCATTTGTTGCGTAAGCAACTCACCTGACCGAGGGTGGTGGGGCAGAGCTTGGCTGAGATCATCTTCAAGAACATGGCCTTGACGGCAGGGTCGACGTTCACAAGCTCTGCATAGCCGCCTCGCAGCCCGCACTCTCCCATGAAGCCTGTCGCAACGCAATATTAAACCTCCAAAAGAATACAAAATATTCATTCCCAAACTCCTATTATAAAACTAAAGCTAGTAACTATCTACTACAAAATATGCCTGAAGAATACGACATCGATAAAACAAGAACACTACCTAGTAATACGATTTGCGGATGAGCTTGTTACACCGCAGGTCAGTACTATCAAAACTAGCTCAATTACCTACATGTAGCGGCCTAAGTAAACGGAGCGACCGATTTCTCGTCTACGATTGATGAGTTCAGCTTGGAAAGTTGTTCATGATTGGCAGACGCAGTTACGAAACCTTAACTGGTGTAGTTAAGGTAAGTAGTAAATGGCTTCTGAGCGGCGTGCACTGACCCTTGCTGATGGACATGTAGGACGCAAGCTCCATGTTCGCGTAGGGAGCGCCCATCTCAGACATGACCTTCTTGAAGGAGTGGAAGGCGCAGCCATCGGCATAAACGTTGTGTTGGTACACCTGAAAATAAGAGGCATTTTAAATGCATTTTGTTGGTACACTCGCCAATGAGGGATGATGTCGCTGTGGGTTAGGAAGTGTGTCACTATTCGGACAATATGAGCCATTGATTTCTCTGAGAGAAGCACCTACAGCCTAGTGACCTCGTCAGCGATGAGGAAGAGGTGATGTCGCTGTGCGAACTTGATGATGGCCTCGATGTTGGGGCGGGACAGGACCTGCCCCGTAGGGTTGCCGGGGTTGATCACCACCAGGGCCCGGGGGCTGCAGCGGGTCTTGGCCTCAGCGATGGAGCGTTCCAGCTCCTCCACGTCCAGGGCCCAGTTAGCGGACTCGTCCAGGTAGTAGCTAACCTGTACCAATTAGAATAATAACATAGTAAGGCAGACCATGCGTGTAACTAGGGGCCTAGTAGGACAGGCATTGCGTGTATAACTAGGGTCCTAGCACCTGTCCAACATGGGGACTAGTGACTAGTGACCTAATGAGGCAGGCTATTTGTAGGTAACTGGCACATTTTAACCATGTTAATTGTTACACTATTACATTTTGAGTGTTTGGCTATTGACTGTGGCAGTTATAAGTCTAGTGTTGGTAACTAAACTGTGCATCATGACTAGGTACTACTCTAATAACAACACATATTTCAGCTCTAAATGCATATCAGCTACAGAAATGATGACAAATTACCACTATAACACTAGCTGGCCCTGGTCACCTGCTCAAGATCGAACTCTGCGAGGGTGGCTGAGTAGAGCGGGTACTGCGGGATGGGAACCATCACTCCTATGCGCTGCCCGTCCGTGTGGTTCGTCATCACTTGCAGCAAACCCTGCAACACGTGGAGTGTTATGCCGTATCTCTACACCTGGCTGTGTGGATATAAACTACGATGTTGCAAATTGCTGCATCACTCACTACACCTGGATGTGTGGATATGAACTACGATGACTAAGAGGCACGCACCTTGATGCCCTAAGAGGCACGCACCTTGATGCACTAAGAGGCACGCACCTTGATGCTCTAAGAGGCACGCACCTTGATGCCCTCGGAGGCCCCCGCACAGAGGACAATGTCCTCCCATGAGGACTTGATGCCACCGTCGCGCCGCGTGATGTAGTCGGCCACGTGGTGACGGATGATCTCTATCCCGGCGGAGTCGCTGTAGGATCCCAAGGATCCGCCCTTGCAACCGTCCAGCACGAGGCGAGCTCGAGCCTTGGCGTCTTCAGGGATGTTCGAGTCCGCGAACAGTTGTGGGAACAGGCATACGGACACTACCTGCAACACAAGTGTGCTGAGTGAACAGTTGTGGGAACAGGCATACGGACACAACCTGCAACACAAGTGTGTTGAGTGAACAGTTGTGGAAACAGGCATACGGACACCACCTGCAACAAAAGTGTGCTGAGTGAACAGTTGCGGGAACAGGCATACGGACAACACCTGCAACACAAGTCTGTTGAGTGAACAGTTGTGGGAACAGGCATACGGACACCACCTGCAACACAAGTGTGTTGAGTGAACAGTTGTGGGAACAGGCATACGGACAGTTGTGGCCACCCTGTCTCTTATACACATCTAGATGTGTATAAGAGACAGTACGGACACCACCTGCAACACAAGTGTGTTGAGTGAACAGTTGTGGGAACAGGCATACGGACACCACCTGCAACACAAGTGTGTTGAGTGAACAGTTGCAGAAACAGACATACGGACACAATCAGATGTCAACTCAATCTTTCACCCATTGGCATGGTTACTTTCAACGAAAACATTGCGAAAATCATAATTATCTAATTAATCCGACCACAGCAGTAATAAATATAGGTTCAGCTGGTAGCCCTAGCACAGCATCTAGATTCAGATTAATTTAGTGTTACTTCATCTTGCATGTTCAAGTTATTTTAAATAATAGTTGATAATTTCATTGTAATTATTGGTTCATTCTGAACATTTGACTGCATACTGTCCGGACAACACTTTTGTCCGGACAGGATGCAGTCTCCTGTCTAGTTCGACTCTTTTGAATTGTGGTAAGTTCATCCTTATCAGTGGAGATAAGATCGTACCGACGATATTGAGCCACTGAGAACTGAACATGATCGCTAACGTGGTTAGAGATTTCTACAAGCTGGAAACTGTGCCCACCATTAAGACATATTCAAATGACCCTTAGCTGAATAACATCAACGGCAGTTGTAGAAAGATCTAGTCTAAACAAATGACCAGGGGGCCGTACCATTCGTTAACGTCAGCGATCGGCTAACTTCGTTAGCCGATCGCTGACGGCTTTTCAAGTTAAACCCACATATCACAGACGAGTAATCGGCCGTTACGTGTATTTAGACTGCTTCGTGTACTAAGGTTGCTACGTTTACTAAGGTTGCTCCGTGCGCTAAGGTTGCTACGTGTGCTAAGGTTGCTGCTTGTACTAATGTTGCTACGTGTACTAAGGTTGCTACGTGTACTAAGGTTGCTACGTGTACTAAGGTTGCTAAGTGTACCAAGGTTGCTACGTGTACCAAGGTTGCTACGTGCGCTAAGGTTGCTGCGTGTACTAAGGTTGCTGCTTGTACTAATGTTGCTACGTGTACCAAGGTTTGCTACGTGTACTAAGGTTGCTACGTGCGCTAAGGTTGCTACGTGTACTAAGGTTGCTACGTGTACTAAGGTTGCTACGTGTGCTAAGGTTGCTACGTGTGCTAAGGTTGCTACGTGCACTAAGGTTGCTACGTGTGCTAAGGTTGCTACGTGTGCTAAGGTTGCTACGTGTACTAAGGTTGCTACGTGTACTAAGGTTGCTACGTGTACTAAGGTTGCTACGTGTACTAAGGTTGCTACGTGTACTAAGGTTGCTTGCTACAAGCACTTAAGCGGTTTAGATCGTAGGCTCACAGTTAATGGACCTAAAACCAGTTTGGGTCATTAAATGATTCGGCGCCATAGGCAAAGGTATAAGCCTAACCCTTTTACGCGGACACTTCCATTTTAAAGATGAGTATTCTAGGCTGCGTACTTTGGTTTTGGGCGCCCACAGCTGCGGCGTAGGCGAGATATCGACCCAAAGTTCGTGGTCGTTGTGTCTAAAACGTGCGGGGGGACGAGGGGGGATGAATTAGGTTCATATCTCAGCAGTACAGCGAGATGACGTCACAGCAAAGATGACGTCATAGCTGCGGATAGGAACTGCGTGGGACAATTGTAGAGGAAGCGGAAGGATAGAAGCTGCGTGCGGAATGGTTGAGGAATTTAAAGAGGGCGGAGAGACAGTTTGGTAAAAGTTGGACAGATGAATTAGCAACTCCAGAGCTGGAGAGTCCAGGGCAATCGAATAAGCAGAGAAATTCTTCCTTGGGAATAATTTTGTTTCAATAAAATCAAATTATTTACATTTATCGACATCTATAATAATCATGATAGAGCAATTAGAATGCAGTAGTCTTTTCCAGCTTGTGCTGTTTCCCATAGCAGTACAGGGTGTTTAAAATTTAAAAGAAATTCATCTATTTATTTATATCGCGGCAAAAATGTATAAATTTTATTGAGCGGCTAAAGATGAAGGTATAAGAAGCTGAGAGTGGACGTGTTAAAGAGAAAGGGTCGTAAAATGTGTGTTCCCGCCACTGACAGTCACCACAATTCAGAGAGCATCATCATGCAGTGTGTTATTGATCCATATTTTAGTAATGCTCAAAAATCGACGAAATTTTTTCTGGCATACTCTCCAGATTCAGAAACATGCGACTTTCTCGTTGCTTAAAATTGCATTAAACATTTGTAATATGAAATTCCAAAAACTCAAAATTCAATATACCGATGTCTGCCCTAGTTTCTTCTATTAACACCTCGTAATGATGATATCTAACGTGGAGGGATAAGCGAACAACCGCAGCTCAGCTAGCCGTATGCAGGATCACTACTAAGTAGGAAGCTGTGACGTGACCGCGAGTGAGTGTGATGATGAACACCACAGCCTTCATCACCACACTACATATGATGGCCGCCATGTTACATACAACAAATGGCAGGCAGAGCGCATGCATCACGTGCAGCACGGTAGCACTGGCACCTCAGGGTCGCCATGGAGCCAACATGCCACTTAGAGAAATGAGTGAGACTGTGTCTAAATAGCGTAGCAATTTATGCCTTTTTGTGGGTCATTCTGACCTATTTTAAATCTAGTGAAAAGACATATTAGTGCTACGTCACTCTCTGCTGGTGATGAGTGTAAGAATATGTGTCGCTATTTAGACAATATTACACATCGATTTTCCTGAGTGCAGTGTTGCATTGACGCCTGATGCTTCACATTACACATGATACACTCAGAGAAATAGTCAGACTTTGTCTAAAGAATGATTCACTTTTTGCCCTTGTGTGGGTCATTCTGGCCCACTTCGGGCCCGCGAAGGTGCGTATCTGTGTAACATCTACTATTTGCTAGTGCCCCCGAGGCTAAGATGTGTGTGTCGCAATTTATACAATGTGACCCACTTATTTTTCTGGGTAGTTTCGCTTCAGTGCAGCTCTTCACTTCTCAACGTGGCACTCACTGGCACTGCGTGGTAACGTGGCACTCACTGGCACTGCGTGGTTACGTGACACTCACTGGGACTGCGTGGTAACGTGGCACTCACTGGCACTGCGTGGCAACGTGGCACTCACTGGCACTGCGTGGTAACGTGGCACTGCGTGGTAACGTGTCACTCACTGGCACTGCGTGGTAACGTGTCACTCACTGGCACTGCGTGGTAACGTGGCACTCACTGGCACCGCGTGGTAACGTGGCACTCACTGGCACTGCGTGGTAACGTGGCACTCACTTGCACTGCGTGGTTACGTGGCACCGACGCTCACACTCATAACTGTCGGCTGTTCAGCCTTCGCATGCTGCATGAACTGATCAACATGATGACCAAGCAGCAGATCTCATAAACGTAAGAAGCAACACCATGCGTATGAGGCATGCAACACTCTACGCATGTGACACGCTGCACTACACCTACGTGTGCAACGCTACTCTAACACGAGTGGTTAATGACCAGAGAAATCATTAACATTAACCACTCGTGTTTAACTAAGCTTATTCTGCTATCTTATAGTAATTTCGCTACTCTAACTTGTACCAATTTGTAGTTATGCAACACTACACGTGTCCTAGCCGTGCACGCCCTCTCAGACAGGACGCGTGCTCAAAGCACTGAGCTCGTGACTGTCCGTCTAAGCGTGAGGCGAACTTCACTTTATTTCTTATATTTGATATAGATATTTGTCAAAGTGTGCGTGTGTTGTGAGGCGAACTTCACTTATTTCTTATACGTAATCTATATATTTGTCAGAGATTGCGTGTGTTCTAAACCTGGCACAATAAATATACAAGAGGCGTTGATGTTCGTACCCAGGATACTTATTGTGTTGGGATATCACCTGCACCTGAAAGTTAGTTAATTGGGCCTGAAGACTCCAAAAATTAAAGGGAAGGGATGCATAAAAAATTTAAATGACATTTATACTGAAGCAGGTCTCAACATTATTGAAACGTGATGATTAAAGTTTCATTTAAATTGAAAAGCATGAGTGAAACGAGAGTTTCGTGTTGAATGAGGGCTGAAAGAAGACTTATATCACCGCATATAACTTTGTAAATTGTCAAAGATACTCGAGAAAACGGGATTCGAGACGACGGGATTAAGGATGATTGTAATAGGAATCACGCGATTCTTAAATTGCAGGAATTATCTATCCCGGATATTTATATAGCGAACCAACCCGCTAATACATAAATTAATTCAGTACATTCCACGAGAAAACGAGTTCAACCGTGAGAAATTCATTGGTCGAGGATTTTAGTCACTCGGGCTCTGGTAAAGTTTTGGACTAGTGCATGACAGGATGCGTAGCCTCGGTGTTCAATGTTTTTGAGGGCTTAGTGTACATAAACTCGCTTCCTTCCAATCTCTTGCAACTTCTAATGCAACAACTACACAATTGTTAACAGCTCTTACTGACTCTAAGAGGACCTGTGTTACCTAACAAAAGTTCATTAAGTTGTTAAGTGCATCTATAGTCAGATTTATTACGTAGCTTTTTTTCTTAAAAATATTCATATTGCTGAACATTTACTTAATTTTGCTAGGCAGTAAGCATTGCACTTTGCGTCAATTGTCCAGCAATAGCCCGACGTTGGCAGCTCGCCCAACACGTGCCGCTTGTTGTACAATATTCTAAGCATAGCCAAGTATTGTAAGAGACACAATAGATTTTATGACGTCAATACTAAGACATCGCTCTGTTAATAGATGAACGATCATCCACTTTACTGCATGCAAGACTCGTGTGGTGCCTAGCGATGTGTTGAATGAAAATGAAAGCCCAGCAGTTATCAGGCGGAAGGTCATGTAAAAAAACGAATAATTGGCACATCAAACAGGCGCACCAATTTAATTGAAAATCATGCAATCGGTATTTCAATGAGAGCGTCAGTATTAGTAGTTGGAGCGTACGTCGCTCTATATATTCATGCATGGTTTAAAAGGCTACAGTGAATGGATTTCGAGATCAGCATGGGTAAATGGATAGACTGGATGCTCACTGCTAAGCACGCATGGATAGACTGGATACTCAGTGCTAAGCACGCATGGATAGACTGGATGCTCAGTGCTAAGCACGCATGGATAGACTGGATACTCAGTGCTAAGCACGCATGGATAGACTGGATACTCACTGCTAAGCACGCATGTATAGACTGGATATTCAACGCTAAGCACACATGGATAGACTGGATATTCAACGCTAAGCACACATGGATAGACTGGCTACTCGGTGCTAAGAATGCATGGATGAACTCAATGTATAGACCCTATATCTAGGTAGAAGTGATTCGTGGTAGGAAGACCTATAGTAGTTGGTACCATACCAAGACGAGACCGTGAGAACAACTGTTGGAGTTTGGGTGTATTTATGAAAACCGCCGACATAAAGTGACGTCTTGTTCACGAACCCTATTTAGGGAGCATGAAAATCGAGCATCTTGGTCGAGAAGTGACCAGAGCAGACTTTGTGATGGTAATGGCTCGGCCCTCTCTAAACCCTAACCCTTCCTCGTGTCCGACAGTAAGCGTTGATACAACCCTGTTAACCCTACCTCGAGTCCGACGGCAAGTGTCGATACAAACCCTGTTAATCCTTCTCAGTTCTCCCGTATTTTGACTCTCATCATGCACTAACCCGAATCCTAAATAAAACCCTAAATCTCCCCCTATTCTCACGGGGTAGAATACATTCAGTAGATCAGTTCGCCGAAGAGAATCTGAGGTGCGTATATCGGGCGTCAATGAGTTATTATATCACAGCGATAATGTGATATAATAATGAGTTATTATGAGTTATTACATCACAGCGATAATGTGATTAATAATGAGTTATTATGAGTTATTATATCACAGCGATAATGTCATATAATAATGAGTTATTATGAGTTATTATATCACAGCGATAATGTGATATAATAATGAATTATTATGAGTTATTATATCACAGCGATAATGTGATATAATAATGAGTTATTATTATGAGTTATTATGTCACACGAATAAGTTATAGATCACAGCGTAAATTTACCTGCCGATATTTGTAACGTGCTCCTCCGTAGGATTTCTAATGATTGATTGTTTGCATTGAACCTTGAAATTGAACCACGTTATCAGTAATGTTCTATAATTAATCATTTAATCAGGATTAAACTCAACGATGGAAAATACATTAACGTTAACCGGTGAAAAACAGATACAAAGTACAAATAAAGAAAAGATAACAACCAGGGCCTATGCTTTCAAAAAAAGTTAAGAGATCGTAAGTTCATCAGCCAATCATTGATGGCCTTTCAAGCAAAATCCACCAATCATAGACAAGAAAATAGAGCGTAAGTACTTACGTTAACTTAACAAGTTTTGAAAGTATGGCTCCCAGTATTATATATGGAATACTCAGTGCTAAGCACGCATGGATACACAGTAATATTTATTGCTAAGCACGCGCGTGTGACCGTCATGTCAGCTTGCAGAGCACGCACCACAGTAACTCAAGTGTCCCTGCTTGGTTCAATTTCAATTCACCTTCAAAAGCAACCAGCTCGTTATACATGCAATGCATACTGTACAGTGCACATGCACTGCACACAACACAGCCTAGCAGTGTAGCTCGAAGGCTTGAATGCTGCACAATGTACAGCTAGCTGTGCTGCACAAGCTTGTATGGTCAATGAATTGGTACATAAAACATGTCATCCATTGATCCACTCGCAAGACAAGGCCTTTATTGCGCTCGTTGTGTGGACATCGAGTGTACAATATTGTTCAATAATGTTAGTGTTCGAGTGTTCAAAATAGTGTACATGAAACAAGTGTGCGAGGTAGGCTGTATATGGTGGCCTATTATATTATATCAATATTATTAATAATATCCTTCCATAAAATTAAATTATATGGGCTCAGAGAAATTAGTGAGACTTCGTCCAAATAGCGAAGTACTATTTGCTATTGTCTGGGTCGTCCTGATCCAGTTTGGTCCCGAATAATGGCGTATCAGTGCTACGTCCGCTCTCTGCTCGTGCTGCAGTTAAGAAAGTGTGTTACTATTTGGACAATAAGAGCCATTCATTGTTATGAGTATGGCCTCACCTGGCGCAGGAAGGTGATGGGTTTCTGGCCCATTGCGTGCGCGTCGCCGATGTTGGCTTTGGTGACCTCCTTGAACGGCTTCTGAGCGCCCTGCAACGATCACATAATTCCAATTATAGCGTCTGTATAGGAAATTATACTGTGATAATAAACATTTGTTACATTACAGACAAAGAGACCATATGAATAATAACAAGAATTTGGAAAATGGCGAAACTTAGTTGAAGAATGACGAAGCTTCGAGCAACGGCGAGAGGGAAAATAATTTCACTCTGATGAAGGACGAAACTGGTAATAATGACGAGAAATTTGAGAAATAATAGAGACAGAAAAATACTAATCATCTAATCGCCCTCGCCAGTGAGTGACAAATTATGACGTGAGTATCGACCATCTCATGATGGGTTAGATCAGCGCAGCGGCAACGCCTGCACTTCAGCACGAAACGGCGTAACAGGAGCAGTGCAATCAAAAGTAGTCCAAGTACACGTATCGGCCCAAGTACACGTAGCGGCCCAAGTACACGTAGCGGCCCAAGTACACGTAGCGGCCCAAGTACACGCAGTGGCCCAAGTACACGTAGCGGCCCAAGTACACGTAGCGGCCCAAGTACACGTAGCGGCCCAAGTACACGTAGCGGCCCAAATACACGTATCGGCCCAAGTACACGTATCGGTTCAAGTACACGTAGCGGCCCGAGTACACGTAGCGGCCCAAGTACACGTATTGGCCTAAGTACACGTATCGGCGAAAGTAAACATAGCGGCCAAAGTACACGTAGCGATCTTATTACATGTAGCGGCCTAGGTACACGTAGCAGTCTAGGTACACTTAGAGGCCTAAGTACACATAGCGGACGATTTCTCATTGTGATTGGTGGGTTTAGCTTGCAAAGCCGTCACTGATTGGCTGAAGCTCATAACTATTTGTGATAGTAAGACCAGGACAATGGGCGACTGTTGCTGCGACCTCCGCCCTCCCGGCGAAACATTCATTGACTCGACACAAGATCGTCAGTCCAACGAACTTCGTAGATGCATGCAATCAGAGAAACGAAGAAAACTTTTTCCAAATAGTGAAGCAATTTTTGTCCTAACGTGGATGATCCTAAGTCCTAACACAGTTTTGCCGCAGGCAAAATAGCCAGTCAGTACGGCGCCGCTTCTTGCTCGTGGTGTAGGTTAGAAACTGTCACTACTTGGACAATGCGACCCATTCATGTTTCTGAATGTATAAACATAGACATAGGGATTAAAAGACACAAAAAGTTGGAATGTGCAAGTGTTCAAACATGATAAATAGAGCCTCAGGCGTGCTGAAGAAAGTCGTGTGCATCTCAAAGGGGTGACGTGTACATAGGCCGCGTTCACGTCGAGCTCTTGGCGAAATGTCCAACAGAATCAACAGTTTTTTATACATAATTTAAGAAAAAATGTTCATGGAGTAACATTGCTTTAAAATTTACACTTATATATATCGGTATTCAGTATCGCGTGGTTCATAGTAATTTTTAATGCATTCTTCACTTTGGTTTGATTGCGCAGTCGTTAGACTCGTAGGTAAGACTCTCTTGAAAGCCAGGTGGTATATACAGTACGGTAGTAAGTTGAGTCGGTCAAATGGGCCTAATCCCAATGATCATACAGTTCACATATTTTTATCCCGGGATTACAGTTTGACTGATCTCAAATTATTTATAAGTGTTTCATCATTTATAATTCTCATTTAACGGAAACTAGAATGTAGGAAATTATTTGCAAAAACAGAAAATAATTGGTGATTAAGTAGGACTCACTGTAGGAGAGAATGGAGAAAGAAAAATGAGGAATCATACCTGATTTCTCTGATATCATGATGCATGCAAATGAAATGAATATCAGTTAAAATATTCATGCATAAAAAGATAAGTATCGATGTTGTTAACAAGCCCTATTGATTTAGTGGCACTGTGACTGCTAATTTTTTTACATGGATTTTATGGGACAAATGACGCACAAAAACAGTGGCACTGAAATTGCGCACGAGATGGTACGCAAATTCATGCGGTTCACCTAAAATATGGCAACACTCACCGCTTGCAATTCCTTCTCAAGAGCAGTTGCGCGGATGACCAATGGACCACGCACTGCATATTCCATTTTTTTAACGTAAGGATTCATATTATCAAGAGTTAAAACGCGGTTATCCATGACGGCTGACGTCGACACACACCTTACACTACAAAATACGCCGTAGTACTGGCCGCCCTTACCAACGTTCGCGCTGATATTTCTGATCGAGTTGCCAAGCAGACGACGACTTGTGTTGAGCGAAGTAACAGACATATCTGGAGCTTAATTTTGCAAGAATAACTGCAATTTTTCAAATCACCGAAACTCAGTGGTATTATGCTTTGATTAGTAAACGACTGAACACTTGGCACCACTTGTGCTCTCTAGAAAGAAGAGAACTACTGCTCATCAACACAGCTGTCAAAGAAGACCTCCTTCAAACTGCACTTAGTTACATACGCACAAGTTAACCACAAACATGACTGTCAGTCTGTCGACACTAGACACACACGTACATGTCCGTTTTCTTTAGATGGTCATGCTTAACAAAGTAGGTAATGCAAGGAATGAATAAAATAAATTTCAACAAAATACGTCTTCGCTCATATAAGTTGCTTTTTTAGTCCATAAAATTAAAATTTTGCAGATGAATATATTTTTAAGAGTTTGTGCACTTCGTCCTTTAAAATTATGACATGGTAATTTATTAATCAGTCATCAACTGCCGTGCCTCGGACAAATTAACAGCCATTTAAAATTTTTCTTATGTGTAGCTGGAAATGACTATGGGAATAAACTCAACCTTTCTCATTTTGAAGTAATTGGACTGTTTGCTTAATCTATAGAACTTGTGCCCCGTAACGTGTGAGGTAATTTTAGGAATAAGAATTTTTATGTACTTTCTATCAATTCACATAACTCAAGATACCAAGTAAAAATAATTATCTATGTAATTAAAGTTGTATTGATATTCTCGTGATGGCTGGCATCTTTGGAACCGTTGCTTACGTCACGGTTAAGAATTGTGTCACTGTCAGTCTGTCACAGGCAAAAACTGAATAGTGTGTGGGAGGACCGCGTCTAAAGTGGAAGTGATTGTGTAGATCTTGAGCATAGCATATGTTGCTGGGAGTTTTTGTTACTCTTACCTCAGAATTCAAATAAATTGAAGTATGTAAGAAAAATAAGCACTCTTCGGAAAAGTTAAAGCCCGTGAAAACTAATGATGTCTTCATTGTCCTGTAAAAGTTTTGTAGGTACCTACTACCTAGGAAAAATGGCACTTTTTGCCTGCAATGAATAGCTAAATTAATGAACTGATCTTACTGATGATTTTTAAAGATTGTATGTGAAAATGTTTTTTTTTCGTTTTCTATAATTTCTTATGTTTCTGTGAAAGTACCTAATAAGGTAAAGGGATTGAAAGTGGGTGAAATTGACTAAGTAAACGCATAGACTCACCAGTATGGGCCTGTAAACGTGAGCATTTTCATCTCCTATACTATACTTCATTCTTCAAATCATAGGAAAGGTTTATACCTATGTGATTTTGGCTGAATTTTTTTGAATGACATGGCACAAAATCAATAATGATAGTTTTACCACAATTTGAGCAAAATCCTGCTAAATAGATAGTAGGATTTTCCAGATTGGCCATTGTGAGTCTCTGTGAATTTGTGAAATTGTGAGCACTGAGCGGTGAGCCTGTGACTCAGCTAGTATGGAATATATCTACTTGGCAAGCCGCGACTGAATTTTTCGAGCCGTGGTTTTATGGATTTGCCAGCCGTGATTCCATTTCTACGAGCCGTGATTCAATTTCACCGAGCCGTGAATTCCATATCTAGAGCCGCGAGATTTCATACCTACTGAAATTATATGATATTAGAGCCGCGATATTTCAGACAAAAATAGGACTTTTCCAGACTAGTGACTCAGCCTCTCAGGCAGTCAGGCTGTGTTCCTGTGAGTGTGTGACCAGAGTTTTAGGAAAATTAACTGGTTTACTGGTTTTGCAAATTGTAGCTATTTAACAAACTACAAATAAGGATAAGCCTACCAGCAGGCAGCAGGTTGGGAAAAGTCCTACTTTTTTCTGAAATATCGTGGCTCTAATATCAGGATAGCTATATAATTTCAGTAAATTCAGTAGGTATGAAATCTTGCAGCTCTAATGTTATGTATTTTTGTTTGATTTAAAAAATTGCAGTTTGCACTTTGCCAACATGTTGTTTCATAACATTTTTAACTTCCACAATGATGCACAATCATCATTACTTCAACGCTCCAGCCAAAATATTGTGCAGAATGTAATAACAAGAAGTCAACCCTAAACTTTTCCTTGAAGATTGCGTAGTTGTGGTCATGTCAGAGCAGTCAGACTGCATTATCACTTGTTCAGTTGCCATTTAAGTGAAGAGAAATCTTAGAGTTGCTGTACAATTGGACTGTTTTTATGGTAAAATTTGGGGTAACACGTGCATGCAACTTTGGGAGAACACAAGCATGTGACTTTGTAAACAAGCTTGTGGGTCATAAATGGCTTTTCATGGCCGAGATATAGAATTCATGGCTCAAAGAAATGGAATCACGAGTTGAAGAAATGGAATCAAGGCTGGCAAACCTATAAAACCATGGCTTGAAAAATCCAGTTGCAGCTTGCCTGTAGTTATATTCCATGTCTCATGATGCCTGTTGCCTTGATATGGAATACCATCATACCAATACACTACTCACTAGTCCATGGTCTGACTTCTGTGCCTAGTGAGGAAAATATCTACTCTCTGAACTGCAACTGGATTTTTCAAACCATGATTTTGACAAGCTGTGATTCTATTTTCTTGAGCTGTGTATTCCACATATCAGCCATGAAGAGCTATTTACAATCTGCCTAAAGGCCCATTTACACTAGTGGCAACGACATGCGCTTTGAGTCGTTTGCTGCTGTGCGTCACCGCGCACAACCGTTCACACTACTTTTGTCCTCGGTAGTTTGAGTCCTCGGTTTTTGGTAGCGCACTTTGAACAATGAACACTAGTTGCCACTGGCACCTAGACATCAATGAGGATGGATGTAACCAAATTTGAGCTGTGGGCCATTGTTCTCGGGTGTGCTGCGGTCCGTCATTCTTCGCACTATGCCAGTTGTAAACGAGAATTTAGCATAGGCATCATAATTAGAGAACTAGCACATTCAAAAAGATACAGTTTATAAAAAATATAGTCTATTCTTAACCCTTTCATGAGTAAGTTACCATATATGATCACTTGAAATCGCATCACAAAAAGCATCACCACGGCTTCCTGTTTGTTTTTGAGGCATCCTTATAATGCCTCAGTCAATCACTAATTATCTGAATTATCTGACCATCATTCTATCTATAGCATCACCAGCTGCAAAGTCCACAAATTGAAATATGAGCATTTAAATGAAGGTTTTGACTCGGACAATGGGATTGACGCTCATTCCGCATTTTCTTCAAAATTTGTAAGTATCAATATATATATTTATTTATTTTGTCAACTTGATTAAATTTAATTAAATTAAATTTATATGTTTCTAATTTTTCATTTGCATAAACTGAATTTTAATTCTGAATAAAAATTTTGTGTACTGATCGCATTTATTGAATTCTTCAAGTGCGATTTAAACCTTCAATAGGCAAAATTTGCAAAAATTCATATAAATAAATATATTGTATAATACTTCTTACTTTCTTGAAATGATTTCTGAAATTTTAATTTCTGGATATTTCAATGCTTGCCCGCTAAAGGGTTAAATAAAAAGTTCTAATGTTTGTACCGATATTATATCATCCTTTGAAATCGCTAAACGGTAATGCATAAATTGTCAGGAGTTGCTAAAATCACATAAACTAAACACGTCATGTAAAAATAACTTACATCATTTGCATTTCGATTTTTGGACTCCTTTGATCGAACACTCCATAGGCATTCGTGTTCTCTATAAAGATCAATTAGGCGCTCTACTAGAGAGTGACTCCAAACAAGAGTGGTGTTTTAGTTGACATTTGGTGTGCCGGACCAGCGTACACAATCAACCTTACTAGACCACATACAGCTATCTACTAACTAAGAATTTAAAAGCAAAGAATAGTCCACAAAAATTCATATCTTTATAGAAAACGTTTCGGAGACCAGCTCCATCGTCAGTTCGTAGAATCTAGAATCACAAATCAGAAGTCACAAATTAATACCTACATTGAAACCATAGAACAAATTGAATTTCTTTAATTAATTAATTTAGATTTTTAATTTGATTTAAATATTTAATTTCACTTAAATTCTTAGTTAATTTGCGATTTAAGCATACAAGTGATATCAATTCTTTAATAGCTATCTACTAAGCGCTGCGCTTGTGTTGCATGAGGCATGGCCCCTGTCAATCGCTAGCTCGTCAATCGGTCAAGAAGCGCATGCAGAGGCTGCAAAGCGCCTCTGCATGCGCTTTGAGGCCCTTGATTTTTGTATGTTGCCCCTAGTGTGAACGGGCCTTAAGAGCTGTGTGGTGCAGTGGTGAGAGACTCTGTTGTTGCCGGAAGGCATTATTGCTTTTTCTCCACTCAACCCATCTGTGTCATTAACCAATTTTTTTACTCAATGCATCCTTTTGTTTCATATCGTTTCAGAACAGAGGTAATGATTAAATTCCATTCAAGCCAAGTTTAATTCAGTAACTAAAATGCTGCCAAGACAGTTAAATGCATCAAGTTAATTCTGCAATACTGTTGGGTGAGTGAAGCTCTTCCTGATAATGTATATATATGTATGTCTTCCGTAATACTGCATTTTCCATACCTTTTTAACCGTTGCATTATTTATCTGTATTATGTGAGCACAACCCTACCATAATCAAGTTAACTGTGTTTCAAGTGTTCAGTTCATAGACATGATGGTTATGCGGTCCTTGTTTTACCTATATAACTTCACTTGCATTCTTGCGTCAAATCTATTTCCAATGTTGTTTGCTTTGTGTTTATTAATTATAATTTTTTCTTCAATAACGCTTGCAATTTAAGTTACTAGACTAAAATTATCAATCTCTAAATTACTTAATGTTTATTCATTATTCAGTCATAGCATGATTGCCTCAAGTTAACATCTAAATTTAGGCACGATAGATTGTAACCTGCTTGCGTCATATTCACATTATGCGCAGTATATTTCATTTGTAATTTTTATATCTTTCAGCTGTCTGAGGACCTTATGCGCCATTGCCCGTCCTGTGCTCCCTATTCCATATCACTAGTTACCAAGCACCAAGTCCCATAGACCTAAAGCACTATATGCAATATTCTCTTTGTACATTCATCGGCATGTCAGTTGTATTTTAAAATCCCATAATAAAACAGAACACTTCTGGCAACTCTTTACTTACACCATATTAGACCAATTCAGCTTCACTTAAGTGGGTTACGAGTTAATCCCCCCGCGGCATACACGGGAACACTGTCTCTTGCACCCAGCGCCCGGGTTCGAGTCCCACTGAGGACAAGTTCTACCGGGAAGCTCAGCCCATGGTCAACTCAGCCATTCATCCAACTCTGGTTGATAAATGAGTACCTGGCTTGTCCAGGGTGTTGTGTACTCCAATCAAATGGTTCTGGCGGGTCAGCAAGCCAGTGATGGTCGTAGAACTACCAGTGGCATCATGTGCCCGGAAAAATTGACCTATCACCACCCCTCCCTAGTTGCCACTACCAGGATGGCAAAATAAACCAAAAAGGGTAATTACACACACACACAATCTGCCAACTCATTTTCAAAGTCCTGTGCACGTGTTACCTAAAATCCCTAATTTTGTTTTGGAACGGCAAACAAGGGCATTTGTCTTTGCACTTTAGTGGCAATTGGCAACTGGCAACTGAACATGTGATAATACAGTCTGACTGCTCTGACATGACCACAGCTATGCAATGTTCAATGAAACGTTTTGGGTCGACTCATTATCATGACCTTTTGCAGGATATTTTGGCAGGAGCATTGAGGTACTGCAAAAGTTGAAAATTGTATGAAATGACATTTTTGCAAACCGCCATTTTTTCAATCACACAAAAATACATGACATTAGAGCTGCAATATTTCAAAAGAAGTATGACTTTTCCTATCTACCTAGTTCTTAGCCATCTCAATTTTTCATGTTGTGATTGTCAAAAGCAAATTTTAAACCATAAATTTGTTTGCCAAGATTGGCTCTGATCATAGTCTGGTGGTGGTATATATATATATATATATTTTTGAGCCACAACTACAGCCTTCCTGTCATTTTTTATTTGTGGAACTGCAAGCAGAAGATTCTTTCTACTTGCTTGACAAATTACCTTTTATTGAAAGCAAATCATAAATAAAAAATGAAAAAGGCATGGTTGGCCAACCTGTAAAAATGGGCAGAAGCCGCTTGTGAATTAGTAGACCAAAATATTGGTTAATTAATCCAATTTCACCTATTCCTGTCATCCTGTGAACCTTTCTCAATTTCTGCAGTGGAAAATAATAAGAAAAATTGCCTATTTTTACCCAAATATTTCAAGCAGAGTCTGTAAAACTATAGGCATTAACCATGTCCTTTGAAAAATTTCTCCCATTTTCAATATTCCAGATTAGAAGATCAGGCTGTAAAATTCCAAATGTAGTGGAAGTTTTTTCACCTTGGAGACAGCCACCAGATTTCAGTAATAAAAAGAAGTCCATACCTGGCTGGGCTGAGTTGACATATGCTCTATAGTCCAAATGTAAAGAGGCACTTTGCGAGTTTGACATGTGATGACATTCTTTTCATTTTTGGGCCCAGTGTTTGAAGTTCAGAGGACCTAGATTGGAGCAGAGGGGTGTGGGTTTGAACACAACCAATCACAGTCTGGAGAGGATGACATCACAATCCCACAACCAATCACAGTCTGGAGAGGATGACATCACAATCCCACAACCAATCACAGTCTGGAGAGGATGACATCACAATCCCACAACCAATCACAGTCTGGAGAGGATGACATCATAGTCCCATAACCTATCAGTCTGGATTGGATGATACCACAACCAATCACACTCTGGATGGACATGCATCCACCCAAAAATGACAAGCTTTATGCACTGTTCTAGAATTCCAACCAATATGAAACAAAACTAATGTCATAACTTATCTGATTGGAAAATTCTGTTGCAGCAATTAAGCCAAAACTGGAAAATTAGGCAAAGTCCTCCTGTGAATGAGCAAAAAAATGTCTGTGCTTACTGATGATTTAACCCATTTTTATGGCCCTTGTTTAATTTCCATGGTTAAAATGAAGGAAAGTTGAACAATTTTGCTATAGTGATTTAAAAAAAAATCACATCCAAAGCAAACATTGTTATGAGCAATTATAAAAAAAAAATTCCAAATTCCTGAAAATGACTGAGCAAGTGCATACCACCTCTCCTAGAATCCCCCTTTGTGTCTCCTAATCTAGTAAATGTTTATACCTGTTCACCTATCAAATCACTTAAATTCAATGCTGTCTAAAAACTTCCTTCCAAATTTGTATATCTCTCTGCCATTCTGGGAGAGCAGGCCAAATTTTCCAAAAAATGTGTTTGAAAATGATAGTTCCTTGTGTGATTTTCTGGAATTGCAAGCAAAAGTACTACTTTGCCATTTTTCATACTGTAAAAAAATTGATCAAGTCACTTCGGAATGCATTAAACTGACAATGCGCAGGAGTCTTCTTGTATCAGTCAAGGTTGAATAGAAGAGTACTGATAAGTATTTACCATAATTAACCTGGGGTTTACAGTAAGCAGAAAGTGCTAGGTATATTTTCTCAGATGCTATCAAAATTTGATTGCATGCTCAGATTTTTTTAACAATTTATGTATGTATGAAATTCACTGAAGATATTTTTGTATGTATGAAATTTCAATTGGTTTGCAGGTCAACATGAGCACAGTAGAATCTTCCATAACTTATGATGACAGTTTTAACAAATTTGTTCATGATAGAAGTAGTAAAGCAACTGCACATCAATGCAGTACACCTCCACCAGCCGACCAGATGAGGGACACTGACAAGACTAACAGGACATGGAAAGAACAAATGCTCACTGCTGATACTGATGACTTTATGTTGAGGAGCGATGGCAGTGGCTCAGAGAATGGCGCTGAAGGCCACAAGTCGGAGCGGGACTGGTACGGTGCTGAGTTACGAGAGAAGGTTAGCCGGTGCTTGCCACCTCAGCCTGTCAAGAGGATGGGTGGGACATGGCAACGTGACCGCATGGAGTCCTTTGAGAGCAACAAGGAGGTGGTAGGATCAGAGGGCCGAGCATCGCCACTGTCAGGATTCTCACCAGCACACAAGGCTGATGGCAGCAGCGACTACCCCACCTGCTCCTCCCGAGGACCTGCTGACTTTGAGGAGGATGACTGGGAGGGCTGGGAGCGCCCTACTGGTGAACGCTGGCCTCCCCTTGGTGCCCCAAATGATGAGGATGAACAATCCATCTGCTCCTTTGAGGAGCTTGGCAGGTCAGTCATCCTATCCTACTTAATATGAAGGTCTCTTGGTTCTTTCTTTCTGCTTGGAAATATTCAGCTTGTTAACAAAATTGGGAAAGACCAAAACATTTAAATCCATCTCAACATGATATATCTGTGATGTATATCCTATGTATGGAGTATGACATATCCTATGTGTGACGTATTCTATGTGTAACATATCCATTTGCATGTAAAATATCCTATGTGTGATGAACACTGATGTGTGAAATACCTTGAAGTGTGATTTTTTTTCGGTATTATTTTATTTAATATAAAGTGGGTGGTATCCTGAAGTGTTATTTATTCCAAAGTGTAATAGCTCCTTAAGTGCGATGTATTGTGCTGTCTCCACCCTCAGGTCGCGCAGTGAGGTGGGGCGGCTGCGGGAGTTGGAGGAGGAACAGGAGCAGCTGAACTCTTCCCTCATGTCCCTCACCTCGCACTTTGCTCAGGTACGTGTGGCTTATAGCACTCACTTCATCGTAACGTATTTTATGTCATAACACGATGTTACATACTTGACGTCACGTATCTTACGTCGTGATAGATCCAGTTTTAGTTTGTCAACTTCTAATGTACCGCACGACGGGTGCAGTCTCGGCTGGTCACGTCGTAATGTACGTGACGTCACGTCGTAATGTACCTAACGTCACGTCGTAACGTATTAACGTACCTGACGTCACGTCGTAATGTACCTAACGTCACGGCGTAACGTATTAACGTACCTGACGTCACGTCGTAATGTACCTGACGTCACGTCGTAATGTACCTGACGTCACGTCGTAATGTACCTGACGTCACGTCAACGTCACGTCGTAATGTACCTAACGTCACGTCGTAACGTATTAACGTACCTTACGTCACGTCGTAATGTACCTAACGTCACGTCATAACGTATTAACGTACCTTACGTCACGTCGTAATGTACCTAACGTCACGTCATAACGTATTAACGTACCTGCCGTCACATATCTTGCGTGACTGCAGGTTCAGTTCCGGCTGAAGCAAATCATCAACGCTGAGGCAGGAGAGAAGGAGGCGCTGCTGAAGGAGCTCGAGGAGTTCGCTGACCGCGGCATCCCTGACCTACGCGCCATCGAGCACACCAGGCAGGCCGTGCGCCAGTGCTCTACCTCAGTGAGTCACATTACCTTTCTGTTTACCCTCTAGTTTTAACATAAACCTCATTTTGAGGGACTTGACCTTCTTGTTTTACCCTTTAGTTTTACCATAAACCTTATTTAAGGGGCTTTAACCTTCTTATTTTACCCTTTAGTCCTCATTTTGAGGGGCTTTACCGTCCCTCCCTATTTTACTTTTTTGTTTTATGTGACCCTTATTTTACGATGATTCCTATTTTATCCTTATCCTAATTTTCTGTCTAACGATATCGTCCTTGAATGGGCTGGGCCTTATCATTCATTTCTTTGCCCTTACTCTTGCTTTAACCTTACCCATATTTACCCCGTAGCCTTATTTTACACTTACATTTATTTTTGCCTCACGATAGTTCTCTTGTGAATGACCTTTATAAGTACGCCTGTTTTCTGTTTCACGCCAGTTTCGTGAAAGACAATTATTGTGGTCATTGAGGCATAGGCCTTATCATTCATTTCTTTATCCTTACTCGTGCTTTAATCTTACTCATATTTTCCCCGTAGCCTTATTTTAGACTTGAATTATTTTTTTTTCACACGATAGTTCTCTTCCAAATGGTTCTAATCCTATTTTCTGTCTGGCGCCAGTTTCGTGAACTATAATTATTGTGGTCTTGCTAATAAATTTGTGTAGGTACCTCAGACGCGATAGGTGTTTGATTCTTTGTTTTATGACGGTAACTTTCGGTACACCACTTCGTAGGAAACTAACTGCACTAAATAACTCGTTTTCTTTCAAATCCAAGAAAGATTAATTACATTCTCAAACTATTAGCTAATGAGAGACTGAATAGACTATTTTTCTTACGTAAATTGGTTTCTGTATACAAACCAATGAACTATTATAAGAAATAACAGGATATATACTTTAATTTCTCACTTGCAATTTTCGCTTGAATCTCATTCATCCACATGACATATCAATGGGATCTTATATTAAGGCAAGTGGTGTGCAATCTTACGTGCCATGATAAGCTTTTCTGTATTTTAGCATCAAATATTTACTATTATCATGTAATTTCAAGCGCACAAAATAGAGCACTAAGTTGCGGAAAACTCGTCAGAAGAAATGATAGCCGGCCCGATAACACAAGCTCTCAGGATGTGCTAAAACACTCGCCTCGAACTCGCTGCTTAAAAAAATTAATTCATAATATTTTATCTCTAGATATGGGAAATGTCTCGCTGTTGCGTGAGGATAAGAGACAGAATTGACACATCAGAGGTGACCGTGAGACACTTGCCTGTAAATTTTACAGCAGCCCTGTGACCTGCCTTGTTTTTTGGGATGATTATTTATCTATGCTATATGTGTATGTATTGAGGATACGATTTTAAGTATTTGAAAGAAGTATTTAGGATTTGTATTTAGGTATCCTATGTCTATCTATCCAGGATACGGTAGTTGCCAAGCTGTGCGTGAACTCAATGCATGAATTCACGTTCAGACTCTAACAATGAATTGCAGAAACGTTAGGCTTGTTAAATGCTGAAATCATATTTAAACTTACTTACTGCTGCAGCAGCCATTGTTATGAAAGACATTAATGTGAAGAATTCTCAAAACGAATTCGTATCAAAGCTGAAACAAGGTGCGCGATTTTTGTGCGAGGCTCGCGCGCGTTATCCTGCACAGCTGTTGCGTCAGGTGTATGATGCAGTGAGCAGCTGTGCCTTTAGCACAACTGTTCACTGCTCAGCCTTTATGTATGTACGTCAAGTTCGTATACACGTCGTTTACAGATGCCGTTGCCAAGGCCAGCAGCTGCATAATTAACACCTTGTGTACATTGGAGGATCTCTCGTTACTCAGTTCTTTAGGTGATGGTGTCCAGCCTAAGCTTCATCCACTGAGGAGCTTTAGATGTTTTGATTGCCGCCTCTCGTTATTCTCTTAAGCCACGAAGCGCGAACTGATTTGTAAAAGCTTACGTCTGGTGGTTGGTGCGCTGGTGCAGATTATGGTAGTGCGCTGGTGCAAATGCTGGTGCATATGCTGATGCAAATGCTGGTGCATATGCTGATGCAAATGCTGGTGCATATGCTGATGCAAATGCTGGTGCATATGCTGATGCAAATGCTGGTGCATATGCTGATGCAAATGCTGGNAGTCATTATTGCTATGTTTGTTGTCGTAATGTTATCATCGGTACTATCATCGTAGTCATTATTGCTATGTTTGTTGTCGTAATGTTATCATCGGTACTATCATCGTAGTCATTATTGCTATGTTTGTTGTCGTAATGTTATCATCGGTACTATCATCGTAGTCATTATTGCTATGTTTGTTGTCGTAATGTTATCATCGGTACTATCATCGTAGTCATTATTGCTATGTTTGTTGTCGTAATGTTATCATCGGTACTATCATCGTTCTCGTTATTACTGTCTCTCTTGTCGTAATGTTATCATCGGTACTATCATCGTTCTCGTTATTACTGTCTCTCTTGTCCTAATGTTATCATCGGTACTATCATCGTTCTCGTTATTACTGTCTCTCTTGTCCCAATGTTATCATCGATACTATCATCGTAGTCATTATTGCAAGTATCTTTATTGTCCTTAAAGAGCAGAAAGTTAACATGCATAGGTAACAGGGGTTCATAGATGCATTAATTCGAAAGGGAGAATAATTTTACAGAACACACTGGTAATAACGCTCCATAGTTCTATCATATCGTGTAATATTATATTATGAGCCCCATTTTACACCACGCTGGCATTGCAGATCAGCTGAAGGGTAAGCTGCCGCTTGACGTTGAGAACCTCGGGCAGCTCTCCGTAGAGGACCTGCGACGCCAGGTGGACGCCTGCGTGAAGCAGGTGAGGCCTCCTGTTGGGTGCATGCATCTTGCCTGTTGCGTGGGATTTAACTGCGTGCCTTAACTTATAATCATGAATTCCAAGGGCAAAAATAATCAATATAGTAAAGTTTCTAACTCCGTCAGTTAATCACTGGCAAATTTTCATGATAAACCCAGCAATATTTGACTAGATGTCGGCCGCTACGTCTGCCAATGTCGTTATTTCGAGACACTTTGATGTCGGGAGACAGCCTTGTTTGCCTTATGCATATGTCGAAAGAGAAGAAATCGCTAGGTGTGCATTTTATATTGCAAGTACATGATGTTTCTGGTACTGTTGTTTTGTATAGGGAGATGGGCATGCTACCATCATGTGCTTGTGTCCATGTAACAACATACATAATCAACGTTTTATTTAATCATCTCCTACCTGATGTATATGTAGAACTTGTACTTGGTGTCGCACTCTGTGTCGACACCAGTTTAATAAAGGATTATTCACTCGTACCGGAAATTTTTAAGCACGCAATTTGTTTATAATAAACTTATTTCGTTATATATCAACGCGAGACGATGGCTGCTGTGCTAATTTGTTCATTTATGGCTTACAATTTCATGACAGATGAATAACTCGGCTTTGTCGAACACTATATCCATGACCGTAGCCCTGGATACTCACTAACATTACTGTTGCATTAAAATGAATGTGGCAATAACATTAACGCGATATTAGCACTGTTGTGGCCAGGGTTGGCGATTTTTTTAATTTTTTTAAAAAAATAAAAAAAAATAAAAAATCAATGATTTTTTTTATTTTTTCATGATTTTTTTTTATTTATTTGATTTTTTTGATTTTTTCAGCTTTTTTGTCTTTTTGAAGTGTTATTTTTTATGTTGCAATTAGCCTACTAACAATAACAGTATATGGGTCATAATGGGTGGCTAAAAAGGGCACTTATTGCCTTCAATAATGGCCAACAGGCCAAGGTGGTGTTTACCACTTAGGGATTTTTGGGTAAACAATTATTGATAAGTCTATTCATTAGCTTTGTAAAGTTTGTATGGAGCAAAGTAATGAGGTAAATATTGACCATTTAACTGGCTTCAATATACAAAAACACTTCAGGAATGCAGATCTTCTAAACATTAAAGAGTCACATAACAGATAGGTAGCTGATAGCACAGTGCACTGAACTAAGTGATCAATAGATCTACTAGTTTTATGTCCTATAAATCTACCAGACTCTACCCTCTATACAGACCGACTAGTAGTGACTGAGTGACTGACTGCACTGTTCCCATTTAATTCAGACCAATAAACCAATGCTAAACATAAACTGAACGATAACCAAACAAACCTCATACGACTTGAAACGAGACTTGAGTTATGAGAAAAACTAACACCGTTTGAAATAAACATGTGCACAATTCAAATATTTTATATCCATTCACTGCATTTAATTATTTTACATATAATCTTATAATTGTAATTGTTTTGTTTCTAGTTTCAAATTCGCATATTTAAAGATTGAAATTAAATATTTAATTAGAATACGCGTATCAGGGTGGAAAATCTTTCTAATTGCCTAAAAGGTCAATACAATCTCAACCTCTCAATATACAGGGTGGGGCAGAGCCAATTGAGCAGTTTTGAGGTAAAATAATAGAGTAATGGAGGTACATAAAGAAGAAAGTTTATTTTCCTAGAGGTTAGCATAACATACCATTTAGAATACTTATGTTTCAAAAAACAATATCTGGAAAATGGGGGCTGTTAGCTGCAACACACAGTTGGAGTTGTTCTCAGAGGAGGGAGTAACCGTAACAGTGAATTCCGATCGCTATGCTGCAATGTTGCAAAATTTCTTGCAGCCCAGGATGGAAAACATTGTTGAAAATGAAGCATTGGGAGATGTGTGGTTCCAGCAGGATGGGGCTACAGCTCACACGGCCCGAATGTCACTCAATGTTTTGAAACGCATGTTCCCAGACTCTGAGGCGTGATTTACAGTGGCCTACGAGGTCACCTGATTTGAGCATTTGCGATTTTTTTCTTTGGGGACATCTAAAAGAAAGGTGTTCAGAAGTTTCCCTTTCACCCTACCACAGCTAAGGGAATGGATTATTGTAGCAGAGGTTATGGCCATACCTCGCCATATGTGTGAACGCGCTGTAGAAAACTTCCGAGAACGACTCCAACAGTGTGATGCAGCTAACAAACCCAATCTTCCTGATATTGTTTCAAAGCATAAGTATTTTAAATGGTATGTTATGCTAATCTTGAGGAAAATAAACTTTCTTCTTTATGTACCTCCATTACTAATTTATTTTGCCTCAAAACTGTTCAATCAGTTCTGCCCCACCCTGTATAAGCTAGCTAACACATTTAAATTGTATATTGTCATCAATATACAACAAATAGTCAAATAGTTAAAGACTACTTATAGCCTTAAAAGAATTAGCTAAGCTGCTAGCTACGTACAATATATTGCACACTTTATACCTCTGTACCAAAAACATTCAATTTATTGGAACCTAATACACACTAAAGGCAACAAGTTTATATACCAATTTATCATTCATGGTACATTTATACTAAACCATGAATAACAATACCTCAATATAAATTAAAGAATGCCACTCAATATATTTAAATATATGAAAAAATCGAAAAAATAAAAAAAAATCATGATTTTTTTATAAAAAATCAAGTGATTTAATCACATGATTTAATCATTGCCAACCCTGGTTGTGGCTCATGTTGAGCCTGGTGGTTGCATGTCTTTCAATGCTGTTGTAGTTTTGCACCAAAAAACATGGATTTGTCATATTGTGCATATTTTGGCACACTTTTTCCATGTATCACTGATACGCCCTTTCTCCAACCAAACTTGGTCAGGATGATTGGTACAAGCGCCAAATAGAAACTCGAAATTTGTACAAAGTCTCACTCATTTCTCTCAGTGTATTATATATACTTCAAGGGTATTAATGGCTTGTTAAGTAACATCTTTCGCTCTTTTTATTATTGGTTATTTTAGTTCCCATTAACAAGAATTTAAAAGCAATGAAAGTAGCCAGAAAATTAAACAGTAGTTCCCATTAATCCGTGCATTGACTTGAAAGCATTGAGATATTCTTTGGTAATTGGTTTGTTAACCCCCACTAACTACACTAACCGCATGCCCCCCAACACTGCAGCTCATCAACCCCCTCAAGATGAAGGAGCAGCTTGTGTCTCAGCTGCAGACGCAGATTGGTGACCTCGAGAGATTCATTGACTTCTTACAAGGTAATGCTCTATAAATTAATCTTCTTATTAGGACTTTGAATCAAAAGCATCGTCAGCTGTCCTTGTACATATTGACCAATTTCGCATAGAAACTTTCAACCATTCAATCGAATAGAAACACTCGACTCGCGCGCAGGTAGGAAGTTTGGGCGCATACGTAAATGGGAAGTAAATCGTGTGTATGGCTGCTGATACTTCAGGTGTTAATTCAATACAAATAACGTCAGTTCGTTGTAGCTTGCGCGAAGACTTGAATTAAGTTAAGACTTACCTCAAGCCTCTCGAGTCTTGACGGAATGAATTTAAAATACCCCGCTCCAAGTACTTGTTACCAAGATGTCGGTGGTAGACGATCCTTCATTTGTTTACATTCTAGTTCAGTGTTGAATGTGCTCAGAAAATATGATATGAGGGGACACTTGAATTGTATGTAGGCACAACGAAACATCAAACACGTAACTTGTATGCAGGCACAACAAAACATGAGACACGTAACTTGTATACAGGTACAGGCAAACGTATAAAATGTGCAACACGCGGAAGGCTTCCGGAAACATTTGACGTGCTCACGTGCATCACGTCTTCAGATATAATCAGGAGCTCTGTACGGCTCCGATCACTGCCACGCTGATTCGCTGCTTCCAAGTCACGCCCCTCCCTCCTGTCGCAAATCTAATCCTATTCTCCTGGGCCTAAACTGTTGTGCTTGGACGCACAAGCAGGTTTAACGAAACATAGTATACAGAACTCACTGGCGCATCTTATTTAGGAACATGCCTAATCTTATTTATTTAGTGCCTAATGAATATCCATTTGTGCAGACGACGACCAGAGGAAGGTACCACCTGGCCTCCTGTCGCCATCCAAGTGCCAGTGTGGAGGTCACGGCGACCAGCTCACGCCCAAGAAGACGAATGCTCCGCGCAGACCAAAGTCTTCGTCCACTCCAAACACCAGCAAAGAAAAGCAGCAAGTGAGCATGAATACGTCTTCACCATCTCTTGTAGCCATCTGAAGGCATATGAGCTCATTTGTCAGTGTGTCATTATAGCTAAAAATGTTTACGATTAGTGATAAGAATTAAGCTGGCAGACCACTGAAAACTTGTTTAATTTTCTGGGGCATGTTGGAACACTAGTTGATATACAACGTACGTCAACGATCAGTGATGGACTTGTAGCCGGAGTACCTAGAAGTATTATACCTTATATTACATAGTACTTTTAGGTCTTCTTGATTAGCCCTTTACTTTCGAACAGCCCTTCGCTGTTCACCAATGACATTCACTTTCAACTTTGATGTTGTACATCGACTATTATTGGTTTGAATGTTAATATACAATATCCAAGAAAGCTATCGCTCACGTCGCTTTCACTTTATTTTTATGTCACGCTCACATTACGCTAACGTCACGCTGTCATGATTATGTCACGCCCGTGTCTAGCCTCGCCCATGCCTCACTCAAGTTTTACCCATGTCTCGCCCATGCCTCACCCATGCCCCCACCCATGCCCCCACCCATGCCCAACCCATGCTCCACCCATGCCTCACTCATGCCCCACCCATGCCCCGCTCGTTTAACACCCTCCTCCCCCCAGCAGCTGCATGATGATACAGCTCGTCTCATGGACCGGGCGACGTTGCTGCTCGACATGCTGCGCTTCACACAACTCGGCTGCGGGCCATCGCCTCCCCGAACCCACACTTCGTCTGCCAAAGGCCATCACTGGGGGTGAGTTACCTTTGTTTACCTTATAATATAGTTACTAATACTACTATACGATTATACTATTATACGTACTTAATATAATATTGTTCAAATATTTGTTGTTGTTGCCCCGCGCCCGATTCCGTTGTCACTGGTCCATCCTTGGCTGGAGCCAACTTACAACCGCAGCGCGGTCCCTTCAAAGACCTACGCTGCTGAGGGGTGTTGGGTTGTTAGGGCAGTCCAAGAGGTGGGGCACGTCATCCGGGAAGAGATGGCTGCAATTGTACTATAAGTTTCTGATGTTGTTGATTCTGCTTTTTTTTTACTGTTTAGGAGTATGCAGTGACCGAAAGGAAGTTGTGCCAGCGTCCGTCTTGCAGATCTCGGAAGTGATTATTAAGATTTTTCTATTGTTGGGAATGGAGGAGGAGAGCCGAGGCGATGGTACGAGCCGATGGCAGCGTTGGAGTGGAGGGTGTTACTGGCTGCTTTAAGGGTCGCACTGTTTATGTTGATTGGGAGTAAAGGCTGAGCAGCATTGATATATTTGGGGTAAAGATTTTTTCTTATGAAACGAGGTTGGTTAAGCGGTCTTGTGATGTGGCAAACATGTTGTGGGTTGGGACACTGCAGAAGTATTGGGCAGGGAGGAGGTCCGTATGTTGCTGGACGGTGAGCATTTGACATTCGGAGTGGAGATGTTGTTCGGCGGTTGTATTGTGGCAAACGGCTCAGCATTGTTCTCAATGCTGAGTTTTGAACTGTTTGCAGGCGGGTGGTGCTGGTGGTAGAAGAGACAGAAGACCAGATTGAGCTTACGTAGTCAATTATTGGGCGGCTGATTGCTTTGTAGGTATGTTTGTAATTTTCCAGGTTGCGGTGAGTGAAAAAATCGCAGCGCTGAGGTAGGTAGGTTGCTGGGTGAGAAAGATTGTGAAATCGTCGGAATATGAGAAGATCTTAATGTTAGGTGGAGGGTTGAGGTGCTTTGGAAATGTTAATTGAAGAGGGCAGGTGACAGAACGGAGCCCCGAGGGACGCTTGTGTGGATAATTCGCTGTTTTGAGGTTTGATGACGGAATTCCGTTGAGGCCGAATCGCCGTGCAGATGTTGGAGATCCCTGCCCTTGTACATTTACTGTTGATCGAAGAAAATGAAATCCTCTGGATGCAACTCATAATGATGTGGACATTTTGTATGTTCTCCACATCATTTTCTTACTTTTTTCCTATGTATAAGTTGAAGATCACATGGCTGAGTTGAAAAACAGGCAGTTCGTTGAAACAGTGTCAAGAAAGCCAAATATACTGTCCAAAAACCAAAACCTGTCAACAGTTACTGGGAAAAGAGCTTCTCAAAAGTTTATGGGTTTTGAGTGGCTATCAATATAGCAAGGATCTAAAGAACTCTACCCTAGAGCGTGACTGGTTAGACTTTTCGTATAATTATTATGGATAAAAAGCAAACATAGATGCGTATTTATTTAATACACTTGAATTATACCATATATCCCGCTCTCAGAGACCTGCGTGCCAACCTTGAGCTGGCGATAGCGACGTTGGCCGAGGAAGTGAGCGCCTCCTTCGCCTCCTCCGACTACACCAGCGACAGTGACGTGGGGGGCGAGGAACCCATGGGGGACTTGAGGGGAGGGGACGTGGCACGACGCTGCAGCAGCCAGCAGGTCACCCTTACCGTCAGGAAGCTCTTCGTGCCTGCCCTCAGGGACCTGCTGCACCACGGCCTCATGCCCGTACGTCCATTACTTTATTATATATTTCTTTAAAACGCCGTTTATTCCTTTTTCTCTATTCTATGATTTCACCGTTGAAATATTGACGAATAAATAATTGAATTCATATAAGAAGGAAATACCTAAGTAGAAGGTGCCAGTTCTTGATACATATCCAGCTCAACTGATATTTCCAGGACACTATAGGTTGTTCGCTATAGGAGTGCATCATCTTGGCGTGCCTGCTCGTTAAGCAATAGGTTGATCTGGTTTACTAGATGTAGGTTGGATAGTTAACTAGCTGGAGGTTAGTCTGGTTTACTAGCTGGAGGTTGGCTATTTTAACTAGTTGTTAGTTGACTAGTTAACTAGTTGTTAGATGTCTCATCCTCAACATTGTGCGCTGCAGACGAGCAGCGGACGCAGTCTGGTGTCGGCGTGGTCGTGCTTCCCGACGCGGTCGCCGCCCTCGCAGTTACTGCACGCGTGGGACGTCGTGATGCAGTACTACCACCTCAAGCGTGGCCACCACTACAACACCACCCCTGCCCGCCGCCTCTCTCAGGTGCGTGGTGATGCAGTACTACCACCTCAAGCGTGGTCACCACTACAACACCACCCCTGCCCGCCGCCTCTCTCAGGTACGTGGTGATGCAGTACTACCACCTCAATCGGAGCCACCACTACAACACCACCCCTGCCCGCCGTCTTTCTCAGGTGCGTCCGGGAACCATCTTTCTGGCTCTCTCGTGGTCACCAAGACGAAAAAAACTTATGCGTACACTCTTAATTCATCCAAGTATATGAATTTTAATGGCTAGTCAAAGTTTAGTCTCGTGCCATTATTACCAGACCGCTGCCACCATCATGTTAGTTATAACTTATAAGCCTTACGTTTGTTAATCATTTATACTCATTTACAAAACAATGCCTTTCTCGTCACGAAAAAGACTTATTCACACATGTGCTAACTTCGTCCTGCAAGGCAGTATTCATCGTTTAAATAAATGCCTAAAAATGTGAACATAGCTCTATGATTTTTCTGCCCTTGCAGAGCTTCAACCTGGAGCTCCGTAGCGGCGGCAGTGGGGGGCTGGGCGCTGCAGGCGGTCATAAAGGGGCACTCCTGGCGACGGTAGGGAACATCTTGTCCACGCATACGCCCCTCAAGCGCTCCCATGACTCCCACTTCAAGGCATTCGTCTCAGAGGCTCTCAAGTGAGTAACTCACGGCAAATTTTCTTGTAAATTCATCCTCATGACCATCAAAATCTGACCGAATTTACGCCCCTCGATGACCTAATGAACAAAAAAAAATTCTTGCTCCTTTATGACCAACTACAGACCCCAGGAATCGTGCCTGTACTCTATGCTCTGGATCTCTAACTTCATGTAACTGAAGAATTTCTAAAAAATTTGAACCCAAATTCAACGTAGCTCGTTGAAATTTGGTGACAATCTTGTCACAACGAATGCGATTGCCAGCTCTTCGGCAAGCAATTGGCTTTACTTTTTCAGGCCTTGAACACGGTTTCAGCACAGCTTTGCTGATTTTCATTCGGCTAAGATGTTATATCCCCGCTGTGTATGCCTTATCTATATTCATTATGAAGAAATAATTCAACAAGAACCATTGCGAATCCAATTAGTCGTTCGAACTGTGTAACTCTGTAACGTTTTTTGTTTGTATTGTCATCACAGTTTACAGTGATGATTATAAAGTAACGAGTTTCCTGCTTGTGCAGTCAGCAGCGCCTGGTGGTGTGGCTGCGACTGCTGCTGCGCTGTCAGCCGCTCGTGCAGAAGTGTTACCAGCCCTGGAGTTACGTCGTACAGACTGGTAAGCGATACTTGAGCTTGATGATATTTGAATTTTCAAGTTTACTTGAGTAGTAATTTTTTAGTGAAGGAAACCTTTGTGCTACTTATTTAAGGAATCTGCATTTTTTTACAATAATTTTTAATCAGAAATTTGAAAATGATTTCCGATTGCAGGTTTTGAGGACGCATTCAAGTCCCTGGAGACTCTTCAACAATATCAGTTCAACCTGCCCGCCGACCTCGCCGTGCGCTCCTTGCGCAATATCAACGACGCCTTCTAGCTTCCTGCTCGCCCACAGCCAAGTGGCCAAATTCAACTGCGTCCTAGAAACATTATTTTCTCAATGTATGAGCCACTCAGGTATTAGGTAATTGGGTTTCGTTTTGGTCAAAGCGTCTGCGGCCATTTTGTTGGCGCCGTATACAAGCGACGTTGCTGGTTGTTCGCAGTAGGCTGGGGTTTAAACCCACGACTCGCTGCTCCCATCTGAGTTCCGCTTGAGCAAAACTGTAAAGCTGCTCTGCATCAGAAATATTTTTGAATAAAATAGCCTTTAATTCCACGTTCATGATGATACTGAGAAGAAAGATATTGGACAGAAGTTCGCTTTGTGTTGAAAATTTTTGAAAATGTAGATATTTATAAAAGGAACTCTTGTTCGCTTTGCAGTCCGCTGTACTGTTCGTTGAATAGCTTCGAGCCAGTCAACGGGAACAGATCTACGCATTGTGATTTGATTCTCTTGACAACATCCAGCGCTTTGTCTCGAGCATTTATCATATTCATTCGCGCAACATGAACGATCGGCAGGGCATTCATGCAGCTTAGTGCCTGAAGAAAAGTTCCGAGTGCTGCTCCATACGTCATCGAAATCGAGCAGTTGAGAAATATAATTTACTTACATGAGTAGTATTTATTGTCTCGCCTAATACACTTCTCATTATCATTGTCACCTTAGAATTTTGCTGGAATTGTGATCATTTCGTTATATTGTACTTGAAAATGGCACCTGTATGTCCAAATACCATTTGTATTCACTCTACCCGAATTGCACCCATGACTATTTTGTGCTTTCATTAGGAATAAGTAACTACGCGAGTAACTTACACCATGCCTGCACTTCTCTTACCTATGCGCACTTCCCTTCACTTGTAGTCTACAAATAGTACGCTAGTGATGCACTCGAAAGGTACTACCCTCTGACTTATTTATTTTTCACGCTTAGCGTCGTAATTTTCTCCACCCAACGTGCACTCATTCCAGAGGCATCAGTTCAAGATTTCAGTTAGTATTTGTTTGTGCAATGAAAATCCAAGCCATGAAAATGAGTTCCGCTTCGTCCATGGACGAGGAATTAGTCTCCTCTCACGATGGCACTCTGAATATTTCACCTCACGAGCCATTGATTACTTTTTTGACAGTGTGATGTGCATTTCACGTCTGTCGTGTCTTATCATAGTTTACATTCTACGGTCTCTTCCTTATTGCTACTCAACGCATATTATCAATTGTTCTAACACTTGATAATTCTTATATAACTGTCGATTATAACTCTATAATATGTGAGCATATTCAAGCTGTCTGAATGTATGTATAACTCGAGTATCCACTAATGCATATGTCTGCCCATTATTTTGTCTACCGTCAATGCCGATAACGTCGCCACAGCACTTGTCATTCAATAGAAACGATTTATTTTATAAGCAAAACTGAACTGTATCTTTCTAGCGCAATCATAACAGCTTGGTAGTCATCATGTGGTAATCGAACCCACAAGTTGTACTTCAAACCAGTAATATACGGTTCTTAGTAACTAGCGGCGAGTTCAGTGCAGTTTCTTGTTCGGCCTTAGCTAAACTGATTCGACATTAACTGCGGCTTATATAAATTGTTTATCGGTCCTGAGGAAACGCTTCTGACTTTGTGTGACGGTAACATCGTTGTTGTCCCTCCATCTTATAACATATACACTCCGCTACTGCTGCCTCCCTCCCTGAGGATCATTCTTCAAGACAAATTATATATAACTGTTTCGTAGCCTGCAAAATTAATCGTCATGTTGTGCTATATATTACATGGGACTTGTAAGTCGACACTTCGAATTCAAACACTAAAGATGGTAGCGGGTAAAGGGCATACAACTTGAGCGAAAACCTCGTGAAGGCACACAGGCCCCTCATTCCCCACGACTACCTTCTTGAAGTGCTGCAGCACGGCGGCAAAGCTGACTGTTCGGTCATCATGAATTATTCAGTTAAAGAAAGCCACTTGTGTTAACCGTTAGTTACAATTTTATGCGGCTTGAGGCTATGGCCATTGCCATTTTCTGGTGCCAGTTAATAGTTTCGTTCTATCAGCCTGCAACTCGTAGTTTAGTTGTTGTTCTGTTACGTTGAATGTTCTCGTTTAGTCAAGTAGCCCCACTTCTCTAGTCATGCCATTGAAGTATTCATGTGTTCACGTTCCTATGTCACATTTTAGTTTCCTGAAATAAGCTGTTTTATGTTAATTGATTTTATTGCATTGTAAGACGCGCCATGTGCCATCAAGTTAGAGACCAGAAGACGAAACATGGATGTGTAGTACATAAGTATATATGAAGAGACTCGCGACCATGATGAATATTGTGCATAGTGACATTTTGAATTCTCATCACGTGCGCTGCAACATCTTATTAAAAACTGGATGAACATGGGAGGTAACTGCGCCGTTAGCTAGCAGAATGCCCTTTGCCATATGAATTTTAATGTGTTCTAGTCCGAAAACTATCAATTATCCTTCTCATTAAAGTGAAAGGATTACAGAGTAATGTAACATTCTAAGCTAAGCTAACTGAGGTCGCGTCCAAAGAACAGCATCGTGTGTACGTACATAACATACGGTCAGTCACTCATAGGGATATTCTATTTATCAAAATAAAGTCTTCGCCTAGTCTTCGTATTAATTACCCAAGGCTCATGTTTAAGTTATTAACAGCTGCAGCTGAATGTTGATTCTAAAATGGAGTTCCGATGAACGGAAGCTCGAGGCGCGCAACATGAATGAATATCACTACACACCCCTGACGCACACGTGGATGTTGCCGGGAGGATGAAGATGCGGGTTGACAGCTGACAGACCAAATGCTTGCATGGACGATAGCAACACCTAAGTTCATTGTAATCTGTCGTTCAGAGTATTCAATTTCAATTCTAAAATCGTATTCTACTCAACTGAGGGTAATTTCAACTACCTGACCTTGGACCACGAAAAGCATTGACGATGGTCAGCGTATCCGTCGGTTGAATGATCGAACTTCTTGAAGTTATTTACATCGCGAGATAGCCTCCCACCAGACGTACATACAGATTAACATTGCGGAAAGATATCCGAACGCTTAATGGTTCATAATAAATAAACCCTTGACTAACTACTACACCAGGATAAAATCGGAAGGGGATAGCCGCCGATGAGGTGTTTGAGATATGGAGGCTACTGAACAATATTGCCGACGTCCATCAGCGGATTAGGAAACAATTTGTCATACCATTTTATTACAGAAAATAATTACGCTTCATCAGTTTATAAATAAAATCCCGACACAACAAGCCTATCAAAGAACATAAATCAAGTTCTATAATAATTCGTTATATCACTACAAATCGAGCTAGATCTGTGCAATAGGTTACGATTAATAAAAAGCCTTGTTTACACGACCTCAATCCTTCATAGAAGTTCACAAGGCGTAGCACTGAACTGGGAGCTTCATTTCTATGAACTATACTGCCGTGAGCACGTGAGTAGTCAACACAACTATCACCTTACTTCCCTTGCAATATAATTATACCTTACTGCGATTACATTGGAATTGATCAAGTCATCCAATGGGAGAGCAATGATTTGGTCTGAAAATTAATCCATACATTGAAATGAGACTAGCCTGGAATACTTGTGTAATAAAGGAGACAAAGATGTGATAGCGATGCTAGTGTAGAAGACGCATCCGATGGAATATGAATAATTGTGAATATGAAATGAGATAAAGGAATATTTATGCAACTTAAGAGTGGTGGAGATGAACAGTAAGAATGCGAGGCTCTGAGTAAGAATGCCTCACGTGTTATCTACCTATGTCTCGTCTTTCTCGAGTACGTAATATACACCAAGCCGGGCAGAGAAAACAATTCTTTGTCCTAATTAAATTCATATGAACTTGAAGTTTGCCTCAACTCCCATGAGGAACTTGACCAAGAATACTTGATAGCAACATTGTTATGGCTTGCTTTTTTCATGCTGCTAGCGTTTTACAAAAATTTTATTAGCAATTAATAACACAGAATATTGAAATCAAGCACACGGCTATATGACAGGCCGATTTAACACGTTTGATGTGAGAAGGAACTTGTAAATAATAAATAACAATAGGATTAAATAAATAGGCAGAACTTACGGCAAGAATAACACATTGCCAGGGCTAGTTTGTACCAATACTGTCAATTCTATATTACTGGAATGCTCAAAAATTCTTAGATGAAAACTACTAATAAGAGCTGATCTCAATATTGCCTGAGCCACACGCTTATCGCACGAGGCTATCCAGCCGCAGCAATATCCACGCCACACGTTCTGAAGGCGTGAATATCGACGTGAATTCGTCGACGTGAAGGCGTGAATATCGACGAATACTCTGAAGGCGCTGGCAAGTAAATCGACGTCTTCAAAGGCGTCGTAAACTACAAAGGGCTCCTTGGAGGGCGTCGTTACCTACGAGGGGCGCACGGTATCTTACAGAGCGCTGTCGACGACGTGCCTCATGTTGGTGATGACTGCCTTGGGGTCTGCTGCCTTGACCACGGCGCTGCCCGACACGATCATGTTCGCCCCGGCCTGCATCAGAGAAATGAGTGAGACTTGGTATAAATAGCAAAGCACTTTTTGCCCATGTGTGGGTCATTTTGACCAATTTTGCCCCAACCAAAGGGCGCATCATGGCTACATCTGCTCTATGCTTGTGTTATGGGTATTCAAGTGTGTCACGATTTGGACAATATGACCTATTAATTCTCCTGAGTTGCCTGCAAGATAACTCCAACGTCGTCCAGTGTCCGCACTGAAAACAACTAAACATTTTGCAAGATGTCCGTTTATTCATTCCCTTTCAATATATGTAAAAAATATAACGCAGTACTCACTGCAGTGAGTGACAGAGAGCGCATTTTCTCGTAGACGAAAACTTGAGGTCACGGACAGACGGACGGACGAACAGACAGACAGACAGACATGACGAGCACAATAGTGCATTTTTTCCATAAATGAGAAAATGCGCTAAAAAACAGAAGGTGTAACACCAATACATGTGAAAATTAAAATGCATATTCCTCATAACCTCAACCACCAGCTGAGAGGGTGAACTGATCCAGTAAGTGCGTGACGTGTTCATCATTAGGATCAGTTGATGTATGTGGCCGCTAGTGAACTCATTCTATTTTTTAATGCACAAAGCATAATATCGAAAAGTAAAAAATGTGAGAAAAAGTGTTAAAAGGTTACATAGTATGAATTTTCACTGACAGTTTAGCAAGTCTACCTGCTGCATTGCACTGTCTATTTAAGAATTTATTTAGCTGGAAATAAATTTAGAACAATTTAAAAGATAATAACAGGTCAAACAAGAACAGTCATTGCAAGTCAAATGCCTATAATACCAAGTAAATTCCATCTACTGCTTCTTGATTATTCCATGAATATTTGAGACAGTATTAATGCCAGAACCAACTTTTACCCAGCAGCTGCCCTCTGCTCACCTCGGCGCAGAGCTGTATGGTGTCAGGGCCTACCCCGCCATCCACCTCGATGTCTAACTCTGGGAACCTTGATCGCAGCACCTGCACTTTGGGCATCATGTCTGCCATGAACTTCTGGCCGCCAAAACCTGGCTCCACCGTCATAATGAGGATCATGTCAGCCGCCTCCACGTAGGGAAGTACAGCCTCCACGGCAGTGCCGGGCTTCAGACCAATACCTACCTGAACACAATATTCGGTGACATTAAATTCAGAGGAAGAAATTAAAAACTTTAACACAAACATGCTAAGAAACTGAAACTTGTTTAACTAGACACTTAGACATAAAATAATTTTTTTACTTTCAAGTTCTGTGCTACCAAAATTAACTGCATCTGCCTTTAGACAAACAAATCTACACTGAACTGAGAAATTGTTCACCACATCATCCTTTGAAGTATATAGCACTAATATAATTTCTTTGTTATAGGGAGAGCCAGATTACCTTCATACCAGCTTCCTTAATCTGCCTGATGAGTTTGGGAACATCTTCACTCGCTTCTAAATGGAAGGTGTATTGTGAGGCCCCAGCATCTGCCATCTCAGAAACCCACTGTGAAGTCGGGATTATGAAATTAACATCCAACATTCTCAGATATGAATGAGGTAAAATGACTTATGCTGAGCCATTCTGCTCTCTCCTGCATCATCATGTGAAGAAAATGTAAAAAGAGTAGGATAAAATTGTTAAAATATGCAGAAATCATCACACATGAAAGGCTTTGATAACACTGTCTAAAAAATTTCTAGAACTGCAATATAACCTGAATGAAACTAACACCTATTCAGCACATACAATATACCATTCATCCAAATTAATTTTGCAGAAAATTAATTTGTAAAAAGGATAATGCCTAATTGAACAGCAATAATATCTTAATGGGAGTTTGTTAATTGATAGAACTAGATGCAGTCAAGTCTTGGTTGCTGTATTATTTGTTCTAGAAAATTCAGGACATGATGTGAGAAGCTGCTCCAGTATGGAATGAAAAATCAAAAGCTTTTAAGCTATACAAGTATTAACTGGCAGTTGACCTTCTCAGGGTTGGCAACCATCATGTGCATGTCAAAGAAAACATCTGGCAGCTTTGGCTTGAGGCACTTGACAACAGGGTGGCCGAATGTCAAGTTTGGTACAAAATGTCCGTCCATCACATCAAGGTGGAGGTAGTCTGCTCCACTGTCCATCATCTGCACAACAACAAACACATTGAGAACTAGCACATATATAAATGCTTTGAAGTCTGGCATACTGGCATTTATAACAAAATCAGCTGGTTTTTCAAGCAAAACAATCAGCAATGTTTAAAATATCATTAATATCTTCAGTCAATCATTAGTCAAATTATTCAACATACAATAGTAATATGTTGTTCATCATCTACCTAGAGAAATATATAAAAGCAAAATAAAAAATAAGTTTTACAGGATCATGCATCAATTACATGAAATGTAAAATAAGTCAAATGAAGCAGTGCCTGAGCACTATGGGCAGAACTCTGCTGGAGGTCATAAAGCTCTACTGTGCCATTATTAATTAATACCTAACAGGAATCCTTCAACAATTCATTAGCAAACCACTAAGCAATTTAGGCATTCATGCCCTCCTTGAGCAGTAAGGATATGAGGTATTTTTCCAAAAAGTTCACTCACCTTTACACAGGCACTGTGCAAATCAGATAAGTCTGCATTTAATATTGATGGTCCAATTTTGCATGATGGTTTTCCTGAACATGACATCTTGGAAATTTCCAGGGACGGGCTTTTGGAGAAGTAATTTTAATTTGAGATTAATGAAATAAATCTTTAGCAACTTAGCAAGCTACAGTACAGTGATAAACATAACAATATAACAACTTAACTTCTCTTTACTTCTGTTTTGTTGTGTGAAACTGAAATAGAAACATCTAGTAGTATCTTGGGCACTGAAGAAGAGGCCTGCATAGGATAGGCCTGTTGCCATTAACAGGCCACCATAGGCCTGCATCTGTTCTGTTAACAGTTCACTAAAAAAAAAAACCTTTGATTGAAAATTGACAAAAGTCAAAACATTCAAATATTTTTTTATAGGGTAAACACAGTATATTCCATCACATTAAGGACGCATCGAGAAATGAAAAACTATAAAAAAATAACCGTATGTGTTACTCAAGTTCTGTTTGCTTTATGTGACTCTCAAAACACCGCACTACGTGTCAGCAACAACAAAACGTCACAAAATGTTGCTATATTTATTTAAAAGCCTTTAGAATGGAAACCTACCAAATCCCTATATTCCATCACTGTGTGTGGCAATATTCGGCATGTGGTGAGGCGTATTCCGTCCGCGCTTCAAATTCTACTGATACGTAATGCCGTCATCCACGTGTTCGAATTCCGTTCGCTGTGTGAGCTGTATTGGAATACAACACGGCTTTGAATTAGAACACTAATGAATATTGAACACTACTTAATTATGCTTTTAATTAACAACTATTAAGCTTTTAATTAAGCAAATTTTAATTTTTGTACACAGCTTGGAATGATCTGTGTGTGTCCAATTCAAGTTGTGACAGAATTAGTTTTCATGTGTCTAAATCCATTTCTCAACTTAATCATCTATTAATTTATTTACCACTTGAAATCAGTGAATACAAGTATACTTAAAGGATTCCTAATATATTCACAGACGTATTTAAAAGTCTCAAACCATAATATTCTTCCTATACAAACAGTTATTCACTATTTGGTAGAGCAAGGTCAACTGTCAAATTTGACACATTTTTCGATGATCTCACTGGGTAGTGACGTAGCGTGCATCGTCTCTCTTTGGATCTCAATATTTTCCCGCTAGACGGCCAAGAGTCCAAGACCTAGTATTTTGGCAGTAGTTTGACACGCAAATGTATGACGTCACCATTTCAACCATCAACAAAGGCATAGAACTAAAACAAAGCTTAATATAAAGGAAAAACTAAAGAGGTGAAGGAATTAGTCAATTACCCACGATGTCGGAATATACCGCGTTTACCCTATTACTATATGCATAATAATTGCATATTGAACCAGACATTACATAATTCTAGTTTTATCCCATAATCCCTGTGACTTTAAGGCTTCAAAAAATCTTAGAAATATTTGTATGCAATGTGATTATATTTTTTATTTTTAAATAGCATACTAACTCATAAAACATATAATATAATTATACAACTAATCCAAGAGTGAAGAGCCTAAATATAATTTTATGTTTAGCCTATTTCTATATTTTGTTAGCTATATAATATGTAAAACTTGAATTAGGTAATTTGGTACACAGTTAAACTGAAAGTCTGAAACAGCTCTGAAACTTGGTAAAAGATTATGAACAGCAAAACAGGTCTTTTTACAGGTTATTATCTTTCTGTCATGTCACTTTTGAACATCTGATCTGAACATCATCTGATGATCTGACAATTTACAGATATAGCCCTAGTCCCCTAACAAGTTAAAGTTCGTGATCCTGAATAGTGGCTTCCCAGTTCCCATTGTTTTGCTAATCTGTAAGAAAGTATTTCTATTACTGGTAGATTTAATAATTCTACAACAGTGAGTAATCAAATTAATTTATATCAAGAAGGAGTCTAAACAGCTGTTCAACTTCAATTGCCGCAATTTGCCGGAAAGACTGAAACAGTACAAGTAACAACAAAGATAATACTCAGTAAATTCTCGCCATGTAGCTGCAATCCCGATCCACAGAGTCCAGTCTCAACTGTCTGCTTTGCCAGGGGTCCAGGCCTCAACTGATCAACTCATCAAACCAGTCTGTTCGGAGGCTGGATCCTCACTGGAAGTCTGGACACAGAGTCACACTGTCACAGTCAGACTCACGCCGTCACAGGAGGTGAGCTACGTGCCTACCGCACCGCAGCCTACGAGTACGACTAATCCGACATCTATGTGATTCGGAATGGGAACCAAAACAACACCAAAATCAAGATTACGCCGGACTTTGAATGCAAAAATCGAAATTTTACTTTCCTTAACTGCGGACAAGCAGCAATTTGGAAACGCTCTCAGAATAATAAATATTAGAGAGAGGAAAACTTTTTCTACGATGGCCCACTTGTAAAATTTGATTGTTATCAGAAAGCATAAATCATAACAAATTAGTAATATTACCTATGAATAAAATTCTATTAGCCGGGAATGGTGGGACATAGGAAAATGGGAGAGAGGGAAATTGGATTATAATATTTAAATGCCATTTTCCTTGCAATGGGAGTTCTGTTTTTCAAAAATTAAAATCCATGAATAATTAAACACTGAGTCTAATCATCTTTAATCATTATCTTCAACCAGCGCTACTTGAGTTTTAAAATTATTAATGTCACTGTGGATAACTGGATTGGCGATAACTAGACTGGGGATAGCATGATAAGGCATACCAGGAATTGGAATAACAGGATTGAGGCTAACCAAAATGAGGATGCCGGGTTTAGGGATAAATGGATTTTTAAATCTCTGGGGTTATCTATCCCGAGTAACGCCAGGGTTACTTGGGATACACAGGGTTACACACTCGTGGTTTAGTTGGGTCTCAACGGGGTTCCGTTTTTAAGATGCCTTGAGATTACACCACCAAAAATAAAGTTCCCTGTCCAGATAATATCCAATATTATTTTGGATACGCCCTCCAAATGCTCATGATATATATACCGTTCCGGGCTTCGAACGCAAAAAACATTGAAACAATCATTGTAAAAATACATAATTAAATTGGCGTTTATTATACAACTTACGCATTTAATTTTCAGTATTATGTCTAGTAGTTCATAGTATCCATATGTGCTTGTCTAGTAGTTGCATCCATATGTAGTTGCATCCATATTATGTCTAGTAGTTGCATCCATATGTGCTTCTATTGTTCCTTCCTATTTTCGTCAGATCTTGCTAAGTTCACGGTGCTGGTATCGGCACAATGTACTCATTGTTCCACCATTATGGTGCCACTATGAGTGGAATTGCAAAACGATAGTTCAACGACTAACAGAATTGATTGCAATGATTGAAATGTAAATTTTTGTATACTTTTTCCAGCTCCTTTAATTTTTAAACAGAAACTATTCGGGGATTTGATGAGGGTATCTCCAGTTTACATCATTCACGTTTGCACTTATTAAACTGTAGGAAACACAATTGTTCTTTCTTCCGTGAACATAAAAGTCACCATAAAAATTTCCATGTTCGATTAGATTAGAGTATTAGACGGTGCAAATGGGACTTTCGAGCTCGTTTCCACAATACTTAAATCACTAAGTCTGTTTGCTTTAAGTCCTGTCGTACACAACATTATTGTCAGAACATTTCCATGTTAATCCAGCTATTTATTTTCAAATAGTGGAAATTAAGATAATATATGCAAATTATATACAACTGCCGTCGTACAGAAAATTTTGACACCTGCATGCTCGTAACCCTTTCGCAACAGACGCGACATGTCGGTCCCAAACCACTAGGTACGAATATCATTACAGACGGTAAATGCATCCGAGATTCAAGGGTTTAATAAAATTGTATAACTTTTGTTCAGTTTGTTAGATGTGCGCTGGCAGTTATTCTCCAGTGATGCCACGCATTCTTAATCCAAACTCTTTGTGGCAGATAAAACGAACTAAACAGCATAGGTTGTGAAAGTTTCTTCGATTAGTGCAAAAGTTAACTTTCAAAGAGTATTGTTGTTCTATAAAGTGCCTGGCATCGATGAATGAGTCGACAATCGTTTTAAAACCTTCAGCTGTCGGTCGAGGAGCTCTCGATGACTGAGAGCACACGGAGAGGCAAACGTAAAGTGATGGCCGGCTGAAAACCGCTCTTTTCTTTAAACCGCCACGGCGACAGAAATGTGGTTGTTGTGGATACGAGATCGAAGGGAGATAACGACTAACCAGGCAGTGTGCCTTGTTTCGAGCGTTGTCCTGCTCAAGGCCTCTCACCGAGCTCATGCCTCACTGATGCACACTCTGAAATTGGAAATTTTGATGAGAACTTAGAATGTTAGTACCCGCTTTAAAAGTGAAACTCAATAACGCCATCTGAACTTAATTTCCTATTGAATTCGCATTATATTAAATAGATCATATTCATAAATAACACATGATTGCTGCATGTGAATGAACGCAGCCCATGCGTTAACTGTCCCGAGCAGAAGCGGGTTTGGGTTTTTAAACGAAATGCAACGGCAAAACGCAGGTCACCGGCGTAGAAGTTACTCAGTCGCACTAGAAGTGTCAAGGTGGTAGCATGCACGACGCTCCTCTCGATGAGCCAAGTGACGCGGGAATGACGGGATGCCCGACGGGTAGAAATACTAACGGTGAAATAAAGCAAGTTTATATCATTTGCAATGGATTTCAAATGCTTGTCCGTCATTCGTCTGAAGCTGTTAAAGAACTGATATGCGGAGCAAGGTTGTGAAATGCAGTTCTCACGCTTAGTAAACGTAATTTTTGTGGTTAGATTTGTTCCGTTTAGCTCTGATTCAATAGCAAATCGCCCGTTTCACGGGAGTGAAGTTGGAAAACAGTTTATTTAATTCGCGAACATTTTTAAAACAAAGGACCGCTTATTATAGACGCTTATGATCCCGGATCGAAATAATTCCGGTAATGACTTATCAGAATCAATTTTTTGGCCCATTTACGCAGGCGTGACCGCGTGAGCGTGTGACCACAACACGCCACAACAGTCCGTAACAAATAAAAGTTGAATTAAATTTTTTAAATTTTCATTTCGGTTCGACGACAATTTTTCAATTTGTTAAAAATATATGTTAAACTTTAAAACAAATTTGTATTGAGAATTCCTCGTTCTCTTCTTATTAGATTTATGGAAGACAGAAAAATGTTATTCCTGCTACCTGCAGTCTTCTGCCGCTGAGGTGAGTTGCTGCTCCTTCACAAAGCATGTTACTGCAAACATGGCTTGAATAAAATTACTATTTACGGCATAATTTATGAGAACGGTTGTTTGCAACTTATTATTTGAACAAACAACGTCGTTATGTGATTGTGTAAAGCCACCTCAACCCCCCCATTGTTCCCTTCACAGCATCGCTCATCCTGTGATGATCCAGAGGAGCATTTCATTCGCTTACGAATTCCTGCGTTCAGAGAAATGTAAGAGATTTTTTTTAATATCGCTGTATGTATGCTCCAGTGTGGGTTATCATGATTCTGTTTCGCCCGGCAAAAAGACGTATCAGCGCTCCGTGCACTAAGCGTGTCACCATTTGGACAACATTACTCATGCATTTCTCTGAGTTCCCATTTACCAAGTTTATGGGACCATAAACCGAATGCGATGTCACGCAGCATGCTATAATCAACCTAATTATGCGCTATGCACCCATTTTTGTCTTGCACTTTCCTTACAATTTCTGAATCCTCTATCTGTCGTTTTCTGTTTTTTCACTGTCCTTTCCATTTCTTAATCCTCTTTGCGACGCCATTTGCCTTTTTTTCACACTTTATCTAGTGGCAGCGCCGCAACAAACCTCCGCCCCCCTTACCGATTCCGATCGTTTAAAAGAAAGCTTTTGATGTTTACCGGCTACAGGTCTAACGAGCATACCCACAACAATAGGGAAAGCTGGCAGCTTTGGGCAGGTTTTACCACTAACCTGCCTTACTACAGAGCGAATTTATGCGCAAGCTTACCTCCGAAACACAGGGTACTTTTGCGTGACGAAAGCGGGACAATATTGCCAATAAATTCTCCTTAGCAGCTTTGTTTTCCAGACGCAAGCCGAGTGTCTTCCTCTCGAGCATCAAACGCACGATGCCTGCGGCAGGAATTGTGTGCTACTTTGTATTGATTGCAAGCCGTGACAAAAATTGCCATAAATTGTGTCGACGTTTCTATAAAGACATGATAAATTTACAAAATTTAAATTTTGCTATTAATTTCATGGTTAACTAGAGATTCAGGCGAATCAACGATATGAATAGGGTTGAAAAATTGTGACGTGTTCAGTGATGTAAGGCCACGACGTGTTCGATACTATTGTTGACATGTATTGCTTTTGAGGCTTAGGATGAGCCAAAAGCCATGTCATACGCGTTACAGACGTGACGTCAAACGCGTTACAGACGTAACGTCAAACGCGTTACAGACTGTCTCTTATACACATCTAGATGTGTATAAGAGACAGCGTTACAGACGTGACGTCAAACGCGTTACAGACGTAACGTCAAACGTTTAACAAACTTGTGTAAGTATGCCGAGCGAGTATGCATGCTGTAGGAGTGTGTATGCCGTACGTGCATGTGTGTCACGCGTGTATGTATGCCGTACGTGCATGTGTGTCACGCATGTATGTATGCTCTACTTGTATATGCGTCGTGCTTGTATGTGCGTTGCGATTGCATGTGTGCGTATGTGTACGTATTGTTTGGTGCGTGTTGCGCTGCAGCGAATCCGTCTTTGTTCAACTTTTGCTTTTGTTGACCAAAGCAGGAAATGCAAACAACGGATGTCCACGACGCTATCGAAGGAAATTCGTTGAGTGTAGGTCAAAAGTTATCCGCGAATCTAAAGGGAACCTGGAGCGCAACACGCAAGCTGTGACACGAGCGTTCAAAGTTAAGAGCAGTGAAACGAACGTTCGAATATGCGAACAATGACACGAACGTTTGAATATGCAAGCAGTGGCACGAACGTTCAAACACGCAAGCAGTGACACGAACGCTCAAACACGCAAGCAGTGACACGAGCGTTCAAACACGCAAACAGTGACACGAACGTTCAAACACGCAAGCAGTGACACGAGCGTTCAAACACGCAAGCAGTGACACGAACGCTCAAACACGCAAGCAGTGACAGTGACACGAACGTTCAAACGCGCAAGCAGTGACACGAACGTTCAAACACGCAAGCAGTGACACGAACGCTCAAACGCGCAAGCAGTGACACGAGCGTTCAAACACGCAAGCAGTGACATGAACAGCTGGGCTCCATTTGCTAGCCATCAAGGCATCATATTCAGCACCAGCACCAGCTATGCTATGAACAGCCAAGTTTCCTTCGCAAAATAAAGCGAATTAAGTCGGTGAAAATAAATTGTTCTTGCTTCATACCAGCGCCACTGCATGTGAAGCTTATAGCTACAAGGTCAGATTTAGCCTGGATATTCTGTCATAGACGTCAAAAAGATTGAATTAATATGGTTACCGAATGCTTTGTTTCCGTTTCAATTTGAGAATTATATTGTGACGCAAGCTCGTGCATGGCTACTACGGACAGTTATGTTGTCTCCGTTATTGGGGCATTGACCCGCATGGTCATGCGGCAACAGGAAGCGCTTCATTAAATCTTGCACCACAGTTGTTAGTGCTGCGATGTGGGAGCGAACTCTAATTTTGCTTGTCGTGTTCCCGCTTTAATGAGTTATCAGTGTTTCAACACAACAATATCTACTGTAGTCTCTCGATACATGAAATGAACAACGACAGGTACAAGTTTATGAGCTTTGTGCTTCTGCACAATAAGTGATTGGATCATTGATCAATTGGATTTCATTGGAAGGATCATTTCTGACCCTGCTTATTACAGTGCAAACTTGCAATGCAGATTAGGTCAAATATTTATAGATTTTTATGTGTTTTCGTTCATTAACTGCCGTCACGGAGAATATGATCTCCGTGCCGCGGTGTGATCGATCAGTGAACCGCAGCACCCTGACCGACCCTGTGTGGTCCTTCCTCTGATGTGGATGCAGGACGAGGCTCTGTGTGGTCCCATCAGTGATGTGGATGTATATATAGGGCAAAGATTTCGTGTGGTCCCTTCCATGATGCGAATGTAGGTCGAGGCTACGTGTGGACCCACTCGTGATGTCAATGTTGGGCGTGTCCCATGTGGTCCCTTCCGTTATGGGGATGTATTGTATGGTCCCGTGTGGTCCATCCCGTGATGGGGACCTATTGTGAGGTCCAGTGTGGTCCTTCGCGTGATAGCATGCAGGGCTCCCGCGACACCCCGCTACCTGGACCCGAGGCTGGCTTGGTCGGCGCTTTTAATGAAGCTTCGCGGGGACAAAAATGTCAGTCCTGACCGCGTGGAATGCGTGCTAGGGAAACAAGCGGTCCGAGCTGTCACACTGACTGATGCCATAATGGAAATTTTTGGCCGAGGCGTCGGAGTTTGAGAGCAGCGGTAATGAGGTGATGGTTGGCGTTTGCTAAACCGAAGGATATATATAGAGTCGTAGCCATTTTCTGCTGCAGGTGGTAACGGTGCTACAGCGCCGGCGGGCGTTGAATTTATGGCTTCTTCTGCTGACTTCTCTGAGGTTTCGATTTGTTCTGGCTAGGTCTGTCGACTGTCCCAAGGTCTCGAGTTGTTTTATGGCTACTTTACATTAGTTTACTACTGCACCTCCGACTCCTGTGTGCAACCGAACAAATCGCATTCAGATAATAAAATCACCAAATGAGGTCACAATTTTGCAATAACGAATATAAATGCCTGAAATAAACTATGCTACTTTTATTCTAAAACATGTTAAACTATAATGCAGATAATGTCAAGTTCTGGAGCAAAGACTGACTCCCCGCTTGCTCATTAGGCGGCTAAGCGATTCGTTCTTAGACACATGCCTTTGATCAAAGTTTCATTCAGCTGAACAAAGGCGGGCTTTCTCTGCCCATCAGCGCCACGTTTGATGGGCACGATCATCAGGCTATAGCGCCGCGTCCGAGGAAGGTGCCAATCACACCATCAGTGATGATTGGATCAGTCAAGTTGCCAATAGTTGCTCAAATATTGAAATCCACCAGGCTGGGTCTAACTTCAAAATTTGCTAGCGAGAATGTCCAATATGTATCTGAATGAGGCGTATTCTGATGAAATGTAATCGAAAATTGAGCGCAGAATGGTTGTTGATATATTGTGCGTTTGCAAATCTCTATAGTTTCTCTCTATTTAATTTTCTGACATCTTCGTGTTTGTTGCACCACACGCACGTCTTATTAAAATTTATATCAGACATTAAGACAGTCAGCACTGACAACGTGGCGGGAGCTGGAGAAGAACATCGTCGTGTCCATTGCTGATCGCCGCGTCGCTTTCCCTGAAATTGACCATGGCGAGAAAACCTCTGACGATCTTTTATTATTTTTAAGACTTGCTGCTGCTTAATGCGGAGGTCGTGCCTAGACCAATGCCTCCTCTTGTCCACTGCTGATATATAAACTGACACTCGAATGGCCGGCATCGCTGCTGACACAAAACATGACACTTGAATACAGGCCTGGTCCCTCTCGCTGACATTTGAACTGACACTCAAATACGAGAGATCAACCCGCAGTCATTGATACGCGAGCCTGACACACGACTGACTGGTATATGTATTATTATTGCAATTTTTGTAGATGATCGCGTCGTTTAAAATTACAACTTTTCTGTATCTTAACAATATCCCTGATTGGTTTTAGCTTACAAGAATGATACTCGATAGATAAGAAATACAGGACTATCTTGCACTGAGACTAATGAACATTGTGCACATGAAAGAAAAATCACATACTTTATTTTTCTCACGAAAGATGTGAATATCATAATGAACATTGCCACATATAATTAACTGTAGGCACCAAGTGCCTAAAAAAATTAAGCACACTAGCTTCAGGTAGGCCTCCGGCTTTCTCCATCGCATCCTGCAGAGACGGTGAAAGGCTGGGTGGGTACTGTAGCCTGGCACACCACAGCCCCACTAACTTCCTGATCCCTGCGGTAGCTCACAATATCCTGAACACGCCTCAACCTAAACACATAGACTCTTCTGGACTGCCTTGCGGTGACCTGTAATGACCTGTACGTCACGACCTGTGATGGCTTCCTGTCAGTGACGAACTGGTGTCACACGTGCGGCACAGCGCACTCACACAAATATAAGGGTCATTGTGCAAACAGACATGCTTTCTTTTGCGCTCGTGTGCCTTTCTGACGCAGTTTGACCCGGAAAAAGGATGAATCCGTGATAAGTGCAAAAAGTGCCTCACTATTTGGACTATGTGACTCATTCTTTTTCTGAGTGCACTCTGAGAACTAACTATGTTCAAATAGCGACGCACTTTTTGCCCTAGCGCGACGTGGGTCATTCAGGCCCATGTTGGCCCGGCAAAGGGTGTATCAGGGTTTCGTCCACTCTATGATCGTGCTGCTGGTTACATATAGTGTGTCATTATTCAAACAATACAATCCATTCATTTTTACTAGTGGGGGACTAAAAAACGAAGCTTGGGGCAGATTTATTGTTATATACTTTTCCATCTAGTGTACATTGTACAGTGTATCGTACATTGTATAGCGTACATTGTACATTTTATTGGTGAAGCTCGCTCTACCGTTATTATGTCCCTCATTGAATTGCCTCCTAGAGTGACAAATGTTAATAATCCGAATAAACGTATATTTAATTTTGTGCATTATTGCTAGCCGAGGTTTCTGACAACCAAAACACGTACGAAACCTTAGATGTTGCACGTTCTCTTGGTCGCCGACACGAGACGTGAGCATCACTCAAAAAAGTAATGACTCATATTGTCTAAATAGTGTCTCATTTTCTTCCCCACAGTAAGAACAGAGAGCAGCAAACTGATACATACAAACTGAGTCAAAATGACCCACACAATGGCAAAAAATATAACTCATGTACTCACTGCAGTGAGTGACAGAGAGCGCATTTTCTCGTCGACGAAAACTTGAGGTCACGGACGGACGGACAGACAGACAGACGGACATGGCGAGCACAATAGTGCATTTTTTTCCATAAATGAGAAAATGCGCTAAAAAGACATCGCTGTTTGGACATAGTCTCACACATTTCTAGGAGTGCAGTGCTACGTGGCCCTACGTGTAAACTGTGGGTGTGGCCACTGACGCGTGCTCGTTACTCTTACTTATAATAACTATTAACTACACGTGCAATAATGTTATTGCACGTGTATTGCAACAAGCGACTAGAAACACGAATCACTTTCGCCTATCGATCTCAAACTTCAGTCGAAGTTTAAAGTTTAATTTTCTTTTATTATATTGAGCAAACAATGTCAATAAACTTATCTAAGTTATTAAACGAAATTGCAGAGGCTATTTGGAGCGTATATCCGTCGTTACTTCTAGCCTGACCGTGTCAATTTCTCTAGAATGATGACACTTTAGTTTGCAAATTTAAAACTTAATTTCAATTGAAATATTATTTTAATAAATTTTGCAGTTGTACTATTATTTTGAATTTAAAGTAGCGGCCGCTGTGGTCTTACGCTGCAATGGCTGTGGAGACCTCAACGCTCTGGGGAGATGCATATGCGCCTGCTCTATGTTTTCTGAATGTTGGGCATGTTGAGTATGTTGTGTTGACTTCATGTGATGCATGCTGGGTGCACTATGTTGGCTCAATGCAGAGCATGTTCGGTGTGTTATGTTGACTTAAAGTGTTGCATGTTTGGTGCGCTATATGTCGGCTTAATTGGTCGCATGTTGGCTGCGCTATGTGTGCGCCATGTGTACCTAATGTCTGGCATGTTGACTTCATGCGCAACGTGCTCTGCGTGAACTGATTTTTTAGAGTGTAGTGGTTCGTTGTGGGGCAATGTCGTATGTTGTTGTCATCACGAAAGATGTCGCTGCGCTTGTCTTTCGTTTCGTCACAACATGCATGTGACGTGTGTCATACAGTTGGCCAGGGGCCATCCTTTCAAAACTAGCTAAGTGATCGCAAGTATTTACGCTCTATTTTCTTGTCTATGACTGGTGGATTTTGCTTGAAAAGCTTTCAATGATTGGTTGATGAACTTACGATCTCTCAACTTTTTTTGAAATTATAGGCCCATTAATACAAGTCCCTATTATCCTCCCTCAGATGCTGAAGTACGCGCAGGGTGGCAGTGGGCGCCCACTGGAACAGTCCGGGGCAGATGAAGTAACGTCAACAAGACTCCACGACAAGCACGTCGCTCTTGACGGTCGTCAGCACCTCCACGACCTCAAAGCCTCACCTTCCCCAGCCCGGCAAGACTACTGCGGGGGGGAATTTCCCCAGACTAAGATCCTAAAGTGTTCTGGCTCACTGGATAGTTCCCCATGTTCCTCATACTCCTCTTCATCTGCATACTCCTCGCTTGAAGCCGGGCAAGTCATACCTTACATTCCCCCAAGTCCTGTCACCCAAACCAACTTTTCCCGGCGCTGGAAGACCGAGCAAAAAAAGTCCGCCAAAATTCCGTCAAATATTCATCTTAAATTGAGCGCACCGGTGAAAGAACAACATTCCAACAGCGAAAAGCAAGAAGCGCTCCCGGCTGCTGGTGAGCTGCAAGCTGTACGTCGTTTGATAACTCGTATTCAAATATCGGATATAAATCAAAGATCTGAAGTTTCCGTTAAAAATTCGATAAATGCGTGTAAAACGTCTCAGTTAATTCCACCTAACGGTAAAGTCGCTCAGCAAAAGAAAGAAGATCGAAAATGTATGGAAAACAACCCGAATAAAATTCACATGCGTAACAAAAAGCCTGATAATAAAACCGTTACCAACGTCGAGCAATCGAGCGTGAAGGAGTACGACGGACCTGCAGAATATTCCCGGAGAAGCCGTTCATGCGATGGCAGGCAAAATAAAAATTCTAAAATTTCACGTGAAAGAATTGCTCAGCCGAAGATCAGTGAAAAATTTTCTGCTCGGGATAAAATTTGTTTAGGCAGAAGCGAAAAGCTGCGCCGGATTGTTCACTTCAACGATGAAGAAGTTAGGACATCTCTATCTGGTTCCAGGCTGAAAACAAAAAGAAACGAAGGTGACGATCTAACTTACGTCAACGTCGACGACATTGCACAAAAGAAGACTCTGAGTTCGGTCCTCCAACGATCGTTTAGAAGTGGCAGATCACTCAAAAGATCTCTAAGAAAGTCACTTCGCAGAACAGAACATTTTAAACGCACTCTTGTACGCCAGAAGACGGAGATAGAAGCCGAAGAAGTGCCCCCTACGTCTGGGGATGACCACCAAACGTTGGGCTCGGTGGAGGCAGCCCTACCGAGGTCTCGATGCTCTTCGGCGTCCAGAAGCCAGGCGAAGGAATGTAGCCGTCATGGAAACCGTCCCGGGGTCACTTCAGCACCGTCCTTCAGGAATATTTTTAGAACATCACTGAAGCGATCTTTTCATAGACGAGCAAAGAGAGCTAACTCAGTGGGCAAGGATTTCAAAATAGAGACAAGTAATGCCGATGTATGGCCGAGCGTTGAACAGAGCTCATCAAGAAATGACGACAATAATAACAAGAGTAAGGCAACTGAAATAAATTTTGTGACAATCTCGACTCCAAATAAATCTGAACATCTAATCAATAATAATTTGGATCACAATCATTACGATGTTCCAAAATCTTGTAGAGTAACACATTTTGGAAATTCGAACAAATCAGTTCATAGCAGCGTTAAAACAACAAAGCCTGCCGTAGATCAACCGACTGTAGAAAATATCCAGAATAAGTGGTCAGCGTCAAGCAAGTCTTGCGATATCAGCACCTCAACCACAAACAATAAAAACGGAACAGATGTAAACGTCATCGATACTTTTGAGCTCCACAAACACGCGGCGTTGACGGCAGTCGAATCCGACGTACGAACATCACCTGGTGACCAAAAGTGTACACAAGGTCCTTCCTCTACTCCTACATCACGCATATGTGGACCTAACCAATTCTCTGTGGTACTCCACACCCGCGATTGTGGCGACGCATCGGCGCCTGCATCGGAGAAATGTGGCTCAGCACTCGAGACAAATTTCTGTACCAATACCGACGAGAAGAAGGTGAGGATTGTTCATGCAAACATTGTATTAAATTTTAATTTAACGACTCAGTATTACAATTATATTTAATTTAGAATTCATGTTTGAGTAGGGATGTTAAGTGTTTATGTAAATATATGCAAAACTGATCTCGTTCAGCTTGATAATAATTTAATTATGAATTACGGCGACTTATCCGAGGCTTGGAAAATGGTTCAATTGTATGCATTTTACTCAAGTTTTATATCGTATGAATTTAAATTCCAAGTATTGATTATATTTTTTCGCCTCACTTTTTTTGTTTGATATTAAATCAATCAATTCAATATTATTGAATAGTTATATGTGTTTGACATGAATTATAACAGCCCGCACACACATCCCAAAGCTAACAGTTACTACCAACCATTCGCTGCAACAGCGCCCGCATTGTTGCACTACTACGCGTAACTGCGCTCAGTTCTGTCGTTTGCAGTGGAGCTTGGGGGTGAAATCTTGTTAGCTCGGGTAGAGTTGAGAGGTAGAGTGCTCTGGTAGTGCATTAGTAGAGGGTTCAGGTAGTGCATTAGCGGAGGTTTCAGGTAGTGCATTAGTAGAGTGTTCAGGTAGTGCATTAGTTGAGGGTTCAGGTAGTGTATTAGTAGAGTGTTCAGGTAGTGCATTAGTAGAGTGCTCGGGTAGTGCACTAGTAAAGTGCTCAGGTAGTAGTGCACTAGCAGAGTGCTCAGGTAGTAGTGCACTAGCAGAGTGTTCAGGTAGTAGTGCACTAGCAAATTGCACTGATAGTAGCGCGCCAGTAGAGTGTAGAGTAGAGTACAGGTAGTGCATAGGTATTGTGCACAGGTTGAATGCACATGTTTTACCCAGGTGAGGAGCAATAATAAGAGATATAGAAGCACAGAGGAAGATATTTATTCTCACCCATCACCTCGTGAGAATCAGGGCTTCTAGTTTAGATATCAGACTTTTATGTGATGCTTGACCTCGTCTGACTTGATATGTTCTGCAGCTAAATGAAGTCGCCGGGGACGAGGTCAGATACTCAGGTCATGAATTTATACGTATATCTTTGACGTGGTTTATAGCTTGCCACGTTGTTTGTTAATGCCACGAGAATCATGTGAATGCCAAGTGGTCGCTGCAGAGCATCATAATAATATGAACTATTTTCAATTTGAGCAATCAATAATGTGATTATTAATTTTGTTGACTATCATTGACTTATAATTTAAAAAAATTTGCATTTAATAATTACGTTTTGAATAAGACAATGTAAAAACATAAATGCTCTTTCCTAAGGCTTTCAGAATGAACGATTATGATTTTCCATAAATCATTAAACATTGACTGACTCTTAACATCTATATTTTAATCCCGATTTCCCTCATTAGCATCAAAATACCCTAATAATAAAAATTTAATAGTGTGTTGTTGGACAATGGACGGCGATGGGTGATCGTTGACCGACGCTTCCAAATAACGTGCGTGAAGTGCTTGTGTTGACATCCAATGATCTGTCTTCACGTTCATCACCGGTAAAATTATGGTATAATAATGCCCGTGCAAATAATAATGCCCGTGGTATAAAAATGCCCGAGGTATTATAATGCCCGTGGTATAATAATGTCCGTGGTATAATAATGTCCGTGGTATAGTAATGTCTGCCGTGACGCAAGCTTTCTTGTACCCAGACCAGCCGAGCCACGACTGCATGACATGCCGCGATGCTGCACGTTACCAACAAGTGTCAAGTTGTCGGTTCAGCGTTTTTGGTTGGCATTGTGTCGCGTGATTACGAACGGGTCAAGGGTAGCGCACGGGCGTCGTTTTTCGGTCACACGAGTGTCTGGAAACACAGCAACGTTAACCTTGAAATTGTGCGTGTTATTCACTACAATGGGTTTGATATGAATTACATCTTGATTATTAAAGGCTGATCCATTGCAATCAATTGCATATAAGCCTCGTAACGATTGTTTGAATTATCGGTATGAGCTAAGAAGGCAACCTGTGTATGTGTGCTTTAGCTCTCTGTTGCTGAAATTCATTCACGATATGATGTAACTTTCCCTTCATCAACTGCATCTCATTCCCCTTGCTGATGCCTGCTTTATTAAAGCGTTGCGTTGCTAGATGCGTATTATTTTGTTTCACAGAATTGCTTCAAATCATGTACCGATAGCGGAGCAAGCCTTAGGCAGTTCCATTCAGGCGTTATGATAAAAACTTCAGAATCTTATCTCATTAATTTTCTCTTGATATCAAATGTGGGCGTGAACTTTGTTTACCTATGCCTGATATAAACAGTCACGTTATTACGTCCTCGATTTAAGCTTGTTACGTACTACGGAAACGCACGACGTGGGTGCAGACCGTGTACATCGGCGAGGTCCGTACGTACCGCATTTCGTTGTCTGGGTAAACTCACAGACATGCATATTTTTCGATAATCATTGTGAACTATAGTCTATTTTTTGTGGTTTTAGCAACATATGCATACAAAGAAATAAGTAAAACCTTGTCCATATAGCGATGAACTTTTTGCCCTTGTGTGGGGGTCAAACTGAATAACTTTGGCACGACAATAATAGGATGCTACTTGCAGAAAATGTATTCCTATTTCGACAATTGACCTATTCACTTTACAGAGTGTAGATGAGATTTTACTTATTAGCCGAGATTTTTTGCGATGAAATTTTCCAAGTCGATTTAACTTGATACTTTTCAGAACTTTGGGAGAAACCTTCAGAAGCCACGAAATAAAAAATTAAAATTATTGAAATAAACCAAATTCTGGACCGTAAATATATATCCAGCCGTAAACTCGAGAAAAATTTCAGCAGCAACAGACCGCGAGGTACTCCGTTACAGATTGTCAGCCTTGACGCTTCGGTGGCGCTTGAATATTTACACACAGAAAAACAAATGTGTCCTATTGTGCAAATAACGGCACACTTTCTTGTCCACAGTTCGAGCAGAGGATGGGTGTAGCATCAATACACACTTTTGCCCGACTAAGCTGGGTCAGGATGACCCACGCTAGGAAACAAGTGCATCACAATTTGGTCAAAGTCTTATTTATCTAAGTGTTTGTTGCCAGGATCTAGAGGAAAGACCGGCCCGATGGCTCCGTAAATGTCAATAGGTTTTATAACGAACTTCCTGCCTCGCGGCCTTCGATGAGACATGCATCTCAGATTTATTACAAATTCAGTCAATTATTTTAATTTTTTCGATCAAGTTGCATCGTAAAATAACGGCATTGTGTTTGAATTAAAATATTCCATGTGTTTTTACTGAATCCTTGAGATTTATGGCATCTATTGTTTTAGTTTTAATCCGAATATCTTGGTTTAATTACGCCAATTTAGAGCTAATGCAGTTCTCTGGCTACTGATAGCATGATTGCTCGCAAGAACTTGTACCGAATGAATTGCTGGCTTCCAGCGTGAGAACTATAAGCATGATCTCTATTAAAGACGAAGTATCGGTCTTTTCTTAAACTTGTTATTCAATTCATTGAACATCTGGATCACCACGCAAAATATTTAATATAAATGTTGATAATTTGCAAAATAAAGTTCATAAATTTGCAAATCGAATTTCTTCGATTTTTAATTTTCAGTGTTTTGTTCATCTATAGGCCATACTAGCAGAACTCACTTAAGTGCTCGTTTAGCGGACTAAGTACACGTAGCTGCCGATTTATCGTGTGTGATTGGTGGATGTAGCTTGAAAAACCGTCAATGATTGGCTGACGGAGATTGGCTGATAACTTTAACTATTATGGATAGTCCGGACCCAGGTACAAATTCTGAGCAGGAAATTAGGAATCGAGAGGATTGGTTTTACGCTCAGGATTTATGTTGAAATAAAAAAAAACAGTGACTTACCTCCGCGATTGATTGAGCGGAGAGGCATGCGAAACTGCAAGCCTTGAGCAGGCCGTTCTTGCTTCACAGTTTCCCTTCCCATGTGACTTTTTAGTGGATCGCAATTTAAGCGTGAAGCATCTTCTAACCGCCAAGGCGATCGTCTTCATTTCGGTGTTAACGAAAACTACATCGTTACACCTGGGAACATGGGGAAGGCCGCAGGCTAAGGCCTACAACAATGCCTTTCTTGTGCGAAAACCAAGCCGCAGCGAGGCACAACTCCCGGAATTGTATAAGTTTGGATCACACGCACGACGAGAGTTGACAAGTCAATGGAGAGGTCAGGGTCAGGTAAATCTTTTCATTTAGCGATGAAGAAATTCTAGAGCCGATGTGAGTTCTATGCTTTGTTATCATGAACGTGTTATCTCTGGCCGCAGTGTTGCTGCTTATTGGTTATCATGAACGTGTTATCGCTGGCCGCCGTGTGGCTGCTGATTGGTTATCATGTACGCGTTATCGCTGACCGCCGTGTGGCTGCTGATTGGTTATCATGTACGCGTTATCGCTGGCCGCTGTGTGGCTGCTGATTTGTTATCATGTACGCGTTATCGCTGGCCGCCGTGTGGCAGCTGATTTGTTATCATGTACGCGTTATCGCTGGCCGCCGTGTGGCTGCTTATTGGTTATCATGTACGCGTTATCGCTGTCCGCCGTGTGGCTGCTGATTTGTTATCGTGTACACGTTATCGCTGGCCGCCGTGTTGCCGTTGATTATGCCCCGAAAATTGATCTTTAATTGTTAGTACCGTTCCCTGCTTACTCTGACCCATCAACTATATCTTACCCAAGCATTGTCAGAGATGGGGGCAAGCTCTGACATTTGTCAGAGATTTAATTTAATGCTGCCGATGTTAATTAATGGTCCTGTCTTTCAAATAACGGATAAGTATAACATGAAATGAGACAGCAATTATGGCATTGGCACCGTAACTGTTACGAGTTAAATATTCCTCCGTTGGTGCTAAATATACTGGTAAGAGTATAATGGAATGTTTAATCAGAGTCACCGATAATAATGACAATGTACTGGCTTAAATGGGCAAATAATAGCAGAGGGCCACCGCCCTCTCACACAACCGGTCG